ACAAATTTGGGAAAGTTTCTGTCATTGGCCTAACATTAATTTAAATATTGGAGGGGCGGCGCCACACGGAAATATGTGATTTAGCGCCCCGAGATCCCCAGTGGCACATGGGATCCGCTTATTTTGTGTCCTGCGAAAGTTATTACTTGAATCCACCGGCGTGAGTGCCGCGTCAGTGCCACCAGGATCTGCCATGGCTCACATATGAGCAATTTAACTTTTTATCTAACCAGGGGTTGCACCCGTCACCCGTGCACCGGTGACTCCTTAAACAACCCCCCGATGCCCTTGACACTTGGGCCGACGCTTACAGGATGTCCTGGGGCGTCTCGTTGGTGCCGTGAACGAACCCGCGCCCTAAGATCCAAGGTCAAACGTCCAAAAATACACGTAGGTCGTCACCTCAATCTGCGCATGTATAGGTGGTGTTGATAAGATTTGTGACGTATGTTCTGTGACGTCAAGTATTCCACACCATAAAAATATTACGCTACCGATACGTGTCATCTCGCTCTGGCGCACTTTGTTACTATGTTGCGCGGTCTTATTTGAACTGTCATCGGCTGAGGTCGCTAGTTCTATCGTCTGCACTGAAAAAATCCTATCGCAAATAAAACGAGTCAGTTGTGTGTTTTGATATTCGCCGAACCATTGAGACTGATTCACCTAGGGGGTCATCCATAAATGACGTCACGCTATTTTTGACTATTTTTACATCCCCCCTCCCCCGTCATATATCGTCACAAAAAGCCAGACCCCCCCCCCCCTAAAATGACGTCACACCTGAGCCTACAACCCCCCCTCAAAATTGCAGTTGAATTTTTTTTAAACGTCGATATTTTTCCAAAATCTTGTCAGAACTCTGTCAACATGGAGTATTTTAATCAATACCTATTACAATTTATTAAAACAGTTTTCTAAAACGCGAAATAACGTCTAAAACTTTTTTTCTAACATTGCTTCTTTTATAATGCAAAAGTGTGACGTCGCACCATCTGAACCCCCCCCCCCCCTCCCCCTAATCACACACTGTAGTAGATTTGTACTTAGGTAACACAACAGACGAGGAAGCCATGTTCTATGCACACCAGGTTTTATTCTCAATCGGAAACAGGAAGCACATGACATGCAAGGGACATCACTCAAACATTATAAGACTAATACAAGAAGAGTGAGTTCCCCTCAATATAAAGCTCAATATATTACACACACCGTAACAAAATTACGGACCCCCCTCCCCCCTACGAGTGTGACGCCATTTATGGAAGACCCCCAAACCCTTAGGGTTCAATCGAACCTAGGTTAAGAACCGCTGGTGCAAACATACCATCTAAGCAGCCAGCAAGTTTTTGGTTTTTTTATTCGTTTTTTTTATTCCACGCCGTATTTTAACACCACACCCCAGCGTCTCGGAAGTCTACACGACAAAAATAACGACAATCCTCCTCCCCATCACGTGACAGGGAATAATTGATCATGTCCAAAAACATCCGGATAGAGAGTGCCATCCCGTCAACTTATGACGTCATTGCAATAGGCAACCAAAGGGACATCTTTTCTTGGGATTAAGTTACACCTACTGGTGCACTTTTATCTTAGTTACACCTACTGGTGCACTTTTATCTTAGTTACACCTACTGGTGCACTTTTATCTTAGTTACATCTACTGGTGCACTTTTATCTTAGTTACATCTACTGGTGCACTTTTATCTTAGTTACACCTACTGGTGCACTTTTATCTTAGTTACACCTACTGGTGCACTTTTAGTTACACCTACTGGTGCACTTAGTTACACCTACTGGTGCACTTTTATCTTAGTTACATCTACTGGTGCACTTTTATCTTAGTTACACCTACTGGTGCACTTTTATCTTAGTTACACCTACTGGTGCACTTTTATCTTAGTTACACCTACTGGTGCACTTTTATCTTAGTTACACCTACTGGTGCACTTTTATCTTAGTTACACCTACTGGTGCACTTTTATCTTAGTTACACCTACTGGTGCACTTTTAGTTACACCTACTGGTGCACTTAGTTACACCTACTGGTGCACTTTTATCTTAGTTACACCTACTGGTGCACTTTTATCTTAGTTACACCTACTGGTGCACTTTTATCTTAGTTACACCTACTGGTGCACTTTTATCTTAGTTACACCTACTGGTGCACTTTTATCTTAGTTACACCTATTGGTGCACTTTTATATTAGTTACATCTACTGGTGCACTTTTATCTTAGCTACACCTACTGGTGCACTTAGTTACACCTACTGGTGCACTTAGTTACACCTAATTTTATCTCCAACCGCGTGAGTCCTGTGTATGACCAGTGATAAAATAGTAAAGGATAACTGACCGGTGCTAGATAGGAATAGATAGCCAGCATTGATGTTTCGACCAATAGAACTGATAGTACGTTGACGGTCAATAAATAACGTTGACGGACCACTTTCTCATTGACTGTCCACACTTCGTTGACCGACCACCATTGACTGTCCACACTTCGTTGACCGACCACCATTGACTGTCCACACTTCGTTGACCGACCACTCTCTCACTGACTGTTCTACTTGCACCAAAACAACGAGTTCAGTTGTGTGGGTGGTGATGACGTCATTTCATCAACAGTGTGTTGAGTTCATCCATTCAACCAATGAATATTTGATCTGTCCCACTTTTCTTTCTATAACTTAGTAGATACAGTGTCACCAAGGTTTATGCTGTATTGTCAAAGGACTTGCCAGTGGTTTTTATCAAGTGATTATTAGACTTTTTGGTCATGTTGGACGTTTTAATCCAGAACTATTTGGGTTTCTTTGTTTCTTTTTTTACTTTATCGTATACGAAGAATAGAGGGAAGTATTGTAATCGTGCAAAAAATCGAAATTTTCACAAATCTCGACGTTTACACCTCCCTGAGTCGGGAAAAGATAATTTTGCAATTTTGTCCGTAAACACGATAATATGAGTACCGTTAGAGCTACTGAGCTAGGCTTTAATGGAATTTCATATATAAGCATTATATCAAATTGGTAGTTCTGTATCAACTTTTCAGTGATTTCCGGTAGCCGGAAATTGAACTTATTCAACTTTCAAAAGCCTATAACTTGAGTACTGTTTCTGATAGATAAATGAAATTTCACATGTAAGTAAAAGATCTAGTTCTCTGCCTTCTTTCAAATTTTTAAGTAATTTCCGTTGACAGGAAGTAGTAATTTAAGCGATTTCCAATTTCTCAAAAAACGAATATGAATTTTATTAAGTACTAATATTCCGCACTATTATACAGATATTGTTTGCCATTCGCATGGTGTTTTTATTTCTATGATATTCTATTCTTGCAAGCTTTTATTTAACTCACTGTCTCTGTCTAGATCGAAACTTCTGGCACTTCTGATTGATTAAAAAATGGCACGTGGGTCAAGACATGAAGACAATGCAATCCGGGCGACATCACCTACTGCTGACACACCTACAGCATCACCTACTTTAAAAGTTTGTTTCAAATAAAATATATTCATCAACTTGATTTTTTAAAGTCTTTTTTATAATATCATTTACAAAAAAAAAAACAAGTTAATAAAAAGTCTAGTGACAATTTAAGCGCAATTTCCTTATGTTATCCATAACAATTTTAAATCGAGATAAATCATATAATTAGCAACGGTGCCCAAATATTAAAACGTTTATATCAGTATTTTATTTGACTATGATTAAAACCCGCCCTCTTGTTTGTAAACATTAGCACGTGGAAAAAAACGAGCGACGCGTAGCTCGCCTCTCTCTCTCTTGCCGCGCGCGGTGACGCGAACGATCCCACGTCGCGACAGGCTAGCCTCCCGTATCAGTCGAAAAAAAATCCTTTCGAACCTCCGCTATGGTAAAATCCTTTCGAACCTCAGCGCTTTGCGCTAAATCATCCTAGGCCTACACGATGCTCAGTTTCAAAATTCTTAATTTTTTGTGGCCGAACGAAAGGATATTTTTGAAAACTTTCTTCGGCAATATTGTTCTAAATTATGGCAGGAATCGATTGGTAAATGTTTCAAGTCGCTAAGTGGTCTGGTTGCCGAGATATGGGCAAAAAAACTGCATTTTTCCGAGGTTTTTTGGCTTTTCCGGGAAATCCAGGAAGGAATTCCGGGATTTTTTTTTTGGCCTATGTTCATCCTCGGAACTTGCTTAACATATTTGCTTTTGGAACTAGTCCTCGATATTGCTTCGTTGAGGAGGAGATACGACTTAAAGCTGCGGACACGCTGCGGACACACATCCATCCATCCATCCATAAATGACGAGTTAATAATCGCAATCTCCCAGTATGGAAATTGCGCTAAAAATTACTGGTTAGCTTAAAGTATGTAAATATGGGATGGTGTGGCCTAAGCTGTAGAGCGCAAGGCGGCCAACCCGAAATTCTCAAGTTCAAAGCCTGTCCAAGTCAGTAGAACGTCATTGAGTCGACCCCACTCTGGTGGGTACCTAACTCATGTCAAGGAGAGTAAAGGCAGCTGGACAAAGTACTGACCACACCTTCCCTGCATTTGCCGAGGTTCAAAACACATGAACTCTACTTCATCTGCCCAATGGATCACTGATAGTTTGATATATTTATTCTATAGTAGAGCAGGTGTTACTGTGTGTTAGGCTATTTATAGAACTGATTCAGCTGGTGAGCAGGAAGGGTATAGTTAATATATATTTGTTTATGTGTGTTAAGTTTGTGTGTGTGTGCGCATAATGTGTGAAGATGTGAATTGTACTGCTCCCCCTTGCCACTGTAACAAAATTCCTCCATGAATATCTGCATATATATATTAGTAAAAGTACACGTGTGTGTGTGTATGGGGAGGGAGGGGTGTATGTCCTTTCAGCATTACTACATTTATCGTCGTATAGTATCATTGTTGCTGGGGAAGAAGGTTTGGGCAGTCGTAGGCTTTTCATACTAGTGAGATGATACAAAGGACTATTAAATTATAAGAGTTCACTAAATTAGGAAAAGAACAAAATCAACCTAAATTTATTATCCTTCACAACAATAACAATTGTATCTGAGAAAATTGTACAAACTAACGCCCTTTAACTGTAAGTGGTGTAAAAAATAAAGTTACACCTTGTAAACAAAAATACTTTCTATACATTGGTTTCTTCTAATTTAATATACATAATATACACAATTGGTGTACAACAGTGCTGGCTACCTTGGTGTACAACAGATGACCCCAGTGCTGGCTACCTTGGTGGACAACAGATGACCCCAGTGCTGGCTACCTTGGTGTACAACAGATGACAGCTGTGCTGGCTACCTTGGTGTACAACAGATGACCCCAGTGCTGGCTACCTTGGTGTACAATAGATGACAGCTGTGCTGGCTACCTTGGTGTACAACAGATGACCCCAGTGCTGGCTACCTTGGTGTACAATAGATGACAGCTGTGCTGGCTACCTTGGTGTACAACAGATGACCCCAGTGCTGGCTACCTTGGTGGACAACATATGACCCCAGTGCTGGCTACCTTGGTGTACAACAGATGACCCCAGTGCTGGCTACCTTGGTGTACAACAGATGACAGCTGTGCTGGCTACCTTGGTGTACAACAGATGACCCCAGTGCTGGCTACCTTGGTGTACAACAGATGACCCCAGTTGCTACCTTGGTGTACAACAGATGACCCCAGTGCTGGCTACCTTGGTGTACAACAGACGACCCCAGTGCTGGCTACCTTGGTGTACAACAGATGACCCCAGTGCTGGCTACCTTGGTGTACAACAGATGACCCCAGTGCTGGCTACCTTGGTGTACAACAGATGACCCCAGTGCTGGCTACCTTGGTGGACCAAACTGATCTATTGTTTTCACAACAAGCATCAAATGCTCAAAGAAAGAGTTGATACTAACTCGCAACATTCTGGCCTCTGGCGCTGAAAAGTGTCTGCAAAACAAAAAAACTTTTTTCTAACACACAAGATAAATGTCTAAGTAAAAGAGCTGGCATTGGGTGCATAGTTGTAATATTTGACAGTTTGATACAACATGGTCACCATCTGACATTGGGTGCATAGTTGTAATATTTGACAGTTTGATACAACATGGTCACCATCTGACATTGGGTGCATAGTTGTAATATTTGACAGTTTGATACAACATGGTCACCAGCTGGCATAGTTGTAATATTTGACAGTTTGATACAACATGGTCACCAGCTGGCATAGTTGTAATATTTGACAGTTTGATACAACATGGTCACCATCTAGCATTGGGTGCATAGTTGTAATATTTGACAGTTTGATACAACATGGTCACCATCTGGCATTGGGTGCATAGTTGTAATATTTGACAGTTTGATACAACATGGTCACCATCTGGCATTGGGTGCATAGTTGTAATATTTGACAGTTTGATACAACATGGTCACCATCTGGCATTGGGTACATAGTTGTAATATTTGACAGTTTGATACAACATGGTCACCAGCTGACATTGGGTGCATAGTTGTAATATTTGACAGTTTGATACAACATGGTCACCATCTGGCATTGGGTACATAGTTGTAATATTTGACAGTTTGATACAACATGGTCACCAGCTGGCATTGGGTGCATAGTTGTAATATTTGACAGTTTGATACAACATGGTCACCATCTGGCATTGGGTGCATAGTTGTAATATTTGACAGTTTGATACAACATGGTCACCATCTGGCATTGGGTGCATAGTTGTAATATTTGACAGTTTGATACAACATGGTCACCAGCTGGCATTGGGTACATAGTTGTAATATTTGACAGTTTGATACAACATGGTCACCATCTGGCATTGGGTGCATAGTTGTAATATTTGACAGTTTGATACAACATGGTCACCATCTGGCATTGGGTGCATAGTTGTAATATTTGACAGTTTGATACAACATGGTCACCATCTGGCATTGGGTGCATAGTTGTAATATTTGACAGTTTGATACAACATGGTCACCATCTGGCATTGGGTGCATAGTTGTAATATTTGACAGTTTGATACAACATGGTCACCATCTGGCATTGGGTGCATAGTTGTAATATTTGACAGTTTGATACAACATGGTCACACACCAATACCAACTGGCTGGGTTGTTGTTTTGTTTAGCTCTAGTTGCAATAACATTACTTCATAAAAATCCAGTCTCACTAGCTTACTGTTAAAATAAATCCTGTCTCACTAAGAAATAGTCTAAAAACAATACTAAAAATAAATTACAATGTCTAATAAACTTTAAGACGGTCTCACATTTGTAGGCTATTGTTGTCAACACACATTGTCCTGACTACTCCGCCTCTGGATGGTTCCTTATCAACACTGAGGGAACCAAATGCTATTTCTGCCTCCTTCTGGCTAGGAAATGGAACCTGCAGATCTCTTTGTTAAATCAAGGAGCAATATATAGCCACATGTGTAGATCAAGAAACAATAAACAGCCACATGTGTAGATCAAGAAACAATAAACAGCCACATGTGTAGATCAAGAAATAATAAATAGCTTTATCTGTAGAAAAAATATCAAATGTGTAGGGTTAATTTTATTCTAACATGTCATGATTAACCCTAGTCCAGTGTTGGAGGTACTGAACCTCACCAGTTTCATCTGCACATTCATCAATTCAAACCATTCTTTCATAGGAAACATAAAATATGCTTTTTTTTCAAATTCAAAACATAGGTAGGCCTATTTTAGTGGTGCCCAAAATGTAGGAAACATAAAATATGCTTTTTTTCAAATTCTAAACATAGGTAGGCCTATTTTAGTGGTGCACAAATTGTAGGAAACATAAAATATGCTTTTTTTCAAATTCAAAACATAGGTAGGCGTATTTTAGTGGTGCACAAAATGTAGGAAACATAAAATATGCTTTTTTTTTCAAATTCTAAACATAGGTAGGCCTATTTTACTGGTGCCCAAAATGAGCTGAGCATCAACACATCATTGGGTTAAAAGAACCAATACTCTCATCTAACACATCAGAAATCATTTTAGTCTAGTTTTCTTCTTTCTTCAACTTGGTAAAAGCCATTTGTTCCAACACAATGAAGTATAACCTGTCAACATGATATGCACCATATGGACTGTTGACTCCGATTTTAGCCTGGTTTTTTCTGGATTAGCTCTCACAGCCTTTATCCAGGCAGCAGTTGTTTGATTTTGGAGTTATCTTCCCTAAACGTTTGCCTACCCCAGCTATCAAGCTTCATCTGCCCGCAGGTTCTAACTCTGGACTTAACGGTTTGGCAACCATGAGCTTCACCGGCCCAACTACATGGATCTTATTCCAGCTTTGATCATGTTAATGTTTCCTTTGATGAAAAAGTGGGAGAACGTGTTAGTGTTAGCTTTGAATGTAGTTTGGTTTTACCTATCAAAGGATACGCTGAAACACAAGCTTCCATCCTATCAAGTGTAGGCAACTTCAGCTGTAGGCAACTTCAGCTGTAGGCAACTTCAGCTGTAGGCAACTTCAGCTGTAGGCAACTTCAGCTGTAGGCAACTTCAGCTGTAGGCAACTTCAGCTGTAATACAAGATTCTGGTTGAACTAGCTAGACACATTGCAATTAGTTGCACTCATTTATAATTGCTTAATTACTACTCATTTGATTAATAATTAAAAATAATTAGCAGTGCTAATAATAAATTAATATGAATTACTTTTATGATGCCTATAATAGGTTTTAATATTATTTATTGGGCCTAACTTTCAGTATAGGCCTGGTAAAAACTAACACCACAGGCCAGTAATAAATGATAAATCAAAAAGATAGGTCTATGACTAGTCTGGGCGATTGTGGGAAAAAAGTCACAGGAAAAAGACAAAAATTTGTATTTGTATGAAATTTGATAATGCATTTATGTAGGCCCTAATATGTATTCAGAAAGTACAAATCCACATACATTAATTCAAATTCATATTAAAGTGGATATTTTAGATATTGTACGGTTACATATCTAACATGTAAAAACCATAAGCCTTGATTAAGTAACCTATACAAGTTTATCAGTAGATTGTTTTCAACACTCAATCTAATGTTCCAACCTATGTAGTTTGCTTTCATCTAGTTTTTATTATAGATAGCTTTTAATCAACTTGAAATGTGAAGAGGACAAAGTTACTTTGATTTACTGTCTCCAATTCATCACAAAAATATTCCAACCACATTTAGTGCCCACATCTATTATTATTATGCTCTAATCACAAGGCATGGGATCAAGGAAAAAAGCTAACTCTAATCACAAGGTTCGGGATCAAGGAAAAAAGCTAACATGGTTCAAAGGATGACTTTGACACAAAGCTCCAAAAATAAGCGTGAATGGACAAGGCCAATCTTAGCACATTCATACAACCACAGTAAATTTACCCGCCGTAGACTTACACACATCTTGGAAAAGTTGGAACTCCCAATTATTATTAAGGCCTAGTACTAGATGCTACCGAAAATATCAAATTGCTATATAACATTATCAGTTATTATATAGCAATGTACCCATTACATGTTAATAAATCAGTGATTTTGCAGCTTGTCTTGAGAGGTCTACTAAATTTTTGTGGACGTCAACTATGGGGGGGGGGGGGGGGGGGTGTTGTTTGACGAAAGTGGACATTTTTGGACGGGGGTGGGGGGGGGGGATATTCCAAATTTTTGTGGATCTCATAAATGGCCTATGAATGAAGTGAACTTATACAATCTAGGTCATTTTAAGTTGGTCTACATAAAATCAGCTGAAGCTACTAATGTGTCAGAAAAGTGACTAAATTAAATGTTTAGAATTTCAAGTAGGCCCCTACCTGTTTTTAAACAATTTGCACAAATTTTTCTGTAGGCCTCATAAATAAACTCAAGATTTTCAAAAGGAAAAATTACTTTGAGCAATTTTACTTTAATTTCTATTTGTATAGAAATATTTTGTTTTTTATATTAAATATGATTGTCTTGTTTTTATAAACAAAGTGTGTGTGTGTGTGTTTTTTTTTAATTATGCCCTTCAAAAAATTGAATTGACTGACAATAAAAATCATCCATTTTAGAATTATTATGAGATGCAACTTTTGTAATTTTTTTTAGAAAGTTAAGTAAGTCCTAATTTTTGTAGAGCTACTACTAGATGCAATGTTTATTTAAATATTGGTTTGAGTTTTTGCTATTGTGTGTTTGCTATTTTCATTCCATGCTTTCAGTGTTTTTTCCCCTTCTTTCTTTAGTGATTTAATTGTAAATGAAGTCATATTTTTTTACATCTCTTCGCCATTGTCTCAAAAACCAGTTACTCCACCCCTTAAGGGTGTGATATCATTTATGGTTGATCCCCAGGTCTTAACCTTTCGTACACATTTAAATATCCTTTGTTGTCAAAATGTGATATCAAATTCCCTAATGACATGGGGTTGCCCATAATTGATGTCACATATACTATGAAGCTGGAGAGGAAGGGTCTGTGATGTCAACTTGGGCGGGTCCACAATTTATGATGTATAATGAAGGGATGTGCAGGTGGGGGGGAGGAAGGGTGATGCGTGATGTCAATGATGGAAGACTTCTATCTGTAATGATGTGCTCAGTGAAAATTACGAAAATAAAATATGATAAAGCATGAGTGTTAATGCATACTTTTACTCATAACAAATGTAATAGTTGTAACTATTGCAACCATTCTATCTTGAGATGTATTCAACGTCATTTAGATCTAATTGTCAGGCAAAACAGAGCAAAAGCCTCAATGCCGTAGTGCTTGATCAAAATGTACAAGACAACAGCAAACTAAGCCAGCCCATTTAAACCACCCATGAATTTGAATCGGTACAAATCTAGCACTAGATCTAGCAGACGACACATTTCTGCTAAACTGCAGTGCACGGTCAATCATGTCGCAACAACACTCCTTAAAAAACTAACCCACATTATAAGTTATATCATCATAGCCATTAAATTTTATTGATTTAAAAACTATTAAAAACAAAAACAAATGCGTTATTTTCACAAATCATTAGGCCTATCTAATATTGTAATATCTAGGCTACCAATTAATTTTGATAATTAAATTGGTATCAAATTAAACTTTAATAGGGCCTATAAGTAAGGCAAATTTTAGGCCTCAATTTACAATTATTTTAGTCTTAAATACTAGATCTAGATCTAAATAGTTGATAAACAAGCCTAGTCTTAAAAAAATTTTCAAAATATTATTTATGATTCAAATTAAACCATCTCGGTGGTTTCCAGTCCATCATTCATTGTTGGCCAATGCTAGCCAGAATAAGATGCGCATGCGCAATGGAGAGAAAGTACGACTTGCCATCGCGGCGATGTTTTCGATGATACTGCACATGCATGTGTTTACAACCGCAGAACCCTAATCCTATCCCTAACCTTATCCCTATCCTTAACCCTAGCCCTAATCCTATCCCTAACCCCAATTCTAGCCCTAACCCTAGCCATAGGTCACTGCGCATGCGCAGAGCTATCTTTTGCCGACTAAGTGGAGACGTTGGGGAGAAAAATCTTCTTCCAAGTAGTCACGACTTCGTTCATTATTTTACTAGACTAAATAAATAAATACTAGGCTAAATATTTGGTAATCTATCGTTTTGGGTATGTAAAATCGCCCGCGACTAGTAATGTGAAAAACAGGTGACTCCTTAAATTTTAATAATTATTTCACATTTTGAGGAGGATTTATGTTTTGAAAAATACAAAATTTTTTCCTTCTTTCATTTATGTACCTGTTTTTAAACAATTGAATCAAAACTTTTCAGTAATAAATGAAGACTAGCGATGTTTCCAACAGATGCAACCATGCTCATTTACTATAGCAGCGATCTTGTTTAAGTTTTTTTCTCTTTGTAAACTTATAGCGGATATAGTGCACAATTCAGGGGGAAGCCACTCTATTTTACAAATGGCTGCTGTTTATATAGCAATCCTTGCTCGCAAACACTGCTGTTTAAAGTTAATTTCTGGCATATATTGATATATTTAGTTTAGCCATTGATTTAGGCTTATTATTAATTCATCTATAATATTTGACAAAAATATATCACAATATACTTCTATTAAAGCCTTGACAATGAAGTAACTTTTTCGTACATTAATAGCCGCGGGCTTCTTCTTCGTTCTTAATTTGTGAATATGGTGGAGGATTCAGACAACAAGTCCAACTTCGTGGACAAACCGGACTGTGGTCTCCAGTTTTTCAGGTGCCCCATATAATTTTTCCCTGAGTGGGGTGGGCTGGGGCCAGTGTCTATCTCGTGCCTGGCTATACAAAGTACATTCCTGGAGTACGTGCTCCGTGTTTTCCGGGGCCTTGCCACAAGGGCACATTTCGCTACACCCAACCTTCAGTTTTCTGTGCATGTGTTGATTTAGTCTGTTGTGGCCTGTTCTAAGTCGAAAGATTATGTATTGTTGTTTTCGTGTTAAATTATAATAGCCGTCGTCTTTAATGTAGTGAGGGTGTGTGACAGACCACATTTGCGTTTGTTTGTTTTTTATTATCTATCTATATACTACTAAAAGTCAAGTTTGTTTACATGTTTGAATATTTATTTGTTTGTTTGTTTGTTTGCCTGATCGACTATTGTGATATGTTCGACTCAATCTGGATAGCTGTAAAATAGTATGTAGGTAGAGAATATTTTTTTAATGCAGACAGACTGTTAATCACAAATTTATTTAAAGACGTTAATTAATTTATTGATTTATTCCTACGCAGAATAACCCATTTTTTTTAAAAATGTTAAAACCTTGACTAAACTTTGTGGGAATAGTGACGTCACAGGTTTTTGTTTACTCTTTAGTACAATAAAATGGCGGCGTCTATTGAAGAAAATTGTGTTCCCATTCAAAAGTTTAAAGCGTTCTAAATCTAATTTTCTGTCGGTCATAACTTTAACAATACGTCCGTTTGCTGTATTTATTACGTTCCAACACTTATATCAATTTTCAACTGTCTTTTTCATTTAGTTTTACGATAAATTTCTCTGAATCTAAAAATCAGCTGTCGAGAATCTAGCCTAGGGCCTAGATTCTAGATCTAGATCTAGATCTAGGTCACTAGACTCAATGTAAATTCTAGATCTAGACTTAATGTAAATTCTACATCTAGAATCTATTTCGGGCCTTAATTATTTTATATAAATCTTTGTTTAGCTTCAATGATCATCTAATTCGAGAATACATGGGATTTTTTTGTTATCTAGGTTTTATATCTAGATATAGTAGGATTACTCACTAACTTGGAGGCGTGGTCGGCTGCTAACAACAATATGGCGTACGGACCGGACGAATGACTTCCTACCATTTTTAGGCCATGTTTACCACGAGCAAAATGGCGGGTGTTCACATTATTTAAACATGGTATAGGTGGCCAGGGCTAGATATGCCAGAAAAGCATTTTAAAATTTGCTTTGGAGAATGAAGGCTAAATTTTAAAGCCAGTGTCATAAACATTAATAGAACTTTTTTTTTTTTTTTACGTTTTCAATTATTTTTTCTTAAGCCCTATATGTGAATGATAAGGTTGACTTTCAGGACCTCGCGGGGCACAGGGCACGTGAAGTAGGGTTCATCTGTTTCTTTGTCCTAAGCAAATGAAGGGATAGTGTGGTCAGAGACATGCTTGGCTGGAATCGTTTTTGTTGTCTGAGACTTGGCGGGACACTGGGCAGGTGAAGTAGAGTTGAGTAGGTCACCTGTGACGTCAATATATGAAGGGATAGTCCGAAATCGTTGTTTTCGGTGTTTTTAAAAGATAAAAAACATATTTTTGAATGTGGGGTCTGTTTTTTGTGACGATAAGTGACACTGCAGTAGCGTAGCGAGGAGGGGGAGGGGCGGGAGGGAAGGGGAGGTGGAGGGGGGACATATGTTGGGGCGCCAAAATGGTTTGGAAAAATAAATTGAAAGGTTGAGGGGGGTTCAAATGGAAAGTTTGAGTGGGGGGGGGGGGGGGGTGCACATCAAAAGTTTGAAGGGGGTGGGGGGGGGGGGGTTGAAAATCGAAATCTTGGGGGGGGGGGGGGTTCAAATCGAAAAGTTTGTCCCCGGGCGCCGAGAAGGGTCGCTATGCCTCTGAGTGACAGACGTGATGTTTTTTGATGGATGACCCCCGAAACCCACAGTTATCCAACGGATGACGGGTAGTCTAGTATACTACTAAAAGTCAAGTTTGTTTACATGTTTGAATATTTATTTTTTTGTTTGTTTGTTTGTTTGCCTGATCGACTATTGTGATATGTTCGACTCTATCTGGAGAGCTGTAAAATAGTATGTAGGTAGAGAATAATTTTTTAATGCAGACAGACTGTTAATCACAAATTTATTTAAAGACGTTAATTAATTTATTGATTTATTCATAGTTAAATTAACCGTATTTTTTAAAAAATGTTAATACTTTGAATAAACTTTGTGGGGATAGTGACGTCCCTTGATGTGTTAACTTTTTGGTACGATAAAAATGGCGGACTCCATCATAGACTTTGTGGCCCATTCAAAAGTTTAACGCGTTACAAAGCTAATTTTCTGCCGGCTATAACTTAAACAATACGTCCGTTTGCTGTATTTATTACGTTCCAACACTTATATCAATTTTCAACTGTCTTTTTCATTTAGTTTTACGATAAATTTCTCTAGATCTAAAGAACAGCTATCGAAGGAAATTTATGAATCTAGCCTACTAGATCTAGATCTAGCCTAGATGTAGAATCTAGGTCACTAGATTCAATGTACATTCTAGATCTAGACTTAATGTAAATTCTACATCTAGAATCTATTTCAGGCCTTAATTATTTTATATAAATCTTTGTTTGGCTTATTTAAGATAAAATTTAATTTGAAAGTTAGTACTACTAGACTTATTTTTAGATCTAGATTTAGAATCTATACGCGTAAATCAAGTTGCATAAGGAGACACATAGTATAGTATAAAAATTCACTTGTGACGTCACGAGTAAATAGCTAAAATGGTAGCGTAGTCAGCTCTCATGCAGGAGGCACGGGTTCTAGACCAATATGTCAATGAAATTTTTTTTTTAAATTTTTTTTTTTTAGATGTGATGATAACGTTGCCTATCTGAACTTGGCAAGATACAGGGCAGGTGAAGTAGAGTTCATCTGTTTCTTTTTCCTAAGCATATGAAAGGATAGTGTGGTCAGATACATGCTCGGCTGGAATTGTTTTTTAAATGATAAAAACATGTTGTCTGAGACTTGGCAGGACACTGGGCAGGTGAAGTAGAGTTGAGTAGGTCACCTGTGACGTCAGTTTATGAAGGGATAGTCCGAAATCGGTGTTTTCAAAAGATAAAAAACATATATTTGAATGTGGGGTCTGTTTTTTGTGACGATAAGTGACACTGCAGTAGCGTACCGAGGAGGGGGGGGGGGGGGAGGGGAGGCGGGGGGGGGGGGGGGGAAGGGGAGGCGGGAGGTGGGGAGGTGGGGAGGTGGAGGGGGGGTGGGGGGGGACATATGTTGGGGCGCCAAAATGGTTTGGAAAAATAAATTGATAGGTTGAGGGGGGTTCAAAGCGAAAGTTTGAGTGGGGGGGGTGCACATCAAAAGTTTGAGGGGGGGGGGGGGTTCAAATCGAAAACTTTGTCCCCGGGCGCCGGGAAGGGTCGCTATGCCTCTGAGTGACAGACGTGATGTTTTTTGATGGATGACCCCCGAAACCCACAGTTATCCAACGGATGACGGGTATTCTAGTTCTTTTTATTTCTTTTGGGTGTAGCAAAATTTCCGGTTGTGGTTTCTTTCCCCCAATTTTTGCCAGCTGGTCTGCGATCTCGTTACCCTGGATCTGGCAGTGGCCCGGGATCCACTGCAGCACAATTCTGCTGCAGGTAATTATTAGCCTCTCTAGTGCTGTCATAAGTGTTTGAATAGCCGCGGGCGATTTTACGTACCCAAAACGATAGATTACCAAATATTTAGACTAGACATTGTTGATTATGCTAAAGTAAACTGTTACCGTATTAACTTTTTTATCACACAGCAGATAGTTGATTACATATGATTATTAAATCTAGAACTAGAGTCTAGTAGAAAATCTAGATCTAGATGTACAAACTAAACTACTGGATCTAGATCTAAGATCTCTAGATTTAGCACTATCAAACTATAACTCTGAGAGTGCTCTTTCTTGTTGACCACACATTTGTTGTGTCGTTAGATTTTTGAAGCAATGGGTGGGGTAGAGGGGGGGGGGGGTTAATATTAGAATTAGATCTAGATCTTAGATTCTAGATTTTTTTTTCTTTTGCATTACATATAAGAAATATGACTTCAAATAAAAGTAGCCAACTGAGTTAATGAAAAATAGGTTGCTTCTCATAGATCGGGGCTATATGTTGTACATATAGCCCGTAATGGGTCGTTGGTGGTTGAACATAATGACATCATATAGATCTAGAAAGGGGTCATCCTTAAATGACGTCACACTCGTAGGGGGGAGGGGAGGTCCGTAATTTTGTGACGATGTGTGATGAGGGGGAGGGGGGGGGGGGGTCAGATGTCCATGCGACGTCACACTTTTGCATTATAAAAAAGCAATGTTAGAAAACGAATTTTAGACGTTATTTCGCGTTTTAGATAACTGTTTTAATAAATTGTGATAGTTTAGACAAGATTTTAGAAAAATATCAATGTTTAAAAAAAAATTCAACTGCAATTTTGAGGGGGGTTGTAGGTTGAGGTGTGACGTCATTTTAGGGGGGGGGGATCTGACTTTTAATGACGACGTGTAGGGGAGGGGCCCGGGGAGGTAAAAATCGTCCAAAAAAAGCGTGACGTCATTTATGGATGACCCCAAACATGTAGATTTCTAGATCGATGTATATCGTTGTCCATGTTGTTTTTTTTAGACGAACCTGCGGGAGGGGGTGATAGCAAAGTTGCATTAATTATAATATATAGTACTTTATTAAAATTAAAGCGGATGAAAACTGTGAATTTCTTGACATAGAGCAGGGGTCTCCAAATGCGGCCCTCGGTGTCCTCTCATCCGGCCTGCGGAGATCTTTTTGTCCACGGAAAAACCGTTTGCTGGTGATGGCGGAGAAACTTTGCCCAGAAAAATCAAAGACATGCCTGGAAGAAACTGGCCCCTGAACTGAAATTTGATAGTTAATGCGGCCCTCGGACTGAAAAGTTTGGAGACCCCTGACAGAGGTTTGTACGGTTTAACGTCGTCTTGGGGTTGCAGCGTATTTTCTCAGTAACTCGGCGCCCCACCCCTCAATCCCGTTCCTTGTGTCGTTACTAATCTGACCATATATGAAAGTTGTATAAAAAATTATTTATTTTTATTTCTTTCTCACAGTTATCACAATCTGAATTCGGTTGTCAGTTATCAATTTCCACATTGGGTGCACTTGTTAATAAAATATAAATCTTGAAACATTGTGGTCGTAAAAGAAAATGTACCTTAATTTATTGGAGTAGATCTATATGATATTGTGCTCAGACTGATCGTTTTTGGACGTGTTAAAAAACAAAAATTGTGGATATAGATTGTGTATTGCTTCCGCAAATATGTTTAGGGTATAGACAACAGCTGTCGAAATTGGCGAAAAAAATAAAAGTAAAAAGGCGAAATCTCGTTTTTCTTAACAGAAATTAAGAAAATTATAGTCGGTTAAAATATTCAGCAGACTACGGTAATTACAAGTAAAAACGTTCTTTTTGTTAGATGTAGGCAATTTAATAGCGATTCTTAGTATTTCTTAGCCTAGGGCAAAAACTAGGGCGGCCTAGGCCTGCCTACTAAATTGTGTAGATTTACTTTCTGTTATGAACTGGGGTAATCTATCTCTTTAGGTACGTAAAATCGGCTGAGGCAAGTAATGTGAAAAAGAGGTGCCTCATTAAATTGTAGTAGTAGATCTAGATTTAAAATTTATGCAATTTTCAATTTAAACATGACCACAGGATGATGCTGTAGATTTTCTTACTAAATCTAAAATTTACGCAATTTTCAATATAGGCCCCTAAACAAAACCACTGAATAATAGACATCCATATTTAAGGTAATCTATCGGTAAAAATTTAGAGAAAACCCTTGATATTTCATAGTATCCGCCGCCAACCAATCAAACGCGCGCTTTCAACGCGTTTTGGTTGGCGGCTGACGTCACGCGACCCGTAAACACGGCGGTTTTGGAGCTAAAAAGGGCCGAAAAAGCCATTTTTTCTACGTCGCTAGTAATGTAGGGATAAGGTAACTAATGAATATGGCTCAACAATAAATAGGCCTATATTTTTGCATATTGTATTAAAATACTAAAGATAATTAAATATTAAACCACAATTTAAGGTTAAATCAATAAAAATATCATGAAATTAGCATTTAACAACGATGTTCCAGATACTAAATTTGCTATCAAAAACAGCGGCCATCTTAAGAAAGTATTATTTTGAGTAATTTCTATTTGTATGGAAATGTATTGCTATTTGCTATTAAATACGATTGTCTTGTTTTTAAATACAGAGTATGTGGGTTTTTTAAAAAATGACAATAAACATCCTAACCTCAAATAAACATTTTGAATAACCTTTGTTGTCAAAATGTTGATACCAAAATACCCAAAATGAGTTATATAGGGTTGTCCATAAACGATGTCACATATGCTACGCTAATGTGACGTCGACTTAACCATTAATGTCCCGTAATGCCCGCTGCCGCCCGACACCGTTAATGTCCCGTAACGCCCGCTGCCGCCCGCTTACAATACGCATAGAAAAATTAAATTTGTTTCACTAAAATTTGGCCTACAAATCCTAATTTTTAACTAAACAGGAAGTCGGATAGTTTCAGCATCCTTTTCCGGTCTTCTACTTTCAATGGCGCTTTTGAAAGATAAAAAATAATAGTTTCTTTCCATCTCGAAATTTTTGACTCATCTGCCCAATTTTTAGTTGATTTAATATTAAAAATAAAATAAAATAATGCCTCTAAACGTATATAGGCATGTATTTTATTAATTATATATCTTAAAGATAATCAAATTGATATTTAACTGTTAAATTCGATGCATAGTTGTTTAGACAAAAATAAATAAAGTTGACTACCGAAAATGACCTGTTTTGAATTTTCTCCGACATTTTTTATTTTTATTCTGTACTTGTACGGAATATAATATATTCTATTTAATACTGTTGGAAAGCCAGGTTTATTCCCAACATTAAGCAGTAGTTTTTATCTTAATTTTCAATTTCATTTAGACAAAAACAAATATTTTGTGAAACTATTCACTTGATCATACAGAGTTATGCTCCTTACATTGGGCCGTCATGGGTGGAGTTTTGGTAGAATGAATGGGACATTAATGGTTAAGAAGGACCGCAATTTATGACCTATAACGAATGGGTGATCGGGGGGGGGATGCGTGACGTCAATTAGCTAGGCCAATGCCGCTGCCGAGAAAATCGGACAAATCGGCTTTTCCCTACCCCCTGCATGTTTAACTCTGTTTTTTGCATGCTTTTATTGTGTTTATGTTAACATGTTATACATCATTCTGTTCGTAATTGAACAACCTTTTAAACTGTATAAGTTTGATTTCTTTATTATTTCAGACGTTGAAGAAATCGCCGATTTAATCGCATTTTTTACCCCCCGCGGCGACGTGCCGATTAGGGGGGAGGCTTTTTCACCTTTTTAAAAGAGGGGTGTTACTTAGAGTCTATAGACTCTTTGAGTTTTCGTACTACAACAGTGAAACTTGGTAGAAGAATAGATTAAATGTTCACGTATAACGCTCAAGGTTCTTGGGGAAAATATGTTAAATACTTTTGGAGATATCGAACGGCAAAGTTGAACTAAGTTATTTGGGCTATTAATGAACCGATTTTTAATTTGAACCTTGAGCTGTATTCCTGAAATCTCGACGTGTATTAATATGTATGATATGTCATATTAGGCCCTATAATAAGGACGTCTATAGACTTTGAAGTGGACCGAAAATCAAAACATGACGCGCCGACCGCTGTCCGACTGAACCGCTCGGCTGTGCTTCGAATCGCTGTTTTAAATATGACGCGCTACAAATTTTTTTTATAGACGTATCGAGTTTACGTACTACAACAATCAAATTGGGCAGACGAACATATTAAATGTAGACGTACAACGCTCAAGGTTCGTGGTCAAAATAAGTTAAATACTTCGGGAGATATCGGACCGCAAAGTTGAACTTAGTTTCCCGGTTTATTATTTGACCTATTTTACATTTGAACCTTGAGCTGTATTCCTGATATCCCGCCAATTATTTTAATGTATGACATGTATTATAACACCTCATAATAAAGCCGTCCATACATTTTAAGACGGAACGAAAATAAAAATTAACGCGTCGGCCGCCGTCAGACTGAATCGTGATCTACACATCGTGTAGCACAGCCGAGTGTGTGGTCACGTGACGCTAGGCGGTTGATCCGATTGGATGAGACTATAAACAATTTCTAAAGATAGATACGTGTGTTCCCGTATTTGACTCGTCGGGTATTGCTATTTTATATTTAAGTAGACAGGCATGTTTCATAACTTTGTTTTAAACCATTGAAACGGCAAAAAAAAGTCGTAATAGTATTTACTAATCGTCAAAATTAATCTTCTTTAGAAATTAATCCGGATAGCTGCGACCCGACCAAACAATCAATGCTGACGTGATTTGCGTGCCGTAACGTTTCATTATTGTCACTATTGTGTACATTACTTTTTCGTAAAAATTGCTTTAAAAAATAAATTAAATTTTACCCCGGGCTCTTTTTTTCGGTTGACTAAAATTTTTAAAAACCCTTAACAACGTGGAGGTTACTAGCTTGCCAAATCGACCAAAATGGGATGGGGTGGGTATGGGGAGTCACTGACCATCCTACACGGTATGTAACTATTGTAACGCCGTATGTAACATCCATAGCCTCACCCCGCCCCCACTACTCCGTGACGCGACAAGCCAAGGGTCGGCGCCTTTGATGTTGTATAACACCCGTACGGTGCCCGAGCGGCTCGCGGTGGTTTCATACCCCACCTCCCTCCCCCTTCACTTTGTGGAGTTGATGTTACTAACCCTCGGGCATAGATCAGGAAATCTTCCCAGACTTTTGTCTCTAAAATTACATAATATTCGTCTGACACGTTCATCGGGTTGGCCGACTAGCCTGTCTAGCCTCGTGTTTACGTAATACGGCAATAAAATTCGTTGGTCAGAAAACCTGGTTAACCACGTCTGATTTCACTAAATCTAGGCAAATGCTGATGGTGATAAACGCCTCGGAAACTTAAAAAAATGCCTAGCATCTACTACACACAGTCAAACACTCAAACACGTGCTTTTTTCCCAATGTAATAGGCCTATGGTAGGCCTACAAAATACACAAGCTTACAACTAGCATAAACATTGAGCATATATAAATCTATGTTATAGACCTATAACTTACACTACCTAGTACAAGCTAAAAAAAAAACAATTTTCCTCCAATGTTTATGTTATTAAAATTGTAAAAATGAGCAATTTTTTGTGTTTAAAAATATTACAAAATTGTCATAAAGCACACTGATTCTGATAAGACATATTTGTAACTAGGCTAATTCTATAGAAGAAAGTTGTATCAATGTAAAGTAACAAGAAAATTTAATAAGATATGCCTATATTTTTGGAATAGAGTAGGCCTGTAGGATTGCACATAGATTACATAACATATTTTAAGAAGTTACATCATCACAAATATACTATTGTTATAGCATCCTTCTCTTTGTATTAAAACTGTATTAGTTATCTTTTCTTTAAGTAGGCTATTCACTTAAGTTAACTGACAATGAGCAAAAGAGATTTTAAAATAAATACATGGTAAATTATGAGCAAAAGGTGCGAATTACATAACCTGACCTTTATAGTTTTGTAATAATGTTTGACCATTTTAAATATCACCATTAGCTTCAGCATATACAAATGTCATATTATGGTTTAAAACAGTGTTTAATTTAAAGAATGACTTCTTATCACACGGATTATCAGATGTTGTAAAAAAATTGAAGGGGGGTATTACACAATCCATGAAATTAGTCTGTTATGTAATCAAAAGACACTTTTTAAAATAGCATCATTGGATTCGGCATACAAAAATCTACAAAATATCATAAAATGACATCAATTGGTGAAGTCTGCTTACTTTTATACCACTTTTAGTGAAAAACTCTTAAAAATTTGGTCCATACCCTCCCAATATTTTTCCTCTTTCAGGGTCTACCCTGGTTGTCTGAAAAAACTGCTGTTTTTTAATTATAAAAAAATTCATAACTTTTTTGTTTATGGTCAGATTTTGAAAATTCAAACTGATCTGTAATCAGATTGACAGCCCCTATCTAAATATGTAACTATTATATTGTTTTACTGAAATTAAAATTTTGCATTGGCCTAGCTACGTCAATTATGGAAGACTTCTATAAAGCTGTGCTCAATAAAAATGAGGAACATAAAGTGTTCGTTTACATGCATACCTTTGATCATAACGAATGATCATAACTATTGCAAGCCTGTTGTCTTAAGCGGTGTTAAACCCTCAGCACATCATCCCTGCCAAAAAGGGCCTGCCACTAAATGCCTACCGACGAAAATAGGCCACACTATATTGACTCCAAATGAAATAATTTCTGACAATAAGGCTCAAACCAAGTTTCTCCTGGCAGCGATATTCGACAAGCGTCCAAGACAATTATTGGCTTGCGTCTTAATACCACAGTACCTAATGTAAAGTCAGAGCTCAGTATAAGCTTGAGTTTAATATAGTGTTAGCAGTGGTCAGCCTCTAAGACGGTCATTATGAATACGGCCGTCAACAAAACGCCCGAGTCCGACGATATCTGAACATCATTTTTGTTTTTTATGAAGTGCGGAGCACCTTTAAGACCTGAGCTTGGCCCCTGTTGACACCACCACTATTATGTCCACATATTAATCACAAGTTTTGAAAATTAAATATTCTGTTATTTCAAATACACCATTACGTTTCTTATCCCTTAATGGAACAGTTGACACCACATTTAAATATCTAGCTTACTCAGTGGCAGAGAAAAAAGATAATTTTAAAATTATTCTAGAATGGAAAATGAAAGACAAAACCACATTCTTGCCCCCCTGCCGGCATAACAGGATGTCGTGGACTTGTGTACACGAGTTTTTAAATCCCGCCATGGTAATTGTGTCAACATAGGTTATTTACTCACCGGAAAATAACAAAAAAAAAAACAGCTGGTTGATAATAAAACTAGATCTAGTTATTTATTAAATTGATAAAGGAAAATATACATTACAAATTCTACTCTTCATGTTATTCATACCATTTTATGAAATAATGAACACTTGCATAAATCAAATGAACATAATAAATATTTTTATTTCAAATTCTAATTTTAAATATGCTTAAAATAATATGATAGTCTAAAGATCTAAATACAAATACATTTTACACTCAGTTCACATTATATTGAGTCAACAGTGGGGAAGCTGAAGTTCATAGACATGGAGCTCCGAGTCTTTTTTTACATTTCATTTTTTTTTCATATTGAAAACATGACATGTTATTTTTTTTTTTTTTAAATAAAATCTCCAAACATCGTCACTCGCGTGATTACTTGCTTACTTTTACTATCCCGTGGGTGAAAAATGCTCGGTCGACTGGGGGTCACTGTGAGTTCAGCAGGCCAATAGTAAACGTCATAAATGAACACGCGTACACTAGATCGTATGTGTCTTCACTTCTTCCGCCCCCTTTTTTTCAAGAAATTGAAAAACAGACCTACTTTGCTACTCCTGGTCATTTTTTTTTAAGTTCACATATCACCTAAACTTATTATTTCATTTTTAAAATTATAAGAGTAGAGCCGAATGGATACAAAGCTAAGACTAATTTTAAAACAGTTTTTTTTTTTTTTGTCTACACAAAAGGCACACTTTATTTTTAAACTCTTAAAAGATAAAGCAATTTTTAATGTAGAAGGTAAAGTAATTTAAATATTCAATTTCAACTTGAAGTCGATCTATTCTATCTTGATACAATCTGTCACAAAAAAATCGATAAAAGCTCTCCATCCTGTACTTATACCAATTGTACTTTTAACAGACAAAAACAATGCTCGCGTAAAAAAAATTTTTTAACTAGATCTAAATCTAGGCCTAGTAACTTCCTGTTAATTTTTGTTTACTGTTTCAATCTTATTCAAAAATCCAAAAAGTGCTGTATTAAAAGAAATAAATATATATATTAAAATTTGTTCTGTTTATAATTTATTTCATTGATATAAAATATGCAACATGGCAGATGGACCGAAAGTCCAATGAACTACAATTGTAGATCCTGCTGAAATTTTAAATGCTGCATTAGTTGAACATGAAAACTGGTGCATCGCATCATTAGCAGTCACTAAGCCAAAATGATAAGGCTAGCCAAGCGCAGGTTGCTTCACAAGACTATGATATGTGATAGCTGCAAAGAGCTATGCAAACTAATGACATATAGCCAAGGGATAGATGGGAAAAGGTGGGCTTGTCAACCCTGCGGTTCATTCTTCACAAAACATCACTTGACCTTGAAGTTGAAGCAGATAATAATGATGATTTACTGCTTTGCGCAAGATATGCAGCAAAATCTAAGCAGGCACTAGGGGCAAATTGAAAATGAGAAAACTGTGATTGATTGGTTTAACTTTTGTCCGGAAGATGCAGCAAGATATTAGTAGCGGCACACAACTTAGATTGGGGACATTTACAAAAATAGTAACCCAATAATTGTATAAATAGACGAATCAAAATATTTTCATGGTAAATATCTCGGTGCTTGGCGATAATTGCTAAAAAGAGAGAACAAAACTTTTCCTTTTTTATGGCGAAAAAAGAATATTGTATTTTAAGCGGTAATTAGGTAATTTTGATTTTTTGTTTGTTTTCTCTGCCTCTGAGTAAGCTAGACAAATAAATTTGGTTACAAATTAACCAATAAGGGATATGATTTTTAATGATGTATGATAAGTGACAGAATATTTTCATAAAAAATGTAAGGAGTCAAGCTAAACAATAGCAATGAATTATTGGCGCCCCTAGCCTACCTGAGTACATTTTTGTTAACATCTGTTTTAGAATAAAAGGTAGCAGTTGACAAGAAATCTATAGGCCTGGATCTAAACTTTTTAAAGATATTCAGTTACAGGGAGATTTTTGTAGGCTGCTATACCAGTGCAGGAGAATATAATCTTCTTGTAAAGTGGATGTTGGGTTACTGGCAGTTAACTCAGATACACACATGGCTTTTTAATGTCAATGCTAACTCTACTATACCCCTAACCCTAAAACATTAAAACTAGTTGAGATTCAATATTGCAATACCTATAACAACCTAACATAAATTTTGGAAGGGTCTATGATCAGACATTTGTATCTTCAATCATCCCAGTTTTGATTTGGCCTAATCAGTGTATTTTTAGCAATGTTTAATAAGAACAATTAATAAAAGAATGAGATGTCATTGTGAAATGAATCTAACCTTCCTTCCTTAAACTTAAAATGGGCATGGGACCGTCCGCAGTATTTACAAAGCTTGGTCCTGGCTGTTTTAAATATTTTAGGATGTGTATCTATTTTGTTTTTCTTTAACTTTAAAAAAAAACCTCTCATTCCGCTAAAATTTATCACATGTGAGCAAGCAATGCATTCCAAACATGGTTATAGACTTTGCATATTGACAGCTTGCTCACGTTGTCTTATCAACTAGTGAAACATTGCTCACCCAAAGCTAAACATATCTAGGCTGACGTTTAATATTGAACATCTAGATCTAGAGTCTAGATCTATTTAAAGATTGAGTTAAAGAGGCTTTGACATTAAATTTGATCACCTGTGGGCAAAAATTTAGTCATGAGCTCGTTAGTGTTCTTGTATCAAGCAAGTGAGCGTGTCCCAGTACTACTTTGTTTACTAGATCTGAGTAAGCCAACCAATTAGATGTGGTTATGTAGACTGTCCTTAGCTAATATAATTATCATATCTATATATATAATTCTCTTCTTGGAGACCCTAGAAAACACCAAGCTGTAAGCAAGCCTAGCAGTCCTATCTCTTCCTCTCTAGGCATATCGCTACCATCCTCATCCCCACATGGTCTGGTGAGCTGTGGTTCACGCTAAATGTTTACAATCGTAGAGACGGGTTTAGTGACGGCTATTAGGGGCAGATACTTTAGTTTGAAACAATTTTAAACTTAGGGGAGGTAACTAAGAGGAGGCTGCTTTCACAGGAGGGGTAGGGTAGGGTTTGGGGGAAAGGAGGGTGGGGGGGGGGTTATCATCCTTAACGACCTACTGATAGTGTTTTAAAGCAAATATTTTCAGTGGCAGCATTGGTACTGTTGAATTCACAAATTATGAATTACTGAAAAGTAGAAAAAACATCAACTAAATAGCGGCATATGATACGCCGCGGGTCGGCTCGTTTATTTTATTAGCCTTGTCCTTCTATATCCAAATCTTAAAAAATAGTTTTTTAAGATTTTTTATAAAAAGAATAATATCATAACTAGATTTAGATTTTACTAGTAGTAATTAGAAATGATTATTATAATCAAAAGGATACTCGTAACTTGGTTATGTAATCTATTAACTAAGCTTATATTTTAAGTATTGGTCAAATGAATGAACCAAAAATAATAATAATAAATAAATGTTTTAGGTCTAGATCTAGACTTTAAAGATATTCATATTCATTTTAATTAGTTTTGTGGAGAATTTTGAGGCTATAGCAGTGCAGGATAAGAGAAACTTTGAGCCATCTTGTTCGTTGGTCAAATTTAAATAGCCAGGCTGTATAAAAGCTGGAAAACTTTTATTATCCTACCAATAACTTCAATAAACATTTTTAGGTGGATGTCTGTCAAAATATTTACTGACGAGCCAAAGCAGAATGATTAACAACAAATAATCATTGATCGAATTTGAAATACACGTTTATTTATTGTCATACCAAGAAATGAATCTGCCAATAGTTGAGATGGTTTAAGACACCACCAAGAAATGGATGTGCCAATAGTTGAGGTGGTTTAAGACACCACCAAGAAATGGATGTGCCAATAGTTGAGATTGTTAAGACACCACCAAGAAATGAATCTGCCAATAGTTGAGATTGTTAAGACACCACCAAGAAATGAATCTGCCAATATACAAGTCTGTCTTCTGGCCTAAAACCCTGAAGTGACCGCTACTCAAACTCTTTTTATATTTTTCAACAGATGAAGCTTCTCACTACATCTTAGGCCTGTCTCATCAATATAGAAACATCCCCTCTAGTATGGTTAAGGAGAGCATTCACATTTTTATTTAGATTATTTTTTTATAGTGAAATGGGTGTTCTCTTCTCAAAAATATGGAGTTTATTTACCAATGAAGGTAAGAAATGTACCATATAGTTACCTCACCACAACTGTGCCATATAGTTACCTCACCACAACTGTACCATAGAGTTACCTCACCACACCTGTACCATAGAGTTACCTCACCACACCTGTACCATATAGTTACCTCACCACACCTGTACCATATAGTTACCTCACCACAACTGTACCATATAGTTACCTCACCACACCTGTATAGTTACCTCACCACACCTGTACCATATAGTTACCTCACCACAACTGTACCATATAGTTACCTCACCACACCTGTACCATATAGTTACCTCACCACACCTGTACCATATAGTTACCTCACCACACCTGTATAGTTACCTCACCACACCTATACCATATAGTTACCTCACCACAACTGTACCATATAGTTACCTCACCACAACTGTACCATATAGTTACCTCACCACAACTGTACCATATAGTTACCTCACCACAACTGTACCATATAGTTACCTCACCACAACTGTACCATATAGTTACCTCACCACAACTGTACCATATAGTTACCTCACCACAACTGTATAGTTACCTCACCACAACGGTTCCATATAGTTACCTCACCACACCTGTATAGTTATCTCACCACACCTGTATAGTTACCTCACTACAACGGTTCCATATAGTTACCTCACCACACCTGTATAGTTATCTCACCACACCTGTATAGTTACCTCACCACACCTGTGCCATATAGTTACCTCACCACACCTGTACCATATAGTTACCTCACCACACCTGTGCCATATAGTTACCTCACCACACCTGTGCCATATAGTTACCTCACCACACCTGTACCATATAGTTACCTCACCACACCTGTATAGTTATCTCACCACACCTGTGCCATATAGTTACCTCACCACACCTGTATAGATACCTCACCACACCTGTATAGTTACCTCACCACACCTGTATAGTTATCTCACCACACCTGTATAGTTACCTCACCACACCTGTATAGTTACCTCACCACAACTGTACCATATAGCTACCATTAACCCCTTAAAAAAATTAGCTTCATTGATTGAGTCCAATATTTCTTCCTACAGAGCATAAGATCATAATTGTGGGCCTTGATAATGCTGGGAAAACAACAATTTTATATCAGTTGTAAGTTGCTGTTTTATTATTGATGTTTCTCAAATCTGTCACTTGGAAATTGTAGTTGTTAAGCTATTTTTAAAGTTAGCAGGTTCCTGTCAGTATTGGCAGGTTCCTGTCAGGTTATACTATGACTGTGAATTGGCTTGATCACCTCTTATGTTAAGGATGCACATTTATTCATGTGAATTGTTGAACTAGTACAGTTATTCATGTGAATTGTTGAACTAGTACATTTATTCATGTGAATTGTTGAACTAGTACATTTATTCATTTGAATTGTTGAACTAGTACAGTTATTCATTTGAATTGTTGAACTAGTACAGTTATTCATGTGAATTGTTAAACTAGTACAGTTATTTATGTGAATTGTTGAACTAGTACAGTTATTTATGTGAATTGTTGAACTAGTACATTTATTCATGTGAATTGTTGAACGAGTACATTTATTCATGTGAATTGTTGAACTAGTACATTTATGCATGTGAATTGTTGAACTAGTACAGTTATTCATGTGAATTGTTGAACTAGTACAGTTATCATGTGAATTGTTGAACGAGGACATTTATTCATGTGAATTGTTGAACTAGTACATTTATGCATGTGAATTGTTGAACTAGTACAGTTATTCATGTGAATTGTTGAACTAGTACAGTTATCATGTGAATTGTTGAACTAGTACAGTTATCATGTGAATTGTTGAACTAGTACAGTTATCATGTGAATTGTTGAACTAGTACAGTTATCATGTGAATTGTTGAACTAGTACAGTTATCATGTGAATTGTTGAACTAGTACAGTTATCATGTGAATTGTTGAACGAGTACATTTATTCATGTGAATTGTTGAACTAGTACATTTATGCATGTGAATTGTTGAACTAGTACATTTATTCATGTGAATTGTTGAACTAGTACATTTATTCATGTGAATTGTTGATCTAGTCCATTTAATCCTATGAATTGTTGAACTATCACATTTAGTTGTGTGATTAGTTGAACTATCACATTTAGTTGTGTGATTAGTTGAACTATCACATTTAGTTGTGTGATTAGTGAGACTCTAAAGCTGCTGTCACTTTGCCCAGCTTAATGAATGAGGTGGTCCACACATCACCCACCATTGGCAGCAATGTGGAGGAAGTGGTCTGGAAGAATATCCATTTCCTTATGTGGGATATTGGCGGCCAGGAGTCTTTAAGGTCCTCATGGAATACTTACTACACAAACTCTGAGGTATTACTTGCAGCAGTTAACATCAGGGTCGTCTCTCATAGAAGGGTTATTGTCCCTAGTTAACATTAGGGTTGTCTCTCCTAGAAGGGTTATTGTCCCTAGTTAACATTAGAGTTGTCTCTCCTAGAAAACTTATTGTCCCCAGTTACCATTAACATTAGGGTTGTCTCTCCTAGAAGGGTTATTGTCCCCAGTTAACATTAGGGTTGTCTCTCCTAGAAGGGTCCCCAGTTAACATTAGGGTTGTCTCTCCTAGAAGGGTCCCCAGTTAACATTAGAGTTGTCTCTCCTAGAAGGGTTATTGTCCCCAGTTAACATTAGGGTTGTCTCTCCTAGAAGGGTCCCCAGTTAACATTAGGGTTGTCTCTCCTAGAAGGGTCCCCAGTTAACATTAGAGTTGTCTCTCCTAGAAGGGTCCCCAGTTAACATTAGGGTTGTCTCTCCTAGAAGGGTCCCCAGTTAACATTAGAGTTGTCTCTCCTAGAAGGGTCCCCAGTTAACATTAGGGTTGTCTCTCCTAGAAGGGTCCCCAGTTAACATTAGGGTTGTCTCTCCTAGAAGGGTCCCCAGCCTCATCTGCCCTGGGGTCTGAGCTTGTGACCATACCATGCTGCCCCCTCTAGTGAGGTTTTTTTATAGCTATCATCTCTCCCCACACATTGACATCAATATGATTAGAAAGCAACTAGTATTGACTAAACACATGTACATATAGCGTAGCCTCCTAACATGTCTGTATATAAAAACCTGCCTTTACCTGCCATCTGATTGAGTGTCAATGTCTTGCCATCTGATTGAGTGTCAATGTCTTGCCATCTGATTGAGTGTCAATGTCTTGCCATCTGATTGAGTGTCAATGTCTTGCCATCTGATTGAGTGTCAATGTCTTGCCATCTGATTGAGTGTCAATGTCTTGCCATCTGATTGAGTGTCAATGTCTTGCCATCTGATTGTGTGTCAATGTCTTGAAGTTCATCATCATGGTGATTGACAGCACAGACAGAGAGCGCCTGTCCATCACTAAAGAGGAGCTTTACAAAATGCTGGCCCATGAGGTGAGATTTAAAACAAAATTATTTTTACAAATTCTTTTGCTTTTAAAAAGGAAGAAACATTTCCCAACAAAAATCCTTTATAAGATTAGTATTTCAACCAATTGATGTTGTTGTTTTGTGTAAAATATTGGACACATTGACCTAGCTGTAAGAAGCTGCAGTACTACAGGTCTCCAACTGTTAAAAAACGTGCAAGTTCTTTCACAAAATTTGTTTCTAAAAAAAAAAGAACGCAAAAATGTGGAATAACTGCAAGAAGTTCCCAAAACAAAACAGACTTAGCACAAGTAAAAACTTAGATTCTACAAAACTTACAAAAAGGTGAAAACTTAGATTCTACAAAACTTACAAAAAGGTGAAAACTTAGATTCTACAAAACTTACAAAAAGGTGAAAACTTAGATTCTACAAAACTTACAAAAAGGTGAAAACTTAGATTCTACAAAACTTAGCACAAGTTAAAACTTAGATTCTACAAAACTTAGCACAAGTTAAAACTTAGATTCTACAAAACTTAGCACAAGTTAAAACTTAGATTCTACAAAACTTAGTACAAGTTAAAACTTAGATTCTACAAAACTGTGTTGAGGTAAAAATTAGTGTTGAGATAAAAATTAGTGTTGAGGTAAAAATTAGTGTTGAGGTAAAAATTAGTGTTGAGGTAAAAATTAGTGTTGAGGTAAAAATTAGTGTTGAGATAAAAATTAGTGTTGAGGTAAAAATTAGTGTTGAGGTAAAAATTAGTGTTGAGGTAAAAATTAGTGTTGAGGTATAAAGTTTTGTGTTGAGGTAAAAATTAGTGTTGAGGTATAAATTAGTGTTGAGGTAAAAATTAGTGTTGAGGTAAAAATTAGTGTTGAGGTATAAAGTTTTGTGTTGAGGTAAAAATTAGTGTTGAGATAAAAATTAGTGTTGAGGTAAAAATTAGTGTTGAGGTAAAAATTAGTGTTGAGGTAAAAATTAGTGTTGAGGTATAAAGTTTTGTGTTGAGGTAAAAATTAGTGTTGAGGTAAAAATTAGTGTTGAGGTAAAAATTAGTGTTGAGATAAAAATTAGTGTTGAGGTAAAAATTAGTGTTGAGGTAAAAATTAGTGTTGAGATAAAAATTAGTGTTGAGGTAAAAATTAGTGTTGAGGTATAAATTAGTGTTGAGGTAAAAATTAGTGTTGAGGTAAAAATTAGTGTTGAGGTAAAAATTAGTGTTGAGGTATAAAGTTTTGTGTTGAGGTAAAAATTAGTGTTCAGGTATAAATTAGTGTTGAGGTAAAAATTAGTGTTGAGGTAAAAATGTGTGTTGAGATAAAGTTTTGTGTTGAGGTAAAGTTTTGTGTTGAGGTAAAAATTAGTGTTGAGGTAAAAATTAGTGTTGAGGTATAAATTAGTGTTGAGGTAAAAATTAGTGTTGAGGTAAAAATTAGTGTTGAGGTAAAAATTAGTGTTGAGGTAAAGTTTTGTGTTGAGGTAAAAATTAGTGTTGAGGTAAAAATTTGTGTTGAGGTATAAAGTTTTGTATTGAGGTATAAAGTTTTGTGTTGAGGTAAAAATTTGTTTTGAGGTATAAAGTTTTGTGTTGAGGTATAAAGTTTTGTGTTGAGGTATAAAGTTTTGTGTTGAGGTATAAAGTTTTGTGTTGAGGTATAAAGTTTTGTGTTGAGGTATAAAGTTTTGTGTTGAGGTATAAAGTTTTGTGTTGAGGTATAAAGTTTTGTGTTGAGGTATAAAGTTTTGTGTTGAGGTATAAAGTTTTGTGTTGAGGTATAAAGTTTTGTGTTGAGGTATAAAGTTTAGTGTTGAGGTATAAAGTTTTGTGTTGAGATATAAAGTTTTGTGTTGAGATATAAAGTTTTGTGTTGAGATATAAAGTTTTGTGTTGAAGGATCTCAGGAAAGCTGCTGTCCTCATCTATGCCAACAAACAGGACATCAAGGGCTGTCTGTCACCTGCTGAGATATCTCAGCAGCTGAACCTGACCTCAGTCAAAGACCACGTCTGGCACATACAGGCTTGCTGCGGACTCACAGGGGAGGGGTAGGTCATCTTTTGCTTGTTGTGGGGCAACATGGGGGGTGGGGGGTAAGGTCATCTTAAGCTTACTGTACCTGCGATTGAGGATCAAGAGACACACTAATGATGCGCAACTTAAAACAAAAGATTAAATAAACTAATTTTTGTGACAGTTTGAAAGCAGCTGTTAGCCCAGGTGAAGTAGAGTTACTGAAAAAAAAAATCTGTTGTGTACTTTGTTTTTCCATAGCCTGTAAGTAACAAACAAAAAACTTCCTTGCAATTGTGCACCAGTTGTCTTAAATTGTGCTGTAGCACCAGCTGTCTGAAATTGTGCTGTAGCACTAGAAATTGTGCTGTAGCTCCAGATGTTTGAAATTGTGCTGTAGCACCAGATGTCTGAAATTGTGCTGTAGCACCAGATGTCTGAAATTGTGCTGTAGCACCAGATGTCTGAAATTGTGCTGTAGCACCAGATGTCTGAAATTGTGCTGTAGCACTAGAAATTGTGCTGTAGCACCAGATGTCTGAAATTGTGCTGTAGCACCAGCTGTCTGAAATTGTGCTGTAGCACTAGAAATTGTGCTGTAGCACCAGATGTCTGAAATTGTGCTGTAGCACCAGATGTCTGAAATTGTGCTGTAGCACCAGCTGTCTGAAATTGTGCTGTAGCACCAGCTGTCTGAAATTGTGCTGTAGCACGAGCTGTCTAAAATTGTGCTGTAGCACCAGATGTCTGAAATTGTGCTGTAGCACCAGCTGTCTGAAATTGTGCTGTAGCACTAGAAATTGTGCTGTAGCACCAGATGTCTGAAATTGTGCTGTAGCACCAGATGTCTGAAATTGTGCTGTAGCACCAGCTGTCTGAAATTGTGCTGTAGCACCAGCTGTCTGAAATTGTGCTGTAGCACGAGCTGTCTAAAATTGTGCTGTAGCACCAGATGTCTGAAATTGTGCCGTGTAGAGAACTTTAAAACTTTGTTTCAGGCTGTACCAAGGCTTGGAGTGGATAACCTCACATATACGACGACGATGATGGCAGCTTGTCCCTCAATGTTTGATTTAGTCACTGATCTGTAGGAAATTTTAGATTGATTCTTATTTGAAGTAAACAAGCAAGCTCAGATGAGTAGGCTGAAAGTGTACGCACATGTGTACACATTCTAAAAGTGTAGGTGTTTTTGTCAACAGGCCGGGACTTTAAAATAAAAAGACATTATGACCTTTGACATGGTCAACTTCTCGACCCAAGCTGAAGTCTTCCACACATAGAATCACATATAGAATCACACATAGAATTAACTAGGCTGTACCACATCACACATAGAATTAACTAGGCTGTACCACATCACACATAGAATCAACTAGGCTGTACCACACATAGAATTAACTAGGCTGTACCACACATAGAATCAATTAGGCTGTACCACACATAGAATCAACTAGGCTGTACCACACATAGAATCAACTAGGCTGTACCACACATAGAATCAACTAGGCTGTACCACATCACACATAGAATCAACTAGGCTGTACCACACATAGAATTAACTAGGCTGTACCACATATAGAATCAACTAGGCTGTACCACATCACATATAGAATCAACTAGGCTGTACCACACATAGAATTAACTAGGCTGTACCACATCACATATAGAATCAACTAGGCTGTACCACACATAGAATCAATTAGGCTGTACCACATCACACATACAATCAACTAGGCTGTACCACACATAGAATCAACTAGGCTGTACCACACATAGAATCAACTAGGCTGTACCACACATAGAATCAACTAGGCTGTACCACATATAGAATCAACTAGGCTGTACCACATATAGAATCAACTAGGCTGTACCACACATGTATGTGTCATATGACTGACACAAATGTATGTGTCATATGCCTGACACAAATGTATGTCATATGTAGCACAAATGTAAAGACCAACCTAGTGTTTGTTTCCTTGTTTAGTTTGATCCATCATTAATGTATTTGATTTGGCATTGTGTTGTACGTCATGCCCCACCAAAATTCCATGTCAGACTTTTTAATTCAGTTTGTGTTGAGCCTAAAGACTTCCCTAAGTCTCTGCTAGAGAATCCAATTTTGTTTTGATATTATTTTATTTATTTGTATTGTGTTGAAAGCTTAATATCTCAAGATGTGAAATACACTTGTGTTTACAATTTGTTAATATCTCAAGATGTGAAATACACTTGTGTTTACAATTTGTTAATATCTCAAGATGTGAAATACACTTGTGTTTACAATTTGTTAATATCTCAAGATGTGAAATACACTTGTGTTTACAATTTGAATGTTGTCTTGTTGCTAGCTAAGTCAAGTTTGGGGTCCAGGGAATATTTTCACATACTGGTATTGATTTCATAAGTCAGCTAGTCATGGAACAAAATTTGATGCAGAATTGGAAGTGGTCTGTTGAAGTCATTTGTGCTGAATGGAAGTGTTTTCATGTCATGTGTACTGAACGGAAGTGTTCTGATGTCATTTGTGCTGAATGGAAGTGTTCTGATGTCATTTGTGCTGAATGGAAGTGTTCTCATGTCATTTGTACTGAACGGAAGTGTTCTCATGTCATTTGTGATGAATAGAAGTGTTCTGATGTCATTTGTGCTGAATGGAAATGTTCTGATGTCATTTGTGCTGAATGGAAGTGTTCTGATGTCATTTGTGCTGAATGGAAATGTTCTGATGTCATTTATGCTGAATGGAAGTGTTCTCATGTCATTTGTGCTGAATAGAAGTGTTCTCATGTCATTTGTGCTGAATAGAAGTGTTCTCATGTCATTTGTGCTGAATAGATGTGTTCTCATGTCATTTGTGCTGAATAGAAGTGTTCTCATGTCATTTGTGCTGAATAGAAGTGTTCTCATGTCATTTGTGCTGAATAGATGTGTTCTCATGTCATTTGTGCTGAATAGAAGTGTTCTCATGTCATTTGTGCTGAATAGAAGTGTTCTCATGTCATTTGTGCTGAATAGATGTGTTCTCATGTCATTTGTGCTGAATGGAAGTGCTCTTTTATTAACAACATGCTTACAGCCTCATATGTTGGATGTACTGGCCAGCTGATGATGTAGTTGAAGGATGTACTGGCCAGCTGATGATGTTACACATCCATGCTAGGGCAGGTGTTGGTTCTGGAGTTGACCTTGTTCCCTGCGCTAGTGCTTGCTTCAAATGACTGGCCAGATCTAGCCTAGTGCTTGCTCTGGTCAGGTGTTAGCAAACATTTCTTGATGCTGGACATTATTGTATAGACCAAGGTCATTGACCTGGTTTTCATTCTGCTCAGATTTTAAAACTACTGGTCATTTCTTAAGACTTGTCATTTTTTTTTTTGCATGCCCTGACAAATTCAATCCACTTATAGAACTAGGATCTCAAAATATGTTTTGTTGTACAAATATTGCTTGAGATTCTGTGAGGTGAGGTCGTTTGAGATTCTGTGAGGTGAGATGATGCACCTGACTAGATGGGTGGGAATCACGGTAGTGTTGTAGAATGTGGTTGTGGGCTTTGTGGTAGATAGTAGTCCATCTTTTGTCTGCACCTCCCATCTTTCCCATGGCCATTAGAACATTGTGACAAGCATTCCACTAAACGGTGCCTTGTAGGACTACACTAGACCCCTGTAGGGCAACACTAGACCCCTGTAGGACAACACTAGACCCCTGTAGGACAACACTAGACCCCTGTAGGACTACACTAGACCCCTGTAGGACATCACTTGACCCCTGTAGGACAACACTAGACCCCTGCAGGACAACAGTAGACCCCTGTAGGACAACAGTAGACCCCTGTAGGACAACACTAGACCCCTGTAGGACTACACTTGACCCCTGTATGACAACACTAGACCCCTGTAGGGCAACACTAGACCCCTGTAGGACTACACTTGACCCCTGTATGACAACAGTAGACACCATGAACAGAACATGTTTTTTTTCTTGTTAAATCTCTAAGTCAGTTTCCTACAGAATAAATCCACTATTTCAACCATTGTTCTTTTCCTAGATATACTAAAATGAAACATAATTCAACAGTGCTAGATGTTCTCACTTCCATGTAACTTTGATGTAACATAATAATTCAACACTGTTAGAGCTTCTTTCTTCCATGTAACTTTGATGTAACAGTTGTCAATATTTGATGGCTGAACCAGTTATCTATGGGAAGGGGGGGGGGGGGGGGGGTGCCAGAATGGGAACTCATCCCCAAGGTTTCATTTCTTTATGGCCAGTGCTTAGTTTAAAAAGAGAAATGCAGGATCAGAAATATGAAGCTGTCAAATATTTGAAAGTTTTTAGTACTAATTGTTATCATGCTTGTCAAAAGATTCTCCAGAAACAATGTTTTGGTTGAATTGACGTTATTCATTTGTTCATCTTGAAAGCCTAGAATTTTGATTCTGCCATACTTTCATTGAAATGTCATGTCTGTTACTTATTCAATATTTTCAGTTGTGTGAAAATAAATGAATCTGCTAATGTAAAATGTGTCTGTAATGGATGTCAATAGATGAGATGTCTATTTATGTGAAATTAAAAAAAAATATATAATCAACTTCGGACAAAAATTTTTTTTTTTTTACAAGCTTTTATTTAACTCACTTCCTCTGTCTGTCTAGATCAAAACACCCGAGCGAAATTTCGGACACTTCTAACTGACAGATACAGGTTGTAGTTGGTACGTGGGGCAAGACATGAAGACAATGCAACATGACATTAAATTTGACTTAATTGGTTGCCTAATTAATTTTTTATGAATTAATTAAAATTTTGACCAAATTAGTAGGCAGTCTCATCCAAATACTCTGCGCTATTAGACATGCGTCTTCACGTTCAATATGTGCGCAATGGTTTTTACTCTATTGTAAATAAAAACATGTAAAATATTTTTTTAAAATTCATAAAAAACGTTTTAATAACAAGCATTTATGTAATAATGCACTAAAGGGAGAAAATAAATTATACACTACTATTTAAATAACTATAAAGAAAAGCGTGGGTCACTTCCTAAATATTAGTAAAGTCATCCAATAAATACTTAAGTGGCCTACGCTTTTCTTTATAGTTATTTAAATAGTAGTGTGTAATTTATTTTCTACTTTTTAGTGCATTATTACATACAAGCTTGTTATTAAAATGTTTTTTATGAATTTTTTTAAAAATTTGTTTAGACTTGACAATCATTAGCTGACCTACACATTTGCCAAAATCACCACACTAACCAACATACTTGACAAAATCACCACACTAACCAACATACTTGACAAAATCACCACACTGACCAACACACTTGACAAAATCACCACACTGACCACATTTGACAAAATCACCACACTGACCTACACATTTGACAAAATCACCACACTAACCAACATACTTGACAAAATCACAACTTTGACCAACACAAGAGATAAAAAAATACAATGATAAGTGATGCAACATTTTATTTCAACAAGGGTGTGCAAAAAGGTATTAGATCTAAAACAGCAGAAAAACATTTTTTAAAATTTAGATATCACAAGGCAGAGAATCATGTAAAAATTAGAAATCAAGAAGTCACAACAAAATTTATAAAATTAAGAAAGGCACTAGTGGCATGGGAAAATGTATACTATTTAGATCTACTAGAAAGCATGAAACTGTCAACACTTCTTTTCCATCATTATTTTATAAGGCAATGTTCTAAACAGTTCTCTGTCCCATTGGAGCCTTAAGTTTTGTAACAACACTAAAGAATAGTTGACATGTTTTAAAAAACTTAGATCTATTAACTTAAGCAAATTTATTGTTTTTTGCTGGGGTAGTGAAAATAGAAGTAACTACAGAAAGAAAATGTAAATCTTAAAGGAGAAAACTATTTTAATTAGCTTCTAATCTATGTAAACTTCAAGACAAATGGTTAACTTGTAAGTCACATGGTCATTAGGCTGCACCTGATTGGTTGCTTGTGAGGAAATTGTTGCTCAAGCCTTGTTTAGTGTCATGTGCTAAAATTGGTTGACCATAGAAGGGTGGGTTGTCTTGATAAGCTTGGTTGTCATGGTGATGCATCATCCCCTGACTCTGACGTCTCCTGAATGCTTCACGTCTGAATGGTATAAAACAACATACAATAAAACATACAACAACATACAATAAAACATACAACAACATACAATAAAACATACAACAACATACAATAAAACATAAAACAACATACAATAAAACATAAAATAACATACAATAAAACATAAAATAACATACAATAAAACATAAAATAACATACAATAAAACAACATACAATAAAACATACAATAGATCACAGACCCCAACCATACAGGTATAAAACAACATACAATAAAACATAAAACAACATACAATAAAACATAAAACAACATACAATAAAACATAAAACAACATACAATAAAACATACAATGGATCACAGACCCCAGCCATACAGCAATGGCCTATGTTAGCTTCTTGCCTTGGTACCAATTTATAGATAGGACCAAAGAAAAATCTGCAGCACTCTGCCGTGCTGAGTTTTTTACCTTTTGACATAGACAAAGAGTCCAATGACCAAGAGGATGAGCAGACCTAACAAGGTGATGCCACTGGCAATAAGAGCTGTGGTTGTCACTGACATGCCGTCACTGGCGTCATCTGCTGGAGCTTCATCTTTACAGCCTTCCATCTCTGGGGAATAATAAACAACATCAGCACACAAGATTCTCCAGTAGTGTGTGGAGGGTTAAATAAACAACATCAGCACATAAGATTCTCAGGTGATGGAGGGTTAAATAAACAACATCAGCACATAAGATTCTCAGGTGATGGAGGGTTAAATAAACAACATCAGCACATAAGATTCTCAGGTGATGGAGGGTTAAATAAACAACATCAGCACATAAGATTCTCAGGTGATGGAGGGTTAAATAAACAACATCAGCATATAAGATTCTCAGGTGATGGAGGGTTAAATAAACAACATTAGCTCATAAGATTCTCAGGTGGTTGAGGGTTAAATAAACAACATCAGCACATAGGATTCTCAGGTGGTGGAGGGTTAAATAAACAAGTGTTCTAATGGACCCTACAGACCCCTACCTGTTTTGATGGACCACTTGTATGGAGTCTTGAGGTCACAATACTGACATTCATTGTAAATAGACGTCTCTCCTTGCGGCATACATTTGGTGCCAATAAAACAGACATCATTCTGTCAGATGACAAGTTCAAACATTGTGTTAGGTGACATGTTACATTTAGTTAGATGACAAGTTCAAACATTGTGTTAGTTGACATGTTACACTTAGTTAGATGACAAGTTCAAACATTGTGTTAGTTGACATGTTACATTTAGTTAGATGACAAGTTCAAACATTGTTTTAGTTGACATGTTACATTTAGTTAGATGACAAGTTCAAACATTGTGTTAGTTGACATGTTACATTTAGTTAGATGACAAGTTCAAACACTGTGTTAGGTGACATGTTACATTTAGTTAGATGACAAGTTCAAACATTGTGTTAGGTGACATGTTACATTTAGTTAGATGACAAGTTCAAACATTGTGTTAGTTGACATGTTACATTTAGTTAGATGACAAGTTCAAACATTGTGTTAGTTGACATGTTACATTTAGTTAGATGACAAGTTCAAACATTGTGTTAGTTGACATGTTACATTTAGTTAGATGACAAGTTCAAACACTGTGTTAGGTGACATGTTACATTTAGTTAGATGACAAGTTCAAACATTGTGTTAGTTGACATGTTACATTTAGTTAGATCACAAGTTCAAACATTGTGTTAGGTGACATGTTACATTTAGTTAGATGACAAGTTCAAACATTGTGTTAGTTGACATGTTACATTTAGTTAGATGACAAGTTCAAACACTGTGTTAGGTGACATGTTACATTTAGTTAGATGACAAGTTCAAACATTGTGTTAGGTGACATGTTACATTTAGTTAGATGACAAGTTCAAACATTGTGTTAGTTGACATGTTACATTTAGTTAGATGACAAGTTCAAACACTGTGTTAGGTGACATGTTACATTTAGTTAGATGACAAGTTCAAACATTGTGTTAGTTGACATGTTACATTTAGTTAGATGACAAGTTCAAACATTGTGTTAGTTGACATGTTACATTTAGTTAGATGACAAGTTCAAACATTGTGTTAGGTGACATGTTACATTTAGTTAGATGACAAGTTCAAACACTGTGTTAGGTGACATGTTACATTTAGTTAGATGACAAGTTCAAACATTGTGTTAGTTGACATGTTACATTTAGTTAGATGACAAGTTCAAACATTGTGTTAGGTGACATGTTACATTTAGTTAGATGACAAGTTCAAACACTGTGTTAGTTGACATGTTACATTTAGTTAGATGACAAGTTCAAACATTGTGTTAGGTGACATGTTACATTTAGTCAGATGACAAGTTCAAACATTGTGTTAGTTGACATGTTACATTTAGCTAGATGACAAGTTCAAACATTGTGTTAGGTGACATGTTACATTTAGCTAGATGACAAGTTCAAACATTGTGTTAGTTGACATGTTACATTTAGTCAGATGACTAAAAATGGAAAGATGTCCATAGACAAATGACAATAGAAATGTCTATGGTAAAATGTGCATGCAAACTTTCTATAAAATCTCAAGAAAACATCTAAAATTTTATCGATAGGAAAATTTCTAAAGCAACATGTTCAAGGAAAAAATATTAATAGAGAAATATAAGGAGGAAAATATTTTTAAAAATGTAAAGAAAAATATTCAAATTAAAAGTTAAAAGGCCTATAGAAATTGTATTTTGAAAAATAGCCGTAAAAAATTGTCTGTATAAAAATGTGTAATGAAAAATGAGAGTACTGTGCAATAAAAAAATGTTTATAAAAATGTCCTCAGAAAAATTTCTAGAAAATTCCATAGAAATAGTCAATATAAAGAAATATCAAGAAAAATGTAAAGAGAATGTCTATAGAATGTCTATAGCTTGTAGAACAGTCATTGGGAATAGAAAAATATCAACAGCAAATGGGTTTAGCAAAATGTCTAAAGAAAAACTTACATTTTTGATACATGAATAAAAGTCGCAGGAATAACAGGCTGGGTCGTAGGCCAGAAACAGTTGATAGTTGGTGTCTGGGTGCAGCCCATCATTGCTGACAGAAATCATCAAGGCCCTCTTGATGCTACTTTTGATGCCTAGATCACACCTGACCACATTAGTACCCAGCAGCTCACCTCGTACTGTGCTGGTTTTACTAGAAGATTCCAGCCCATGTTCAGTGAACTAAAAATAGATTCTTTTATTAGTAACAACAGATTGAGTATATGTGATTGTGTGAAATGGTATAGGTAACTACGTGACAAGTTTGTAATGTAAGAACAACTTACATCAGCCTCCTTAATGTGACAAGTTTGTATTGTAAGAACAACTAACATCAGCCTCCTTAATGTGACAAGTTTGTAATGTAAGAACAACTTACATCAGCCTCCTTAATGTGACAAGTTTGTAATGTAAGAACAACTTACATCAGCCTCCTTAATGTGACAAGTTTGTAATGTAAGAACAACTTACATCAGCCTCCTTAATGTGACAAGTTTGTAATGTAAGAACAACTTACATCAGCCTCCTTAATGTGACAAGTTTGTAATGTAAGAACAACTTACATCAGCCTCCTTAATGTGACAAGTTTGTAATGTAAGAACAACTTACATCAGCCTCCTTAATGTGACAAGTTTGTAATGTAAGAACAACTTACATCAGCCTCCTTAATGTGACAAGTTTGTAATGTAAGAACAACTTACATCAGCCTCCTTAATGTGACAAGTTTGTAATGTAAGAACAACTTACATCAGCCTCCTTAATGTGACAAGTTTGTAATGTAAGAACAACTTACATCAGCCTCCTTAATGTGACAAGTTTGTAATGTAAGAACAACTTACATCAGCCTCCTTAATGTGACAAGTTTGTAATGTAAGAACAACTTACATCAGCCTCCTTAATGTGACAAGTTTGTAATGTAAGAACAACTAACATCAGCCTCCTTAATGTGACAAGTTTGTAATGTAAGAACTTACATCAGCCTCCTTAATGTGACAAGTTTGTAATGTAAGAACAACTTACATCAGCCTCCTTAATGTGACAAGTTTGTAATGTAAGAACAACTTACATCAGCCTCCTTAATGTGACAAGTTTGTAATGTAAGAACAACTTACATCAGCCTCCTTAATGTGACAAGTTTGTAATGTAAGAACAACTTACATCAGCCTCCTTAATGTGACAAGTTTGTAATGTAAGAACAACTTACATCAGCCTCCTTAATGTGACAAGTTTGTAATGTAAGAACAACTTACATCAGCCTCCTTAATGTGACAAGTTTGTAATGTAAGAACAACTTACATCAGCCTCCTTAATGTGACAAGTCAGAAGATGGGAGTTGACAAAATTTTTGCCCAGCAGAAACACGGTCGCGCACTCTGAGTGGTCTCCAATTTCACACATCTCAAACCCTTCGTGTGGGTCAATAAGTGTGGGGACACCCAGCTGACTGATGGGCAGCTCACAGCCACTCCCCACATACTCACTGTCACACATACACTGACCTGTGGGGGAGAGGTCATTTATTACATTGTTTTATTTGGGGGGGGGTCATTCATTACATGTCATTGTTTTATTTGGGGGGGGGGGTCATTCATTACATGTCACTGTTTTATTTAGGGGGGGTCATTCATTATACGTCATTGATTTATTTGGGGGGAGGGGTCATTCATTATATGTCACTGTTTTATTTGAGGGGGGGGGGGGTCATTCATTACATGTCGTTGTTTTATTTGGAGGGGGGGGAGTCATTCATTACATGTCATTGTTTTATTTGGGGAGGGGTCATTCATTACATGCCATTGTTTTATTTGTGTGGGGGAGGTGTTTCTATTAATGTACCAATACATTTTATTTTGTCAAGAGTAGAGCTGTGACAGGTGGAGAAAAAAATTTACCTCGGCTACATTTTCCATGGCCGCTACAATTAAAGGGCACACAGGTCAAGTCCATGAAGGCAATGGCAAGGTCGCTGGAAGTTTTGTTTCTCTGGTACAGGGGGTTGTGGTTCAACTCCTGGATGCACAGCTGGGTGGCAAAGTTCTGAGATCCCACAAACCAATCTGTGCTGTCTGACAGCTGGAATCACAAACATATTTCTGTATCCATTCTCATGGCCACATTTTCATGGCCGCATTTTCATGGCCGCATTTTCATGGCCGCATTCTCATGGCCACATTCTCATGGCCACATTCTCATGGCCACATTCTCATGGCCGCATTCTCATGGCCGCATTCTCATGGCCACATTCTCATGGCCACATTCTCATGGCCGCATTCTCATGGCCACATTCTCATGGCCACATTCTCATGGCCACATTCTCATGGCCACATTCTCATGGCCACATTCTCATGGCCGCATTCTCATGGCCGCATTCTCATGGCCGCATTCTCATGGCCACATTCACATGGCCGCATTCTCATGGCCACATTCTCATGGCCACATTCTCATGGCCGCATTCTCATGGCCACATTCTCATGGCCGCATTCTCATGGCCACATTCTCATGGCCGCATTCTCATGGCCACATTCTCATGGCCACATTCTCATGGCCACATTCTCATGGCCACATTCTCATGGCCGCATTCTCATGGCCACATTCTCATGGCCACATTCTCATGGCCACATTCTCATGGCCACATTCTCATGGCCACATTCTCATGGCCGCATTCTCATGGCCACATTCTCATGGCCACATTCTCATGGCCACATTCTCATGGCCACATTCTCATGGCCACATTCTCATGGCCGCATTCTCATGGCCGCATTCTCATGGCCACATTCTCATGGCCACATTCTCATGGCCACATTCTCATGGCCACATTCTCATGGCCACATTCTCATGGCCACATACCTTCATGGCCAAATTCCTTCATGGCCACATTCAAGCCATTGAATAATAGATTTTCCTTACCCGTATGTCATCGATGCAGATTTTGACTGGATCCTCCAGGTTTAAGGCACTCAATGTGTTGTCCAGTGAAAGAATTGCTTCCTTACAGGCCTGCAGGGGTTGGTTGAATAAATTGTCCAGACAAAAATCTGTTGCTTTATCTAAGGTCCAACCACTGGGTGTAGGCCAACCCGATTCCTAGAATAAAAGAAGTAGTTCAAGCTCATGTACAGTAGATAGACTCAGAGGCGTAGCGACCCTTCTCAGCGCCTGGGGACAAACTTTTCGATTTACACCCCCTCCCTCAAGATTTCGATTTGCACCATCCCTCAAACTTTCGATTTGCACCCCCCCCCCTCAAACTTTCGATTTGCACCCCCCTCAATTTATTTTTCCAACCCATTTTGGCGCCCCCTAAGGTTTGCACCCGGGGATATATGTCCCCCCCGCACCCCCTTGCTACGCTACTGGTTAGACTCAAGGTCATGCACAGTAGTTAGGCTCAAGGTCATGCACAAACAGACGAGAATGAGCAGTAGCTAGCTAACATCAGCATGTGCTATAGTAGCCAGTAACCAGTAAACATCAGCATGTGCTATAGTAGCCAGTAGTTAGCTAACATCAGCATGTGCTATAGTAGCCAGTAGCTAGCTAACATCAGCATGTGCTATAGTAGCCAGCTAACATCAGCATGTGCTATAGTAGCCAGTAGCTAGCTAACATCAGCATGTGCTATAGTAGCCAGTAGCTAGCTAACATCAGCATGTGCTATAGTAGCCAGTAAACATCAGCATGTGCTATAGTAGCCAGTAGCTAGCTAACATCAGCATGTGCTATAGTAGCCAGTAGATAGCTAACATCAGCATGTGCTATAGTAGCCAGTAAACATCAGCATGTGCTATAGTAGCCAGTAAACATCAGCATGTGCTATAGTAGCCAGTAGCCAGCTAACATCAGCATGTGCTATAGTAGCCAGTAGCTAGCTAACATCAGCATGTGCTATAGTAGCCAGTAGCTAGCTAACATCAGCATGTGCTATAGTAGCCAGTAGCTAGCTAACATCAGCATGTGCTATAGTAGCCAGTAGCTAGCTAACATCAGCATGTGCTATAGTAGCCAGCTAACATCAGCATGTGCTATAGTAGCCAGTAGATAGCTAACATCAGCATGTGCTATAGTAGCCAGTAGTTAGCTAACATCAGCATGTGCTATAGTAGCCAGTAGCTAGCTAACATCAGCATGTGCTATAGTAGCCAGTAGCTAGCTAACATCAGCATGTGCTATAGTAGCCAGTAGCTAGCTAACATCAGCATGTGCTATAGTAGCCAGTAAACATCAGCATGTGCTATAGTAGCCAGTAAACATCAGCATGTGCTATAGTAGCCAGTAGCTAGCTAACATCAGCATGTGCTATAGTAGCCAGTAGCTAGCTAACATCAGCATGTGCTATAGTAGCCAGTAAACATCAGCATGTGCTATAGTCGCCAGTAAACATCAGCATGTGCTATAATAGCCAGTAGCTAGCTAACATCAGCATGTGCTATAGTAGCCAGTAGCTAGCTAACATCAGCATGTGCTATAGTAGCCAGTAGCTAGCTAACATCAGCATGTGCTATAGTAGCCAGTAGCTAGCTAACATCAGCATGTGCTATAGTAGCCAGTAGCTAGCTAACATCAGCATGTGCTATAGTAGCCAGTAGCTAGCTAACATCAGCATGTGCTATAGTAGCCAGTAGCTAGCTAACATCAGCATGTGCTATAGTAGCCAGTAGCCAGTAAACATCAGCATGTGCTATAGTAGCCAGTAGTTTGCTAACATCAGCATGTGCTATAGTAGCCAGTAGCTAGCTAACATCAGCATGTGCTATAGTAGCCAGTAGTTAGCTAACATCAGCATGTGCTATAGTAGCCAGCTAACATCAGCATGTGCTATAGTAGCCAGCTAACATCAGCATGTGCTATAGTAGCCAGTAGCTAGCTAACATCAGCATGTGCTATAGTAGCCAGTAGTTAGCTAACATCAGCATGTGCTATAGTAGCCAGTAGCCAGTAAACATCAGCATGTGCTATAGTAGCCAGTAGTTAGCTAACATCAGCATGTGCTATAGTAGCCAGTAGCTAGCTAACATCAGCATGTGCTATAGTAGCCAGTAGCTAGCTAACATCAGCATGTGCTATAGTAGCCAGTAGCTAGCTAACATCAGCATGTGCTATAGTAGCCAGTAGCCAGTAAACATCAGCATGTGCTATAGTAGCCAGTAGTTAGCTAACATCAGCATGTGCTATAGTAGCCAGTAAACATCAGCATGTGCTATAGTAGCCAGTAGCTAGCTAACATCAGCATGTGCTATAGTAGCCAGTAAACATCAGCATGTGCTATAGTAGCCAGCTAACATCAGCATGTGCTATAGTAGCCAGTAGCTAGCTAACATCAGCATGTGCTATAGTAGCCAGTAAACATCAGCATGTGCTATAGTAGCCAGTAGCTAGCTAACATCAGCATGTGCTATAGTAGCCAGTAGATAGCTAACATCAGCATGTGCTATAGTAGCCAGTAGTTAGCTAACATCAGCATGTGCTATAGTAGCCAGTAGTTAGCTAACATCAGCATGTGCTATAGTAGCCAGTAGCTAGCTAACATCAGCATGTGCTATAGTAGCCAGTAGCTAGCTAACATCAGCATGTGCTATAGTAGCCAGCTAACATCAGCATGTGCTATAGTAGCCAGTAAACATCAGCATGTGCTATAGTAGCCAGTAGCTAGCTAACATCAGCATCTGCTATAGTAGCCAGTAAACATCAGCATGTGCTATAGTAGCCAGTAAACATCAGCATGTGCTATAGTAGCCAGTAGCCAGCTAACATCAGCATGTGCTATAGTAGCCAGTAGCTAGCTAACATCAGCATGTGCTATAGTAGCCAGTAAACATCAGCATGTGCTATAGTAGCCAGTAGCCAGTAAACATCAGCATGTGCTATAGTAGCCAGTAGTTAGCTAACATCAGCATGTGCTATAGTAGCCAGTAAACATCAGCATGTGCTATAGTAGCCAGTAGCTAGCTAACATCAGCATGTGCTATAATAGCCAGTAGCTAGCTAACATCAGCATGTGCTATAGTAGCCAGTAGCTAGCTAACATCAGCATGTGCTATAGTAGCCAGTAAACATCAGCATGTGCTATAGTAGCCAGTAGCTAGCTAACATCAGCATGTGCTATAGTAGCCAGTAGCTAGCTAACATCAGCATGTGCTATAGTAGCCAGCTAACATCAGCATGTGCTATAGTAGACAGTAGCTAGCTAACATCAGCATGTGCTATAGTAGCCAGTAGCTAGCTAACATCAGCATGTGCTATAGTAGCCAGTAGCTAGCTAACATCAGCATGTGCTATAGTAGCCAGTAAACATCAGCATGTGCTATAGTAGCCAGCTAACATCAGCATGTGCTATAGTAGCCAGTAGCTAGCTAACATCAGCATGTGCTATAGTAGCCAGTAGCTAGCTAACATCAGCATGTGCTATAGTAGCCAGTAAACATCAGCATGTGCTATAGTAGCCAGTAAACATCAGCATGTGCTATAGTAGCCAGTAGCTAGCTAACATCAGCATGTGCTATAGTAGCCAGTAGCTAGCTAACATCAGCATGTGCTATAGTAGCCAGTAGTTAGCTAACATCAGCATGTGCTATAGTAGCCAGTAGTTAGCTAACATCAGCATGTGCTATAGTAGCCAGTAGCTAGCTAACATCAGCATGTGCTATAGTAGCCAGCTAACATCAGCATGTGCTATAGTAGCCAGTAAACATCAGCATGTGCTATAGTAGCCAGTAGCCAGCTAACATCAGCATGTGCTATAGTAGCCAGTAGCTAGCTAACATCAGCATGTGCTATAGTAGCCAGCTAACATCAGCATGTGCTATAGTAGCCAGTAGCCAGTAAACATCAGCATGTGCTATAGTAGCCAGTAGCCAGTAAACATCAGCATGTGCTATAGTAGCCAGTAGTTAGCTAACATCAGCATGTGCTATAGTAGCCAGTAGCTAGCTAACATCAGCATGTGCTATAGTAGCCAGTAGCTAGCTAACATCAGCATGTGCTATAGTAGCCAGTAGCTAGCAAACATTAGCATGTGCTATAGTAGCCAGTAGCCAGCTAACATCAGCATGTGCTATAGTAGCCAGTAGCCTAGAAAGTGCAGCCTACCCTGATTGTTGTGTTGTCTGATGAACTCAGGTCAACTGGTACAGCTCTCTTCTTCCTTCTCTTACCCTCTGAACTTTGAACTTGTTTGGCCAGTTCCAGCAACTTGGGACTTAGATCCTCACCTACACAGACAATCAATTGATCAGTTCATTGGTTCCTGATTGGTTCTCACACTTCTTGTCATACATATTGTACAACTGACCACTAACATCACAAAACATAGAACATACCACTTATAACACCACAAAACATAGAACATACCACTTATAACACCACAAAACATAGAACATACCACTTATAACACCACAAAACATAGAACATACCACTTATAACACCACAAAACATAGAACATACCACTTATAACACCACAAAACATAGAACATACCACTTATAACACCACAAAACATAGAACATACCACTTATAACACCACAAAATGTAGAACATACCACTTATAACACCACAAAATGCTGAAGGTTCTAGAACACCACAACTTGTCACTGTACTGTTTGTGTTCACCCATGCGGAACAATAACTTTGAACTGAACTGTTTGAGATCTTGACTCCAGGAGAGTAAATATTCTCAAGGCTCTCACTGTTCCTGTACACAAGAAATATTGGACAAATGAGACAAAATATTCTCAAGGCTCTCACTGTTCCTGTACACAAGAAATATGGGACAAATGAGATCAATGACCAACTCAAATGAATGACCAAATCAAATGCATGACCCAATCAGATGCATGACCCAATCAGATGCATGACCCAATCAGATGCATGACCAAATCAAATGAATGACCAAATTAAACAAATGACTACTACTTTTCACCCTTTCAGACTGCATTAACAGGTACTTACACCTTCCATAGCTCACTGAAGGAGTCAGGTGTTAAAACGCTGTATTGATTGTCACTCTCAGAGACTTTGTAAATAGTTCCATCAGGTTTCTCCAGGTCATTGTATCTGTCCCCATCAAACACGCCACATAAACCTACACAAAGATTTCCACAGTTAAACACCACTTATACATTCTAGAGCCAATAAACAATGAGTTTAATTGAACAGGATTTAAATATCAATTAATGAAAGCACCACACTTACCTTGTGTAAGTAATTAATGAAAGCACCACACTTACCTTGTGTAAGTAATTAATGAAAGCATCACACTTACCTTGTGTAAGTCCAAAATTCTCAGCAGAAGGAGTAACCCAAACATTCAAGTAGCTTCCCTCAACAGTAACCTTAACTATAACTTTAGTCAGAACCAAATACACCTGGAATATTGGAGGAAATAAACTATAACTTTAGTCAGAACCAAATACACCTGGAATATTGGAGAAGGAGATAAACTATAACTTTAGTCAGAACCAAATACACCTGAATATTGGAGAAGGAGATAAACTATAACTTTAGTCAGTGCCAAATGACTGTCCATACATAGTAGGTCTTGAGGTCAAAGGGATTAATATTTGTTAAAACCTAGGACAGACTGACTAAATATTTGTTAAAACCTAGGTCTGACTAAATATTTGTTAAAACTTAGGTCTGACTAAATATTTGTTAAAACCTAGGTCAGGCTGACTAAATATTTGTTAAAACTTAGGTTTGACTGTCTAAATATTTGTTAAAACCTAGGTCAGGCTGACTAAATATTTGTTAAAACCTAGGTCAGGCTGACTAAATATTTGTTAAAACCTAGGTCTGGCTGACTAAATATTTGTTAAAACATAGGTCTGACTGACTAAATATTTGTTAAAACCTACATAGTAAGTCTGTAGGTCTGACTGTCTAAATATTTGTTAAAACCTACATAGTTAGTCTGTAAGTCTAACTGACTAAATATTTGTTAAAACCTAGGTCAGGCTGACTAAATATTTGTTAAAACCTAGGTCTGACTGTCTAAATATTTGTTAAAACCTACATAGTAAGTCTGTAGGTCTGGCTGACTAAATATTTGTTAAAACCTACATAGTAAGTCTGTAGGTCTGGCTGACTAAATATTTGTTAAAACCTACATAGTAAGTCTGTAGGTCTGGCTGACTAAATATTTGTTAAAACCTACATAGTAAGTCTGTAGGTCTGGCTGTCTAAATATTTGTTAAAACCTACATAGTAAGTCTGTAGGTCTGGCTGACTAAATATTTGTAAAAACCTACATAGTAAGTCTGTAGGTCTGGCTGACTAAATATTTGTTAAAACCTACATAGTAAGTCTGTAGGTCTGGCTGACTAAATATTTGTTAAAACCTACATAGTAAGTCTGTAGGTCTGGCTGTCTAAATATTTGTTAAAACCTACATAGTAAGTCTGTAGGTCTGGCTGACTAAATATTTGTTAAAACCTACATAGTAAGTCTGTAGGTCTGGCTGTCTAAATATTTGTTAAAACTTAGGTCTCACTGTCTAAATATTTGTTAAAACCTACATAGTAAGTCTGTAGGTCTGACTGACTAAATATGTGTTAAAACCTACATAGTAAGTCTGTAGGTCTGGCTGTCTAAATATTTGTTAAAACTTAGGTCTCACTGTCTAAATATTTGTTAAAACCTACATAGTAAGTCTGTAGGTCTGACTGACTAAATATGTGTTAAAACCTACATAGTAAGTCTGTAGGTCTGGCTGTCTAAATATTTGTTAAAACTTAGGTCTCACTGTCTAAATATTTGTTAAAACCTACGTAGTAAGTCTGTAGGTCTGGCTGACTAAATATCCTCATCTGAAGCTGGTCCAAAGTTTGTGCGGTGGAGCCAGGTGTGAAGGAGATGAAGGAATCGTTTTTATTGCAGGTGCTGAGGGTGAGTTTGTTGTAACCTGCGTAGACAGTGACTGCACAGTTGCACGTGCCATAGGCTGCACATTGCTTGAATCTAACTAGCACCTGCACACACAACAAACAACAGAATTGGAAAAATAAAATGTGGAAAAATCAGCATGAGTCAATGCAATAGTAGCCAACAATATAAAAGTTGAGTCAGCATGTAAATGTAACAAAAGTAAGAAGAGTAAAGCCAACAATATAAAAGTTGAGTCAGCGTGTAAATGTAACCAAAGTAAGAAGAGTAAAGCCAACAATATAAAAGTTGAGTCAGCGTGTAAATGTAACCAAAGTAAGAAGAGTAAAGCCAACAATATAAAAGTTGAGTCAGCGTGTAAATGTAACAAAAGTAAGAAGAGTAAAGCCAACAATATAAAAGTTGAGTCAGCGTGTAAATGTAACAAAAGTAAGAAGAGTAAAGCCAACAATATAAAAGTTGAGTCAGCGTGTAAATGTAACTAAAGTAAGAAGAGTAAAGTCCCCTTACAGCAACTGGAAGTTCTGAGTGTCTGTAGAGGATGTAGACTCCAGGTCTGATGGTGTTGTAGGTCCTGGTCAAAACATTGACAGTTGTTTCATTATTAGACATTTTATAACAGTCAAGTATATTGGAATTTATTTGAAGTATCTTTATACTTTAAATTGGAATAAATTGCATTCATTTGTTTTTGAATGAATCTATTTGAGTGCTGAAGTGTTAAAATGTCAAAGAAGAAAAGTTCTCACAGCTGATCAAATGTTGTCAAGTGGGGGTCATTGATGGATGAGCACACAGATTTCTTTTCATCTCTGTCATCAACTTCAATCTGGGGACATATCAGGTCACTAGCTCAGCTCTGTTCATACGTCAGGTGTGTCAATAACTTAGGTGTGTCAATAACTCAGGTGTGTCAATAAGTCAGGTGAGTCAATAAGTCAAGTGGTATAATAAATCAGGTGTCAGGTGAGTCAATAAGTCAGGTGAGTCAATAAGTCAGGTGAGTCGATAAGTCAGGTGTGTCAATAAGTCAGGTGAGTCAATAACTCAGGTGAGTCAATAACTCAGGTGTGTCAATAAGTCAGGTGAGTCAATAACTCAGGTGTGTCAATAAGTCAGGTGTGTCAATAACTCAGGTGTGTCAATAAGTCAGGTGAGTCGATAAGTCAGGTGTGTCAATAAGTCAAGTGGTATAATAAATCAGGTGTCAGGTGAGTCAATAAGTCAGGTGAGTCGATAAGTCAGGTGTGTCAATAAGTCAGGTGAGTCAATAAGTCAAGTGGTATAATAAATCAGGTGTCAGGTGAGTCAATAAGTCAGGTGAGTCAATAACTCAGGTGAGTCAATAAGTCAGGTGTGTCAATAACTCAGGTGTGTCAATAAGTCAGGTGAGTCAATAAGTCAAGTGGTATAATAAATCAGGTGTCAGGTGAGTCAATAACTCAGGTGAGTCAATAAGTCAGGTGAGTCAATAACTCAGGTGTGTCAACAAGTCAAGTGGTATAATAAATCAGGTGTCAGGTGAGTCAATAAGTCAGGTGAGTCGATAAGTCAGGTGTGCCAATAAGTCAGGTGAGTCAATAAGTCAGGTGAGTCAATAAGTCAGGTGAGTCAATAAGTCAAGTGGTATAATAAATCAGGTGTCAGGTGAGTCAATAAGTCAGGTGAGTCGATAAGTCAGGTGTGTCAATAACTCAGGTGAGTCAATAACTCAGGTGTGTCAATAAGTCAGGTGAGTCAATAACTCAGGTGTGTCAATAAGTCAGGTGTGTCAATAACTCAGGTGTGTCAATAAGTCAGGTGAGTCGATAAGTCAGGTGTGTCAATAAGTCAGGTGAGTCAATAAGTCAAGTGGTATAATAAATCAGGTGTCAGGTGAGTCAATAAGTCAGGTGAGTCGATAAGTCAGGTGTGTCAATAAGTCAGGTGAGTCAATAAGTCAAGTGGTATAATAAATCAGGTGTCAGGTGAGTCAATAAGTCAGGTGAGTCAATAACTCAGGTGAGTCAATAAGTCAGGTGTGTCAATAACTCAGGTGTGTCAATAAGTCAGGTGAGTCAATAAGTCAAGTGGTATAATAAATCAGGTGTCAGGTGAGTCAATAACTCAGGTGAGTCAATAAGTCAGGTGAGTCAATAACTCAGGTGTGTCAACAAGTCAAGTGGTATAATAAATCAGGTGTCAGGTGAGTCAATAAGTCAGGTGAGTCGATAAGTCAGGTGTGCCAATAAGTCAGGTGAGTCAATAAGTCAAGTGGTATAATAAATCAGGTGTCAGGTGAGTCAATAACTCAGGTGAGTCAATAACTCAGGTGTGTCAACAAGTCAAGTGGTATAATAAATCAGGTGTCAGGTGAGTCAATAAGTCAGGTGAGTCGATAAGTCAGGTGTGTCAATAAGTCAGGTGAGTCAATAAGTCAAGTGGTATAATAAATCAGGTGTCAGGTGAGTCAATAAGTCAGGTGAGTCAATAACTCAGGTGAGTCAATAAGTCAGGTGTGTCAATAACTCAGGTGTGTCAATAAGTCAGGTGAGTCAATAAGTCAAGTGGTATAATAAATCAGGTGTCAGGTGAGTCAATAACTCAGGTGAGTCAATAAGTCAGGTGAGTCAATAACTCAGGTGTGTCAACAAGTCAAGTGGTATAATAAATCAGGTGTCAGGTGAGTCAATAAGTCAGGTGAGTCGATAAGTCAGGTGTGCCAATAAGTCAGGTGAGTCAATAAGTCAGGTGAGTCAATAAGTCAGGTGAGTCAATAAGTCAAGTGGTATAATAAATCAGGTGTCAGGTGAGTCAATAAGTCAGGTGAGTCGATAAGTCAGGTGTGTCAATAAGTCAGGTGAGTCAATAAGTCAAGTGGTATAATAAATCAGGTGTCAGGTGAGTCAATAAGTCAGGTGATTCAATAAGTCAGGTGTGCCAATAAGTCAGGTGAGTCAATAAGTCAAGTGGTATAATAAATCAGGTGTCAGGTGAGTCAATAAGTCAGGTGAGTCAATAAGTCAGGTGAGTCAATAACTCAGGTGAGTCAATAAGTCAGGTGAGTCAATAAGTCAGGTGTGTCAATAAGTCAAGTGGTATAATAAATCAGGTGTCAGGTGAGTCAATAAGTCAGGTGAGTCAATAACTCAGGTGAGTCAATAAGTCAGGTGTGTCAATAACTCAGGTGTGTCAATAAGTCAGGTGAGTCAATAAGTCAAGTGGTATAATAAATCAGGTGTCAGGTGAGTCAATAACTCAGGTGAGTCAATAAGTCAGGTGAGTCAATAACTCAGGTGTGTCAATAAGTCAAGTGGTATAATAAATCAGGTGTCAGGTGAGTCAATAAGTCAGGTGAGTCAATAAGTCAGGTGTGTCAATAAGTCAGGTGAGTCAATAACTCAGGTGTGTCAACAAGTCAAGTGGTATAATAAATAAGGTGTCAGGTGAGTCAATAAGTCAGGTGAGTCAATAAGTCAGGTGTGTCAATAACTCAGGTGAGTCAATAACTCAGGTGTGTCAATAAGTCAGGTGAGTCAATAAGTCAAGTGGTATAATAAATCAGGTGTCAGGTGAGTCAATAAGTCAGGTGAGTCAATAAGTCAGGTGTATCAATAAGTCAGGTGTGTCAATACGTCAAGTGGTATAATAAATCAGGTGTCAGTGAGTCAATAAGTCAGGTGAGTCAATAAGTCATGTGAATCAATAAGTCAAGTGTCAGATGTGTCAATAAGAGAAGTCAGGTGTCATGTCCACCCTTACCCTAGACATTGGCAGTTGAAATAGTTCAGCTGTCAGGTCCCTCTCATGAACTGTGCCTGTAGTGGTGTTGGCCTCCAGCTGGTATGGGATGACAGTGAAGTTGACCAGGACAGTCTGAACACCGTCCATCCTGTAGTCCTGTGTGGCCCAGATGGTGAAGTTGATCTCAGTGCTGTCATTCTCCAGGCTCTTGATCACCTTATCACAGTACACCTGGGGGATGGGCTGACTCACCTGGGAGCCCTGCAGGCAGCTGTTCATGACAGGGGAGTAGATGACATACAGCTTTATAGATGACATACAGCTTATAGATGACACATATCTTTATAGATGACATACAGCTTTATAGATGACATACAGCTTTATAGATGACACATAGATGACATACAGCTTTATAGATGATATACAGCTTTATAGATGACATACAGCTTATAGATGACACATATCTTTATAGATGACATACAGCTTTATAGATGACATACAGCTTTATAGATGACACATAGATGACATACAGCTTTATAGATGACATACAGCTTTATAGATGACATACAGCTTTATAGATGACATACAGCTTTATAGATGACATACAGCTTTATAGATGACATGCAGCTTTATAGATGACATACAGCTTTATAAATGACATACAGCTCTATAGATGACATACAGCTTATAGATGACAGATAAATGACATAAAGCTTTACAGATGACATACAGCTTTATAGATGACATACAGCTTTATACATGACATACAGCTGTATAGATTACATACAGCTGTATAGATTACATACAGCTTTATAGATGACATACAGCTTTATAGATGACATACAGCTGTATAGATTACATACAGCTTTATAGATGACATACAGCTTTATAAATGACATACAGCTCTATAGATGACATGCAGCTTTATAGATGACATACAGCTTATAGATGACAGATAGATGACATACAGCTTTATAGATGACATACAGCTTTATAGATGAACACATAGATGACATACAAGGTTTGTGTTTGTATTTGTGTTTGTGGCTGGTTTTGCGTTTGGATTTGGTTTGTTTTCGTTTGCTTTTCCGTTTGTGTTTTTTTCTTTGGGTTTGTGTTTGTGTTTGGTTTTGCGTTTGGATTTGGTTTGTTTTCGTTTGCTTTTTCGTTTTTTTTCTTTGTGTTCGTATTGATGTTGTGGTTGTGTTTGGGTTTGTTGTTAGGTTTTTGTTTTCGTTTGTATTTGTAATTGTGTTAGCGTTATGTTTGCGTTTTGTTGTTTTGGTTTTGGTTGGTTGTGGTTTGGGTGGGCAATGCCGGGTTTATGATGATTACTAAACACACAGGTAATGGTCTTTAACAGAAAGGTTTTTCACAGAAGCCAGAGCAGGGCCTGGCCGGGACGGCTAGTAGTTAATTATACAGTAAATAAAATATGGAGTAAAATAAAATACAATCAATTACCATCTACGCACACTAATAAAAAAGTTAAAAAGTACTAGATCTAGAGCTACTGAGTTAATAATAATGATTAGATCTACAATAAGATGAGGTTGTTTGTTGCTGTTAAGGCCTACTACTAGTAAAAACTAGAACAAGTCAGGATTACATGAGCTGGGAAAGGAAACCAAAGAATCCAAAATAGTTTGAGATTGTTGTAGCATCAACTACTCTAGCTTTGAATCTAACCAATGTTGTATCATCAACTACTCTAGTGTTGAATCTAACCAATGTTGTAGCATCAACTACTCTAGTGTTGAATCTAACCAATGTTGTAGCATCAACTACTCTAGCTTTGAATCTAACCAATGTTGTAGCATTAACTACTCTAGTGAGGAATCAACCAATGTTGTAGCATCAACTACTAAAGTCTTGAATCTAACCAATGTTGTAGCATCAACTACTCTAGCTTTGAATCTAACCAATGTTGTAGCATCAACTACTCTAGCTTTGAATTTAACCAATGTTGTAGCATCAACTACTCTAGCTTTGAATCTAACCAATGTTGTATCATCAACTACTCTAGTGTTGAATCAACCAATGTTGTAGCATCAACTAATCTACTGTTGAATCAACCAATGTTGTAGCATCAACTACTACAGTCTTGAATCTAACCAATGTTGTATCATCAACTACTCTAGTGTTGAATCAACCAATGTTGTAGCATCAACTACTCTAGTGTGGAATCTAACCAATGTTGTATCATCAACTACTCTAGCTTTGAATCAATCAATGTTGGAACAGCTTCAGTTGTGGTTTTTATAGTTAAATAGAGGGTGTGGGGTGGTTCACACATTTTAAAAAAGTATGCTGAAATTAAGAAATAGATCTAGTATAGATCTAGATTATGGCTAAAAATTAACTTAGTATAAAAATAAAAAGCTTCTAAACCTAGATAAACTAGATTTTATTCATAATAATATATATTGTGTATATAGGGCCTTAGGTCTCTTTTAAATTTTAAGTATTTATTTTCTGCTTAGCAAAATAGCATCTGTGAGTATGTTCCTCTTTTTTGGTATGACTGTTCCTGCTTTAGGTCACCAGGGCAGAGGCGTAGCGAGGGGGGGGGGGGCGCCGACCTTAGGGGGGGGCGCTAAAATGGGTTGGAAAAACAAATTGAAAGTTTGAGGAGGGGGATGCAAATGAAAAGTTCGAGGGGGTGTGCAAATCGAAAATTTGAGGGGGAGGGGGGTGCAAATCAAAAGTTCGAGGGGGGTGCAAATCGAAAGTGTTTGTCCCCGGGTGCCGGGAAGGGTCGCTACGCCTCTGCGCCAGGGGTAGGTATGTCTGAGGTTTATAGATAACAAAGATGACATACAGGTTTATAGATGACAAAGATGACATGCAGGTTTATAGATAACATCCAGGTTTATAGATGACATCCAGGTTTATAGATGACATCCAGGTTTATAGATGACACACATGACATCCAGGTTTATAGATACCACACCAACCTAATATTGTGGAACTAACCTTGGCAGGGCACTAGCATTGGCAGCTCTGGCCGTCAAGCTAATCCTGAAGTTTCTACTGCCTGCTAGCCACCTCCATCTGACTGTTGCCTTCAGACCAGCCTCAGACACAAACATTGGTCGGCCCTGCTCCCCTGTAGCCTGGAATAAACAGCACACGCTTCAGAGGATCTTATTTTACGATGGGGGGGGGGGGGGGGGTTATTTATAAAATAATTTATAAAATTATAAATTTATAAAATAATCTCACCTGTCAAATAATCTCACCTGTCAAATAATCTCACCTGTAAAACCACCAAGTTTGAGCACTGTGAGGTTGCACCAAGCCAGGTTTCCTTATAAGGACATTGGGCAGGTAGGTTGGAGGTAACACATAGAGCAGCTTTCTGTAAATCTCTGGGATCAAAGGTCAAGTCAACAGTCACAACTAGAGTTTACAACAGATACCACAATATTTTTAATGTTGGCTTTTTATATTTTATGTCTCAATGACTTACTGTAAACCAAATCAACACAATTAACAAATGAAACACATCCTATCCAACTCAGTCTTGCTACCTCTACATAGATTGGCTGGTTGACCTCTGACCTCTAGTATCTGATCTTTGTTTGACCTTGTCTGGTGCTAACATGGAACTACTGAGTGACAAAACTTACTGACAAGATCTAGTCTGGTGCTAACATGGAACAACTGAGTGACAAAACTTACTGACAAGATGTAGTCTGGTGCTAACATGGAGCTACTGAGTGACAAAACTTACTGACAAGATGTAGTCTGGTGCTAACATGGAGCTACTGAGTGACAAAACTTACTGACAAGATGTAGTCTGGTGCTAACATGGAGCTACTGAGTGACAAAACTTACTGACAAGATGTAGTCTGGTGCTAACATGGAGCTACTGAGTGACAAAACTTACTGACAAGATGTTGTCTGGTGCTAACATGGAGCTACTGAGTGACAAAACTTACTGACAAGATGTAGTCTGGTGCTAACATGGAGCTACTGAGTGACAAAACTTACTGACAAGATGTAGTCTGGTGCTAACATGGAGCTACTGAGTGACAAAACTTACTGACAAGATGTAGTCTGGTGCTAACATGGAGCTACTGAGTGACAAAACTTACTGACAAGATGTTGTCTGCCCTATAGAATTGATGCCCACAAAAACTTACTGACAAGATGTTGTCTGCCCTATAGAACTGATGACCACAAAAACTTACTGACAAGATGTTGTCTGCCCTATAGAAGTGTTGCCCACAAAAACTTACTGACAAGATGTAGTCTGCCCTTTGATGCCCACAAAAACTTACTGACAAGATGTAGTCTGCCCTATAGAACTGATGCCCACAAAAACTTACTGACAAGATGTTGTCTGCCCTATAGAAGTGATGCCCACAAAAACTTACTGACAAGATGTTGTCTGCCCTATAGAAGTGATGCCCACAAAAACTTACTGACAAGATGTAGTCTGCCCTATAGAACTGATGCAGTCTTTGATCTTAGTTTCAGCAGCTTCACAAGCTGGTACCTCAGTTGTACATTTTTGTTTGAACACCTTGGCTGCAAACAAAAACTTACTGGTGAGTGGAGTACAGCAGTCAAAAAATGTCTACTGAAGTCATACAGCTACAGCAGTCAAAAAATGTCTGCTGAAGAAATCCAATGTATTTAAAAGTCTTACATTGTTTGATGATGTCATAAGCTGTACTACTGCAATCTGTGTCCAAGCTATCTGTCACAAGGGCTAAGCTTTGCCTGAAGGAGATATTAGAACAATGTTAATGCTCACCTCAACAGAGCTAGAACCTAACCTTAACCAACTTCTACACCAGTGTAACCATGACTGCATCTAATTACAATCCTGTCTTCAGCCAATCAAAGACTCACGTGCAGAAAGATGTCTCCTGGAAATCTTTGTTCAAAAATAGCTGGGTGATGAATGTAGTCAGCTTCCTGATTTGTACGCTGCAGCTGTTTGCTTGTAAGGCTAAAATAATGATTGGAGCTGTTTTCTTGTGGTGAAGATTGGGGTCCCTGACTCAAAGTTGGTGGGGGGGGGGGGGGGGGGGGGGGACATGGGGTCCCTGACTCAAAGTTGGTGGGGGGGGGGCATGGGATCCCTGACTCAAAGTTGGTGGGGGGGGGGGGACATGGGATCCCTGACTTAAAGTTGGGGGGGGGGGACATGGGATCCCTGACTCAAAGTTGGTGGGGGGGGGGACATGAGATCCCTGACTTAAAGTTGGGGGGGGGGGGGACATGGGGTCCCTGACTCAAAGTTGGTGGGGGGAGGGGGCATGGGATCCCTGACTCAAAGTTGGTGGGGGGGGGGGACATGGGATCCCTGACTTAAAGTTGGGGGGGGGGGGACATGGGGTCCCTGACTTAAAGTTGGGGGGGGGGGATGTGAAACATGTGGAGTGGGTTGTCAAGCATGATAATTGAACTATAATATATACAGAAAATGTATTTCATCTTTTCTGATTTCTAGTTAATTTTTTTTTTAATTCTATAAATATTGGTTTTAACGTTTTATTTCTACTTTTTAGTACTAAGGGGTTAAAGAAACATAACAGTCAAAGTCCTAAAAATAATATTATTATCCCTTACTTTATATTAGATTCTTAAAAGCACTAGTAACTAAACACAAAGTAGGCAATAAAAAGTGACAAATTTTGGTCTGTAGTGTTGAAAGGGTTAATCTGCCATTCATGTGTTGGACTGTAGTGTTAAAAGGGTTAATCTGCCATTCATGTGTAGGACTGTAGTGTTGAAAGGATTAATCTGCCATTCATGTGTTGGACTGTAGTGTTGAAAGGGTTAATCTGCCATTCATGTGTTGGACTGTAGTGTTGAAAGGGTTAATCTGCTACTTATGTGTGGGACTGTAGTGTTGAAAGGGTTAATCTGCCACTTATTTGTGGACTGTAGTGTTGAAAGGGTTAATCTGCTACTTATGTGTTGGACTGTAGTGTTGAAAGGGTTAATCTGCCACTCATCAAACATGAATGAAGAAAAGCTTGAGTGTTACCTGAACAGTAGGATGTATTAATGACTTTAAAAAGGTCAACGGTCAGGTTTTTGGCCAGCTCAAGGTATGAAGAATTGTTTGGATTGGAATAGGTGTTGATGACACAGGTGTAGTGTGAGCTGAGGCTGGGGCAGCTCTCACTGGTCCTGCTCTTCATGTAAATGTTTCTTGCCTGCGCCAGCATGTCGTACAGACAGCCACCCAAACTGCCATTGTCACACGTCAGGTCTGTTAGGTACCCCACGGCTTGCAGCTTTGGTAACAAAAGGTGGTTTGATAAAAGGTGGTTTGATAAAAGGTGGTTTGATAAAAGGTGGTTTGATAGAAGGTGGTTTGATGAAAGGTGGTTTGATGAAAGGTGGTTTGATGAAAGGTGGTTTGATAAAAGGTGGTTTGATAAAAGGTGGTTTGATAAAAGGTGGTTTGATAAAAGGTGGTTTGATAAAAGGTGGTTTGATAAAAGGTGGTTTGATAAAAGGTGGTTTGATAAAAGGTGATTTGATAGAAGGTGGTTTGATGAAAGGTGGTTTGATAAAAGGTGGTTTGATAAAAGGTGGTTTGATAAAAGGTGGTTTGATAAAAGGTGGTTTGATAAAAGGTGGTTTGATAAAAGGTGGTTTGATAAAAGGTGGTTTGATAAAAGGTGGTTTGATAAAAGGTGGTTTGATAAAAGATGGTTTGATAAAAGGTGATTTGATAGAAGGTGGTTTGATGAAAGGTGGTTTGATGAAAGGTGGTTTGATGAAAGGTGGTTTGATAAAAGGTGGTTTGATAAAAGGTGGTTTGATAAAAGGTGGTTTGATAAAAGGTGGTTTGATAAAAGGTGGTTTGATAGAAGATGGTTTGATAAAAGGTGGTTTGATAAAAGGTGATTTGATAAAAGGTGGTTTGATAAAAGGTGGTTTGATAAAAGGTGGTTTGATATAAGGTGGTTTGATAAAAGGTGGTTTGATAAAAGGTGGTTTGATAAAAGGTGGTTTGATAAAAGGAATGGGAATTTCAAATAACTTGGTGGCAAACTAAAGGTATTTGATGGTTTTAAGAAAAGGTAAACGATCAATGAGTTAAGTTCTACAACATCATGATAAGTCGTAAAACTGTTTTACAACATCATAAGTTGTAAAACTGTTTAACAACATCATGATAAGTTGTAAAACTGTTTTACAACATCATGATAAGTCGTAAACTGTTTTACAACATCATGATAAGTCGTAAAACTGTTTAACAACATCATGATAAGTCGAAAACTGTTTTACAACATCATGATAAGTCGTAAAACTGTTTTACAACATAATGATAAGTCATAAAACTGTTTTACAAAAGTCTCCTGACTGACCTTCTTGGCCATGATGGACTGGGCTTGCAGCTTCTGAGCCTGTGTGCATGTGGCTGTGTACTTGTCTACACAGGCGTCCGCATCAGCCTTAAGTCTAGAAATACACATGTTTTACGTGGTACACTCTCAGTGAAATACACAGGTTTTACGTGCACAGTTTATACATTGTATGGGTATGTGTACATGTGCGTGAGCAGTTATTTCAGTGTAAAATATAATTTGCAAATTAACATGACTAAGTACGGTACCTTATTATAAACTGCACATACATTATACATAAATACATATATATATATATATACATATACATATATACATATATATATATATATACATTTATATATATATATATATATATATATATATATATATATATATATATATATATATATATATATATATATATATATATATATATATATATCTACTAGTTGCATACTCATGATTAGCCATGGTGAATATTTTTTTAGTGTACTAACATGGGAACAGATCAAAATCAAACACAAACACAAAGGAAAACAAAACGCAAACAAAATAAATCAAACAAATACAAACACAATACACAACGCAAGTGCAAACTCAAACACAACCCAAAATGCAAATGCAAACATAATGATCAACCCAAACACAAATACAAACAGAAAACGTAAACTCAAACACTTTATCAAATTACACTTTCCGGATGTACGTGCCCAGAATGAGCCTTTCCCACATTCTCTATTTTAACCATCCCTTTAAATAACAAATTTTTATTTTTATTTTAAGAGATCATCAAAATCAAAAGTATTCTGATCAACTCCCCAAAGTGTCATGGCACTCGGATGTACAGTGTCCATCCGCATATGTCTTTTATTTTTTATATACTGTATATAGAGAAAAATTGCACCCTCCCTGGGCACCTCCCTTGCCAAATTAAAAAAAAATTTTTTCCAGAAACTTCTCCTGGAGTGTGTTCTCCAAAGTTTCATGGCAATCAGATGAAAGGTGTAGTAATGTATAAAAGACAAAGTTTCATGGCGATCAGATGAAAGGTGTAGTAATGCATAAAAGACAGACAAACAGACAAAGAAACAAACATACATTGCTTTTATATATTTAGATAGATAGATATATAATATATACTTATATGTATATAAAAATGTGTCTATTTAAAGTCTGAATAAAATGTATCTTACTGGCAGACTGTTCTCTCCCTGTTGATCAAGCCTTGTTCTAGAACCACCTCACAGCCAGCTGTTGCTACAGCGCAGGGCTGTTCTGTACTACACATGTCTGCTGTCAGCCATGGACACTGGTCACTAGCCACAGAGCGCAGTTCTTCTAGAGACTCTAGAATGGCTTTGATGCCCTCGTCTTCAGGGTCACACGAGGTCGTATTGGTTGCCACACTGACCATCATGGACTGGATATTCCTGGGGAAAAAATGTCTTGCTTGGATACTTGCAGCTATTATAGAAAACTATTCTAACAAATATCAACATTATAACAAATGTCGACATTATAACAAATGTCGACATTATAACAAATGTCAACATTATAACAAATGTCGACATTATAACAAATGTCAACATTATAAAAAATGTCAACATTATAACAAATGTCAACATTATAACAAATGTCAACATTATAACACATGTCAACATTATAACAAATGTCAACATTATAACAAATGTCAACATTATAACAAATGTCAACATTATAACAAATGTCAACATTATAACAAATGTCAACATTATAACACATGTCAACATTATAACCACCTGACTTACAAGCACTGTTGGCGCCAGATGAGTGAGTCCCCTGTGTGCAGTATCTGGCTACTGAAGTGCAGCAAACTTTTCACTGCGTTGCTGAGCATACACACTCTACTACTCTGTGGGATCTGGGGGCAGATGGGTGGTGGTGGCAGGACAAAATCTTGACATGCAACATCGGCCTTGGAGAAGGATTTCTGTCAGTGACAATAATGAGTTTTGTAAAGTTCATACCTGTTTTTTTATGGATCAAAAAATCAATATTTGAAAAGCAACAAGATTGACCAAGCTCTGTTTTCTGCCCTGAAAATTGATATTTTAATTTAGCAATCCATCCAGCGCTCATAAAGTTATCATGTTCCCCAAGAAATGTAGGGTCATTTTACAACTAAATAGGCCCGCTTTTTTTTGTAACTGAGACAACATTTTACAACTAAATAGGCCCGCTTTTTTTTGTAACTGAGACAACATTAGACACAGGGGACTTTTGTTACTAATGCATTTTATATGAAATATTAATAAAATAACATTTAAAATGTAGAACAAAGAAATTAATTTTAACACTTTAGATTTATAGTGAAATAGAATTAGAATAGAAATCAGAATTAAAGTTGAGGGGGGGGGGGGGGTAGTCCTTGATGACACTGTAGCTGGGGGGGTAGTCCTTGATGACATTGTAGCTGGGGGAGGGGGATAGTCTTTGATGATATTCTGAGGGGGTGGAATAGTCTTTGATGAGGTACCTGGAAAGCTTCTCTGGCTGTCTTGGCTTCATCTTGAGAGCACTTAAACAGGAACGTGTCCAGCTGTTCTTTGGCCTGCAGTCTGCCACTGGGGAGAGAACAAACTAGCTGTCATTGCTGCTAGACACACAGGTAGCCAGTAGGCTACCCACACAGGTAGCCTGTAGGCTACCCACACTACTAGCATGTAAGCTACTCACACAGGTAGCCAGAAGCTACCCACACAGGTAGCCAGCAGGCTACCCACACAGGCAGCCAGTAGGCTACCCACACTGCTAGCATGTAAGCTACTCACACAGGTAGCCAGAAGCTACCCACACAGGCAGCCCGTAGGCTACCCACACTGCTAGCATGTAAGCTACTCACACAGGTAGCCAGAAGCTACCCACACAGGTAGCCAGCAGGCTACCCACACAGGCAGCCAGTAGGCTACCCACACTGCTAGCATGTAAGCTACTCACACAGGTAGCCAGAAGCTACCCACACAGGTAGCCTGTAGGCTACCCACACAGGTAGCCTGTAAGCTACCCACACAGGCAGCCAGTAGGCTACCCACACACATAGCCAGAAGCTACCCACACAGGTAGCCTGTAGGCTACCCACACAGGTAGCCTGTAAGCTACCCACACAGGCAGCCAGTAGGCTACCCACACACATAGCCTGTAGGCTACCCACACTGTCAGCATTAATGTTGTGGCCATAAACTATTTACAATTATTCTATCTTCAGGTGTAGAAAAAAATGATTTACTTGCAAAGTGCCTCGGTGTTATTGTCTTGATCAAAATTGGCAAGAAGTGTGACTAAAGTGCTGACACTGGCAAAAGCCTGGGATGGAATACACAACTGTGGAGCCCCACACACACCCAGGTCTGTGATGATGTTGGCTGTGGACGAGCTGATTGACAGGTACCAGTCTCTGGCACCAGGGCAGCCGCTCATGGCCTGATCAATGCAGGTTTTCACCTCGTTCTTGCTCAGTGAACTGTAAAGGTATTTGTTGAATGAACTGTATGGATATAACAACTAGTGAAAGAAAGATACACCAAGTAATAGAACTTTCTAAATTTAATTTTTATCTTAGCAAACAACTTTTATGTGGTCTCTTCAATATCTGATTGCAGCTGAAATGTACTTATAGATCCAAATGTATTCAATCATTTCTAACTACCAGATATCCAAACCAAAAACTCACTCGCAAAATTCACTTTTCTCTGCTGGTGTTAAAAGTTTGACAAAAATAGTTCTAAACAATTGTCTAGACAGACAGGCTTGAGCTCTTGTGTAGACGCATGTGTCTGTATCTGCAATAACAAGTGCTACAATAACAAGTGCTACAATAACAGGTGCTACAATAACAGGTGCTACAATAACAGGTGCTACAATAACAGGTGCTACAATAACAGGTGCTATAATAACATTAGCTACAATAAGAGGTGCTACAATAACAAGTGCTACAATAACAAGTGCTACAATAACAGGTGCTACAATAACAGGTGCTACAATAACAGGTGCTACAATAACAGGTGCTACAATAACAGGTGCTACAATAACAGGTGCTATAATAACATTAGCTACAATAAGAGGTGCTACAATAACAAGTGCTACAATAACAAGTGCTACAATAACAGGTGCTACAATAACAGGTGCTACAATAACAGGTGCTACAATAACAGGTGCTACAATAACAGGGGCTACAATAACAGGTGCTATAATAACATTAGCTACAATAAGAGGTGCTACAATAACAGGTGCTACAATAACAGGTGCTACAATAACAGGTGCTACAATTACATTAGCTACAATAACAGGTGCTACAATAACAGGTGCTACAATAACAGGTGCTACAATAACAGGTGCTACAATAACAGGTGCTACAATAACAGGTGCTACAATAACAGGTGCTACAATAACAGGTGCTACAATAACAGGTGCTACAATAACAGGTGCTACAATAACATTAGCTACAATAACAGGTGCTACAATAAGAGGTGCTACAATAACATTAGCTACAATAACAGGTGCTACAATAACAGGTGCTACAATAACATTAGCTACAATAACAGGTGCTACAATAACAGGTGCTACAATTACATTAGCTACAATAACAGGTGCTACAATAACAGGTGCTACAATAACAGGAGCTATAATAACATTAGCTACAATAACAGGTGCTACAATAACAGGTGCTATAATAACATTAGCTACAATAACAGGTGCTACAATAACAGGTGCTACAATAACAGGTGCTACAATAACATTTGCTACAATAACATTTGCTACAATAACAGGACTGGTGCTACAATAACATTAGCTACAATAACAGGTGCTATAAATAACATTAGCTACAATAACAGGTGCTACAATAACATTAGCTACAATAACAGGTGCTACAATAAGAGGTGCCACAATAACATTAGCTACAATAACAGGTGCCATAATAACATTAGCTACAATAACAGGTGCTACAATAATGTTTGCTACAATAACATGTGCTATAATAACACATGCTACAATACCATTAGCTACAATACCATTTGCTACAGTAACATTAACTCAATAACATGTGCTACAATAACATGTGCTACAATAACATTTGCTACAATAACATTAGCTACAATAACATTTGCTACAATAACATTAGCTACAATAACAATTGCTACAGTAATATGGATCTCAGTTTATTTCTTGACCAAAATATCAGTGTCAATTTTGTATTCAATGTTCTCAAAATAGAATTTTTCTTTAGTAGATACTTACCAATCAAGACAGCATCTAATAGGAATAGAAATATTTTTATATTATTTTATTGTGTTATTCTAACTATTCCTAAAAAATGTTAACATTTATGCTATAAATGATCACTTCAAATATAAAACTATTGCAAAAACCAAAAGTCTAGTACAAGAAAGAGGACCACAAAGTTTTGTACCTGAACTGTTGTATTGCAGAGTTGGAGCTGGAAAAAGAAAAGAAAATTAAAAAAAAAATAACATTTATATCTATGTAAATGACAAACTGTTATCTCTATTTAGGGTTGATAAAAAACTGTACACATTCTCATGTACACAATTGCATGTGACACATTGTACACATTTGTGTGTGACACATTGCACACATTTGTGTGTGAGACACATTGTACACATGTGTGTGTGGGGGGGGGGGGGTGAGACCATGAAGGAAATAACTTACTCTTACTTCCAGCGCTGACAGTCACCAAGACATCTGTGATCATGCTGTAGACTGGACTACTTTCAATTGTGCTGATGTTCATTTTCAACTTGAAATCAAACATTTCAAAAGGTTTTATAAACTTTTAAGTGGAATAAAAGTAAGATAAACAAATTCTTGAGCTATCAAACTAACTCTAGGTCATCAAAGTAAAAAACTAGGTCATTAAAGTAAAAGTGTAGGTCATTATAGTAAAAAACTAGGTCATTAAAGTAATAGTGTAGGTCATTAAAACTGTATTAAAAAGACTTCTGGAGCAAGTATATATCTACTGTTATACCATATTAGCAGGTTGTGAAGTACCTCTGCTTGACAGATTGACCAAGTATAGATAAGTGTGATCTATTGCCCAAGTAAACAAGATAAATGTGATCAGCTGACCGTATAGAATATATAATCCAATATTTCTTGACCGGAGCCTTGCTGGACAGTGAAAATCTTCTGGACATTAGTGAACACGTTAAGTAGTGCTTGGACAGAGGAAAGTTCCGGTAGGGTGACATTGATGGTCAGCTTGCAGTCAGTGCAGAGCTTCTTGAAGTATCTGGATACAAAGTGGCGCGCCATAAAGGCCCCTACAGACTGGGAGCATTGTGTATTGGTGCTCAAATACAGCTGCATACAATTCACTGCTTTCTGTAAACCTCTGCAAATAGTAGGGGAGATTTGACTCACTGGCAGTTTCACCTCCAGCTAAACACATACTACTAAATACATGTGTATATGTTATATTAGATGAGAAGGGGCTATGTGTACATGTGTAATTGTTAGATGAGAATGGACTATGTACATGTGTACATGTTATAATAGATGAGACAAGAGAAGTATTTACGAGCAGCTGTTGGTCTGCTGTCCAAAGAAACAGTCTGTGATGGATTTAGTTGAGCAGACTGGCACAGACACACAGACATTGTTGAGTGTGGCGTCTTGGATGTTGCACAGGCCATTGACCACTTTAGTAGCTGACCAGTTCAGGGCACCCATCTGATCTGCTGGACACCCACTCATTGAGCTTTGTACACATGCCACATTGGCTTGTAAATTCCTTTAAAAATTAGCAAAATATTAATTTTAAATATTATTTTGTTTGACTAACTTTTTAAGCAATGAAAGTTGAGAGTAGACTGATCATCTTACTGGCAAAAACCTGGCGTATCTACTTTGGTGAAGTCAAAAACAGAAGCAGCTGCACATTGCTTGGCTTGGTCTAGCTGGCAGGCTTCGTCTAGGCTTGTCACTGACTCTAGAAATATAGTGGGCCATTACAGCTTCACATACAATGACAGTTACATGAACTGTTTGATCTAGTTAAATAATTTTGATGGATTAAGCCAGTTCAATATTAGCTAGTTTAATTTTTAGTCAGAGTTACGTTTCCTGACTAGTGGGTACATACTGTTGCAGTAGAGTGCTAATGTAAGCGCAGGACAGCTGTTGCCCACGATATTTCTGATAACAATTCTGGTCTCTGTCTCAATCTTCTGTGCGTCATTTAGGACTGGTCCAGTGCAGTTTTTAGAGAAACGTGATGTGCACTCCAAGACAAACTTGGCTTGGCTGGGGAAAAAAATGTATGGCATCAAGGAGTCAGCTCTATTCAAATCTTCCTCAATATTTTGTGTGATCATGTAAAAATCTAATATTTTATGCTAAAGATAAATTTTAATATTTTGTGTGCTAAAGATAAAATTTAATATTTTGAGTACTAAAGATAAAATTTAATATTTTGAGTGCTAAAGGTAAAATTTAATATTTTGAGTGCTAAAGGTAAAATTTAATATTTTGAGTGCTAAAGATAAGTGTGATGGAAAAGCTGACCTGCATAAAGTTTCTGACTGGATGGAAGAATAAAGCGTCAGGGACTGGAAATCTTTCCTACACTGGCTCACCTGTAGGTGGAAACATTTCACAACTTTCACATGTCTGCCTACATTTTTTAAACTACATGTCTTACCCCACTGTCCTACATGTCCTACCCACCAGTGTCCTACATGTCCTACCCACCAGTGTCCTACATGTCCTACCTACCAGTGTTAGGTTACAAGTGTCCTCCTCATAATGCAGCACTGGACAGAGCCTGCTGTTCTGACTGTTGATGTTGGTGTTGAGGGCAGTGTACAAGCTCAGCTGGAACTTGGACAGTGAGCTGCCACAGCTGGCCACAAGTGACCCAGCCTCATTCTGGATCTCTTTGATTGTTCTGTCAAGATACACAACATGACTTGATTCTTCTGATAATGGCTGAATCTATTAGTGTTATTTGCACAGCCTTTGACAAAATATAACTGGTATTTGTTTACAACATACCTGCATATTTTCTCTCGACTGTCCAATGGAGCAATAGAGATGAGTGGGGGGATACTCATCTGATAGATCAGCGCAGCCAGACGCTTCAAGTCACAGGTGGAGTTGCTTTCTCTTCTCTTGCGCTCTGGTGGCCAATAGTCACAAATAAAATTAGTCTTGATAAACAGAACTAAGACTAGACTTGACAAATAAAAACAGAACTAAGACTAGACTTGACAAATAAAAACAGAACTAAGACTAGACTTGACAAATAAAAACAGAACTAAGACTAGACTTGACAAATAAAACAAGAACTAAGACTAGACTTGACAAATAAAAACAGAACTAAGACTAGACTTGACAAATAAAAAAGAATTAAGATATTTTAATAAATATCAATTAAAATAATTCTTTGAAATCACATTATTTACTTGCATAACCTGACTAAATTAGAAGAAAGTTTTCATAAATTGATTTTAGTACTAATATCTAACCTTTTTGGTAAAATATTTTAAGCCAGAATCAAAGGACTAGAAAATATTTAATTACAAAATATGAAACTCAGAATTGTTAAGCTACAGAGCAAAACATGAGCCAGTATTTAATGAGGTTTCTAGGTCAGATATCTTTATTTATCCGACCTGAAGCGAGTTATAAATTTTGTTGTTTTTACAAAATCATATTTTGATGCTGCGCAATGACCATGTTTTGCTCAGTAGTTTGTTAGTTGGCAGAAATAGTTGCCGGAAAAACATCTAAAAGTCAGAAAGTTTCAGGATCTAAGGATACTTCTATAAACTCATTTCTACTTGAAACAAAATAAAAAGCTTTCTTCAAAGGAATGTTAATTTTCTAAAAGCTTAACAAAGAAGTAGTGCATGCAAATTTTAAGCTAATTGATGTATCACTTTCTGGTACCACTTTTTGGTACTACTGGATATGAAAGTCTTGATGGTCTTGCCACTTCAGGTGTTGTTCAGTTTTGGGTGTAGATTGTTAAAAAAATTTTCTACCAGGCTAAATCTAGTAAAGAAAGCTAAAAGATTATTTCTACAACTACTCACACAGGCACCTGACGTCTATGAGAGAAACAGATCCTGAGACCCTGAAAGAAACCTGACCCTTACCATTACCATTACCAATTTCCTGACAGATGCCTGCTGCTTCCACCTGCAACAGGACACTGTTGACAGGTTCCCTGATGTAGGCTTCAAGCTGGCTGGGCAGGCTCAGCACATAGGCTTTCAGTCCCCTGACGGCAGCGCAGGTTTTCTGGTGCATTCAGTAGGACAATCATTTGTCTTGGGTTACATTTAGTAGGACAATCATTTGTCTTGGGTTACATTCATTAGGACAATCATTTGTCTTGGGTTACATTTATATGGACAATTGAATCATTTGTCTTGGGTTATATTTATATGGACAATTGAATCATTTGTCTTGGGTTAAACTTGCATCAACTATTTAACCCTTTTTGGTGGGTTAAAATTATTTGAAAATTTTTATTATTTCTAAGCTAATATAAAGAAAACTTGTGCTTATGTTTGAATAAAAGGTTTAAAAAAGTAGTAAATTAAAAGAAACAAAAAAGGTGTATATAGACCCAGCTGAGTTGTAAATTTGATATCCTGTGTATATAGACCCAGCTGAGTTGTAAATTTGATATCCTGTGTATATAGACCCAGCTGAGTTGTAAATTTGATATCTAGTGTGTGATGACACAAGTTCATGTCAGATAGGTCAAGTTGAAGTTAGCAGAAACAGAGTATAGCTTTGTAAGGTGGACCAATAGATTTGCAGGAGCTGACCGGTCATGTGGGATGGTCAGATGACCACTGAGGCGTGGGTCAGCAGTTGGAGATAGGTAGCGATAGAGAACAGTTAGATACAGGTAGTAGATGGTAGAACTTAGGATGTAGTTAGGGTAGGAGTAGGAAATTGATTTTTGTTAAATAAAGAACCATTATAGTATATCTTGAATTGGACTTGTATGTGTTGGATTTCACTAAACTGTGTCAGTTAACACAGTACAATCCCCGGACAGGGTGTGTATTACTGTATAAATTATGGTATACAAATAGATACATTCATATAACCACAAAAACCCCACCCCAAAATGTGTAAATAGACCCAGCTGTAAATTTGATATCATGTGTAAATAGACCCAGCTGTAAATTTGATACCATGTGTAAATAGACCCAGCTGTAAATTTGATATCATGTGTAAATAGACCCAGCTGTAAATTTGATACCATGTGTAAATAGACCCAGCTGTAAATTTGATATCATGTGTAAATAGACCCAGCTGTAAATTTGATATCATGTGTAAATAGACCCAGCTGTAAATTTTAGATCATGTGTAAATAGACCCAGCTGTAAATTTGATATCATGTGTAAATAGACCCAGCTGTAAATTTTAGATCATGTGTAAATAGACTCAGCTGTAAATTTGATATCATGTGTAAATAGACCCAGCTGTAAATTTTAGATCATGTGTAAATAGACCCAGCTGTAAATTTGATATCATGTGTAAATAGACCCAGCTGTAAATTTTAGATCATGTGTAAATAGACCCAGCTGTAAATTTGATACATGTGTAAATAGACCCAGCTGTAAATTTTAGATCATGTGTAAATAGACTCAGCTGTAAATTTGATACCATGTGTAAATAGACCCAGCTGTAAATTTTAGATCATGTGTAAATAGACCCAGCTGTAAATTTGATACCATGTGTAAATAGACCCAGCTGTAAATTTTAGATCATGTGTAAATAGACCCAGCTGTAAATTTGATACCATGTGTAAATAGACCCAGCTGTAAATTTGATACCATGTGTAAATAGACCCAGCTGTAAATTTGATACCATGTATAAATAGACCCAGCTGTAAATTTGATACCATGTGTAAATAGACCCAGCTGTAAATTTGATACCATGTGTAAATAGACCCAGCTGTAAATTTGATACCATGTGTAAATAGACCCAGCTGTAAATTTGATATCATGTGTAAATAGACCCAGCTGTAAATTTGATACCATGTGTAAATAGACCCGGTACTCACATTCTGGTCATCCTCTAGGAAACCTTGCTGGACCTGAGCCTGGAAGTCCAGCTGGGTGGACATGGCAGAGAAGTAGATGTCCTTCTTGAGCTCAATGCTAAAGACAAAGCTGCTGCTCTCTGCCTGACATGACTCAATGCTCTGGGACAGCTTGAAGATGATGTAGTTGCTGAGGTCTTTTTGTTGTGCTGAGCTGCAGCCACTGGTGTAGCTCTTGTAGTACAGCTCCACCTCTTTCATGTACCTGGTGGGCAAATCATTGCGATCTACTGAGCTAATCATTGTGATCTACTGAGCTAATCATTGTGATCTACTGAGCTAATCATTTTGATCTACTGAGCTAATCATTTTGATCTATTGAGCTAATCATTTTGATCTACTGAGCTAATCATTTTGATCTACTGAGCTAATCATTTTGATCTACTGAGCTAATCATTGTGATCTACTGAGCTAATCATTGTGATCTACTGAGCTAATCATTGTGATCTACTGAGCTAATCATTTTGATCTACTGAGCTAATCATTTTGATCTATTGAGCTAATCATTTTGATCTACTGAGCTAATCATTTTGATCTACTGAGCTAATCATTTTGATCTACTGAGCTAATCATTGTGATCTACTGAGCTAATCATTGTGATCTACTGAGCTAATCATTGTGATCTACTGAGCTAATCATTTTGATCTACTGAGCTAATCATTTTGATCTACTGAGCTAATCATTTTGATCTACTGAGCTAATTATTTTGATCTACTGAGCTAATCATTGTGATCTACTGAGCTAATCATTTTGATCTACTGAGCTAATCATTGAAATCTACTGAGCTAATCATTGTGATCTACTGAGCTAATAATTTTGATCTACTGAGCTAATCATTTTGATCTACTGAGCTAATCATTTTGATCTACTGAGCTAATTATTTTGATCTACTGAGCTAATCATTGTGATCTACTGAGCTAATCATTGTGATCTACTAAGCTAATCATTGTGATCTACTGAGCTAATCATTGTGATCTACTGAGCTAATCATTTTGATCTACTGAGCTAATCATTTTGATCTACTGAGCTAATCATTTTGATCTACTGAGCTAATCATTGTGATCTACTGAGCTAATCATTGTGATCTACTGAGCTAATCATTGTGATCTACTGAGCTAATCATTGTGATCTACTGAGCTAATCATTTTGATCTACTGAGCTAATCATTTTGATCTACTGAGCTAATCATTGTGATCTACTGAGCTAATCATTGTGATCTACTGAGCTAATCATTTTGATTTAATGCTGGCACGTTTTCTTTTTCTCAAACAAATAAATAGAATATTGAACTAATTTCTAAATCATGGGTATCAAAATGATAGGTCTAAATTAGGGTTATTTAAATAAACGAGAGGTCTAAATTAGGGCTACTAAACTAAATGAGGTCTAAATTAGGGGTATAAAAATAAATGAGGTCTAAATCATGGCTACTAAACTAAATGAGAGGTCTAAATTAGAAGTATAAAAATAAATGAGGTCTAAATCATGGCCATTGATTACCAGCAAGTCAAGGTCTGGATAGTTTTGATCCCACTGAAGACTTTATCCACAAAGTTCATCACAACATCAGTTTTACAGGATCCGCTACAGTTCTAAATTTTAAAACAATCACAACATCAGTTTTACAGGATCCGCTACAGTTCTAAATTTTAAAACAATCACAACATCAGTTTTACAGGATACAGTTCTAAATTTTAAAACAATCACAACATCAGTTTTACAGGATCCGCTACAGTTCTAAATTTTAAAAACAATCACAACATCAGTTTTACAGGATACAGTTCTAAATTTAATAAACACAGAATTGTGGTCTAGTCTAGGAAGTATGAAAATGTGTATAGATTTCCAGGTTACAAATGAGACTAGCTACATTTTAAAGCCAATTGCCTGGGACTTACATTTTCTATGTGGGGCTGCAGGGTGGCATTACACTTGTTTTGAAGGTCAAGGTCAAGCCTGCTCAACTTGTCTGTAACAAACTGGTGCACGTTGCAGTTGTTGAGTTTCTGGCGAGCTTGAATGGCCTGGGCTGCACAGGAGCTGGGGACAGTTTGGTCATCAAGTTTATTAGCACCAGTAGTAGCTGGGGACAGTTTGGTCATCAAGTTTATTAGCACCAGTAGTAGCTGGGGACAGTTTGGTCATCAAGTTTATTAGCACCAGTAGTAGCTGGGGACAGTTTGGTCATCAAGTTTATTAGCACCAGTAGGAGCTGGGGACAGTTTGGTCATCAAGTTTATTAGCACCAGTAGTAGCTGGGGACAGTTTGGTCATCAAGTTTATTAGCACCAGTAGTAGCTGGGGACAGTTTGGTCATCAAGTTTATTAGCACCAGTAGGAGCTGGGGACAGTTTGGTCATCAAGTTTATTAGCACCAGTAGTAGCTGGGGACAGTTTGGTCATCAAGTTTATTAGCACCAGTAGTAGCTGGGGACAGTTTGGTCATCAAGTTTATTAGCACCAGTAGGGGCTGGGGACAGTTTGGTCATCAAGTTTATTAGCACCAGTAGTAGCTGGGGACAGTTTGGTCATCAAGTTTATTAGCACCAGTAGTAGCTGGGGACAGTTTGGTCATCAAGTTTATTAGCACCAGTAGTAGCTGGGGACAGTTTGGTCATCAAGTTTATTAGCACCAGTAGGGGCTGGGGACAGTTTGGTCATCAAGTTTATTAGCACCAGTAGTAGCTGGGGACAGTTTGGTCATCAAGTTTATTAGCACCAGTAGGGGCTGGGGACAGTTTGGTCATCAAGTTTATTAGCACCAGTAGTAGCTGGGGACAGTTTGGTCATCAAGTTTATTAGCACCAGTAGTAGCTGGGGACAGTTTGGTCATCAAGTTTATTAGCACCATTAGGCAACTGTAATGTGTGTCAATATCCAGAGTCTTGGAATGATTTTAATTACATGCAGTACACTCACCCACAGTTTCTGGTCTTGTCATCCTTGGTCATCTCATCAAATGCCCTATAAATGCCCTTTATGCCCTCAAAGATGTGCCCGGAGCACTGAGGTTCTTCAGGTGGTTCCACTCTGGTTCCAGCAGCCAGACAGTGATCTCTGCTGCAGTAAGTTGCTCCAATGCTCTGGATAAAGTCTTGGGACTGTTGGACTGCTATCTGACCAGCTTGGGAGCATCGTCCTGAGACCAGTAGCTCACTCACACTCCTGTTCATGGTCTTTAGGGCCCTGCTCAGATTAGGATAGAGGTCATTTCTTGGCCAGTCAGTTTGGGATAGAGGTCAGTTCATGGCCAGTCAGTTTGGGATAGAGGTCATTTCTTGGCCAGTCAGTTTTATTTTCTACTATCAACATATCACAGCCACTAAACTTTTTATTGTCTGCATCAACTTGTCACAACCACTGAACTTTTATTGTGTGCTGTCGACTTGTAACAGCCACTAACCTTTTATCCTCTGCTATCAACATATCACAGCCACTAAAAGATTGACCTATTCGCCACTAATGTATTTATGTTTGCCATGTTAAAACTTTGATCCAGACAAAAGTTAAAAGTATTTACTTGCAAATGGCAAGTCCCTGGCTGGTGTAGGAGTAAGACAACAACGTCTGGATGACAAAAGTTAAAAGTATTTACTTGCAAATGGCAAGGCCCTGGCTGGTGTAGGAGTAAGACAACAACGTCTGGATGACAAAAGTTAAAAGTATTTACTTGCAAATGGCAAGTCCCTGGCTGGTGTAGGAGTAAGACAACAACGTCTGGATGACAAAAGTTAAAAGTATTTACTTGCAAATGGCAAGGCCCTGGCTGGTGTAGGAGTAAGACAACAAAGTCTGGATGGAGTCCAGAGCCAGCGACCTGCAGCTATCAACACCTGCGTCTATAACACAGCTGCTTGTTGCTAGGGCAAAGTAGGCTCCCTTGGATGCTTCCATAAGTGCTTGACCATTGGAACATGATGCAGCATATTTTTGTACACAGCCTAGATTGTAGGTTGCATCTCTAGGGAAATCATTTTGACAAAATAAATAATAAACAATCCAGAATACAACCAGAAAATTCACTGTATTTTAAAATGTAAGTTCACTTATAGCTTTTGTGTGGTTTACATTTCCCACACTGACCATACACCATGTAAACTGTGTTTTACACTGACCATACACCATGTAAACTGTGTTTTACACTGACCATACACCATGTAAACTGTGTTTTACACTGACCATACACCATGTAAACTGTGTTTTACACTGACGAGACACCATGTAAACTGTGTTTTACACTGACCATACACCATGTAAACTGTGTTTTACACTGACCATACACCATGTAAACTGTGTTTTACACTGACCATACACCATGTAAACTGTGTTTTACACTGACCATACACCATATGTAAAGTGTTTCACACTGACCATACACCATGTAAACTGTGTTTTACACTGACGAGACACCATGTAAACTGTGTTTTACACTGACCATACACCATATGTAAAGTGTTTTACACTGACCATACACCATGTAAAGTGTGTTTTACACTGACCATGTGTACTGACCTGCAGCTAATGTTGTCTGACTTGAGGGACAGAATGAGAAAGTCCAGGGCACAAGCCTGCGAGTATTCCAGCTGACAGGTGTCTGGATCTAAACAAAAATTTTAACTGCTGACAGGTGTCTGGATCTAAACAAAATTTTAACTGCTGACAGGTGTCTGGATCTAAACAAAAATTTTAACTGAGTGCTGACAGGTGTCTGGATCTAAACAAAAATTTTAACTGCTGACAGGTGTCTGGATCTAAACAAAAATGTAACTGCTGACAGGTGTCTGGATCTAAACAAAAATTTTAACTGAGTGCTGACAGGTGTCTGGATCTAAACAAAAATTTTAACTGAGTGCTGACAGGTGTCTGGATCTAAACAAAAATTTTAACTGCTGACAGGTGTCTGGATCTAAACAAAAATGTAACTGCTGACAGGTGTCTGGATCTAAACAAAAATTTTAACTGAGTGCTGACAGGTGTCTGGATCTAAACAAAAATTTTAACTGCTGACAGGTGTCTGGATCTAAACAAAATTTTAACTGCTGACAGGTGTCTGGATCTAAACAAAAATTTTAACTGAGTGCTGACAGGTGTCTGGATCTAAACAAAAATTTTAACTGCTGACAGGTGTCTGGATCTAAACAAAAATGTAACTGCTGACAGGTGTCTGGATCTAAACAAAAATTTTAACTGAGTGCTGACAGGTGTCTGGATCTAAACAAAAATTTTAACTGAGTGCTGACAGGTGTCTGGATCTAAACAAAAATTTTAACTGCTGACAGGTGTCTGGATCTAAACAAAAATGTAACTGCTGACAGGTGTCTGGATCTAAACAAAAATTTTAACTGAGTGCTGACAGGTGTCTGGATCTAAACAAAAATTTTAACTGAGTGCTGACAGGTGTCTGGATCTAAACAAAAATTTTAACTGCTGACAGGTGTCTGGATCTAAACAAAAATGTAACTGCTGACAGGTGTCTGGATCTAAACAAAAATTTTAACTGAGTGCTGACAGGTGTCTGGATCTAAACAAAAATTTTAACTGCTGACAGGTGTCTGGATCTAAACAAAAATTTTAACTGCTGACAGGTGTCTGGATCTAAACAAAAATTTTAACTGAGTGCTGACAGGTGTCTGGATCTAAACAAAAATTTTAACTGCTGACAGGTGTCTGGATCTAAACAAAAATGTAACTGCTGACAGGTGTCTGGATCTAAACAAAAATTTTAACTGAGTGCTGACAGGTGTCTGGATCTAAACAAAAATTTTAACTGCTGACAGGTGTCTGGATCTAAACAAAAATTTTAACTGCTGACAGGTGTCTGGATCTAAACAAAAATTTTAACTGCTGACAGGTGTCTGGATCTAAACAAAAATTTTAACTGCTGACAGGTGTCTGGATCTAAACAAAAATTTTAACTGCTGACAGGTGTCTGGATCTAAACAAAAATTTTAACTGCTGACAGGTGTCTGGATCTAAACAAAAATTTTAACTGAGTGCTGACAGGTGTCTGGATCTAAACAAAAATTTTAACTGCTGACAGGTGTCTGGATCTAAACAAAAATTTTAACTGCTGACAGGTGTCTGGATCTAAACAAAATTTTAACTGCTGACAGGTGTCTGGATCTAAACAAAAATTTTAACTGCTGACAGGTGTCTGGATCTAAACAAAAATTTTAACTGCTGACAGGTGTCTGGATCTAAACAAAAATTTTAACTGCTGACAGGTGTCTGGATCTAAACAAAAATTTTAACTGAGTGCTGACAGGTGTCTGGATCTAAACAAAAATTTTAACTGAGTCCTGACTTTTTAGATGTGAAATATTGCTTTCATATCTTTAAAAAGTTTTCTCTAGTGTTTGATGAACCAAACTACTAAACCAAACTACCTTCAGTACGGGTTAAACCAAACTACCTTCAGTGCGGGTTAAACCAAACTACCTTCAGTACGGGTTAAACCTAACTACCTTCAGTATGGGTTAGGCTGGAGTTCTCCCTTGTGTTACACAGCTCATCAGCACAGCAATATGTGCGTACGCTGGCAGCTCCACTGTTTCTACAGGCGTTGGGGTTAGTGCATCCAGCTTTGTATTTGATGCTATTGCCAGTCAGGGTTTGTCTAAACATGCACATCTAGAACAACAAATGAAATGTCTAACACATCTACAACAAAAAATGAAATGTGTCTAATCATGTGAAATGGAAGTTGTAGATTGGGGTATTCAGAGGATGAAGATTGGTGGATGAGGTTGTGAGGGGGATGTTGGAAGTGCTTGTGTATACACAAACATATCATGAAAAATGTAAGTCACAATGTTGGAAGTGCTTGTATATACACAAACATATGAAAAATGTAAGTGACAAAGAATGTTCTATAATTAGACTGACCCTTTTGTTGGTGGGGCACGTCTCTGTTTGAAGCTTACATTCAGCTGGGCTACCACCATTCTTACAGAAGTAGCATGAAAGGTCCCCTAAAAATAATAGAAGTAGCGAGGAAACTTGAAAGTTCATATGAAAAATGCTAAAATACAGATATTTAAAAAAATGTGAGCCCTAAATAGCCAATTTTATCCCTTTATAAATCCTCAGAACATATCAACTCCAAGATAATAGTTTTTATTTACCTCGAAAAAATTCAAAATAACCATGTTAAAACTATTTTTAAAATAGCCCTAATAGAATTAAGACATCTGCTTAGAAAATTATTGGGTTTTTTTCTCTAAAAATCTTCATTTTCAAAACAAAACTGCCTCATAAAAATTACATCTCAGAATTTAAGCTTCAAATGAGCCAGTAGGCTACTATGTGATTTAAAAACTGAGTGAAGAAATACGAGTGGTGTGATAAAAAAATGTCAGGTACTTGTGTCGCTGCATCTGGCCTGCACTGCCCCCCAGACTGCCTCGTATATTGGCCTCAGGATTTTCCTCTTCTCTGCTGGGATGATGTCTAGACTTCTGTCAACACAGGCCCACGCTTGACTGGCCCTGACACACAGGGTGTTGAGGTTAGGACTGCTTGCTGCACTGCTTGCTGCGCTCTCTTCACCATCCTCTGTGTCTGTGTCTACTGATTCTTTGGAATTCCTTTTCCTTTCTTTGGAACTTAATTTACTGGATGTGTCCACTGAATCATCCTCTGGTTCAAGGTCATTAATTTGGCGAACAATGCTGTCAAAATCTTGGGCACATCTCAAGACGTCTGTGCAAACAGTTTCATAGTCTGTGAACTTGGCCAGCGTAGTCCTGAGTCTCTCAACAATCAGACCAGCTTCATCACTGCTGCAGGCTTTGGTATTCTCTGATACACACAACTTCAGGCTATTAATAGACCTGTCAACAACATTCAAAGTAAAATTAGGCCTTTCATGTTTGTCATATGTGTTGCTCCTGCTACTAGACTAGTGTTTAACTGGCATGTGCTACTAGAGTTTAACTTACTGACATGTGCTACTAAAGTTTAACTTACTGACATGTGCTACTAGAGTTTAACTTACTGACATGTGCTACTAAAGTTTAACTTACTGACATGTGCTACTAGAGTTTAACTTACTGACACGTGCTACTAAAGTTTAACTTACTGACATGTGCTACTAGAGTTTAACTTACTGACATGTGCTACTAAAGTTTAACTTACTGACATGTGCTACTAGAGTTTAACTTACTGACATGTGCTACTAAAGTTTAACTTACTGACACGTGCTACTAAAGTTTAACTTACTGACACGTGCTACTAGAGTTAAACTTACTGACACGTGCTACTAAAGTTTAACTTACTGACACGTGCTACTAGAGTTTAACTTACTGACATGTGCTACTAAAGTTTAACTTACTGACATGTGCTACTAGAGTTTAACTTACTGACACGTGCTACTAAAGTTTAACTTACTGACACGTGCTACTAGAGTTTAACTAACTGGCATGTGCTACTAGAGTTTAACTTACTGACACGTGCTACTAAAGTTTAACTTACTGACACGTGCTACTAGAGTTTAACTTACTGACACGTGCTACTAGAGTTTAACTAACTGGCATGTGCTACTAGAGTTTAACTTACTGACACGTGCTACTAAAGTTTAACTAACTGGCATGTGCTACTAGAGTTTAACTTACTGACACGTGCTACTAAAGTTTAACTTACTGACACGTGCTACTAGAGTTTAACTTACTGACACGTGCTACTAGAGTTTAACTAACTGGCATGTGCTACTAGAGTTTAACTTACTGACATGTGCTACTAGAGTTTAACTTACTGACATGTGCTACTAGAGTTTAACTTACTGACACGTGCTACTAGAGTTTAACTTACTGACACGTGCTACTAAAGTTTAACTTACTGACACGTGCTACTAGAGTTTAACTTACTGACACGTGCTACTAGAGTTTAACTAACTGGCATGTGCTACTAGAGTTTAACTTACTGACATGTGCTACTAGAGTTTAACTTACTGACATGTGCTACTAGAGTTTAACTTACTGACATGTGCTACTAGAGTTTAACTTACTGACACGTGCTACTAGAGTTTAACTAACTGGCATGTGCTACTAGAGTTTAACTTACTGACATGTGCTACTAGAGTTTAACTTACTGACATGTGCTACTAGAGTTTAACTTACTGACATGTGCTACTAGAGTTTAACTTACTGACATGTGCTACTAGAGTTTAACTTACTGACACGTGCTACTAGTTGAACTTACTGACACGTGCTCCTGCTAACAAACACATTGTCTGCCACACTGGAAGAGAAAGTAGCCAGGCACTGCTGAGCCTTGTTGACCCAACAGCCAGGTCTGCAGCCAAATGGAGCGCTGGGCTCTGGGTCAGTCCGACAGCCCAGCCTGTTCTGGAGTTTCTCCACCACCAGCTGGTCCAGCAAACCTAACTTGGGAATGTGGCCCTTGCAGCTGCCAGTGTACTTGTGGACACAGTCCAGGTTTTCACTCAGTGATCTGTTCAAGAGGTTCACAATCAGCACAATCTACTTGCTCAATCTTACAACACAATCTTACAACACAATCTTACAACACAATCTTACAGCACAATCTTACAACACAATCTTACAACACAATCTTACAGCACAATCTTACAACACAATCTTACAACACAATCTTACAACACAATCTTACAGCTGAATCTTACAGCTCAATCTAACAGCTCAATTTTACAACTCAATCTACTTGCTCAATCTTACAGCACAATTTTGCAGCACAATCCTGTAGGTTCATTATCTTAAGCACAATCTTATATCACAACAGTTTTACACAATGATCTGAGAGAATGTTCTAACAAAACTGTAATGAAAAAAGCAAAGTCTTGTACCTGCACTTGGCTTCCCTAGATTTGAAAGGATTGGCCGTGTCCTTAACTTGACTGACTGCACACTTGACGGCCTTACTGATCTGGCAGCTGGTGAGGTCATCATTTTCTGTCTGACAGACCACGGGACTTGTGTCCACATTACACTTGGCCTCCACTGAGCGCTTGACTGATGAGTACTGGGCACTCAGTCTAGACAGGCTGCACCGGTCACACTTGTAGCTGAAGTTATCCACACACTCGTTGGTCTCTCTCAAAAGTCTTCAGGAAAAAAGGTCATGTTTTAGTTGGTCTCACTGATATCACCCAGTCAACTTACTGACATCACCCAGTCAACTTACTGACATCACCCAGTCAACTTACTGACATCACCCAGTCAACTTACTGACATCACCCAGTCAACTTACTGACATCAGTCAACTTACTGACATCACCCAGTCAACTTACTGACATCACCCAGTCAACTGACACCACCCAGTCAACTTACTGACATCAGTCAACTTACTGACATCACCCAGTCAATGTACTGACATCACCCAGTCAACTGACATCACCCAGTCAACTTACTGACATCAGTCAACTTACTGACATCACCCAGTCAACTTACTGACATCAGTCAACTTACTGACATCACCCAGTCAACTTACTGACATCAGTCAACTTACTGACATCACCCAGTCAACTTACTGACATCACCCAGTCAACTTACTGACATCAGTCAACTTACTGACATCAGTCAACTTACTGACATCACCCAGTCAACTTACTGACATCACCCAGTCAACTTACTGACATCACCCAGTCAACTTACTGACATCACCCAGTCAACTTACTGACATCACCCAGTCAACTTACTGACATCACCCAGTCAACTTACTGACATCACCCAGTCAACTTACTGACATCAGTCAACTTACTGACATCACCCAGTCAACTTACTGACATCAGTCAACTTACTGACATCACCCAGTCAACTTACTGACATCACCCAGTCAACTTACTGACATCAGTCAACTTACTGACATCACCCAGTCAACTTACTGACATCACCCAGTCAACTTACTGACATCAGTCAACTTACTGACATCACCCAGTCAACTTACTGACATCACCCAGTCAACTTACTGACATCACCCAGTCAACTTACTGACATCAGTCAACTTACTGACATCACCCAGTCAACTGACATGACCCAGTCAACTTACTGACATCACCCAGTCAACTTACTGACATCACCCAGTCAACTTACTGACATCAGTCAACTTACTGACATCACCCAGTCAACTTACTGACATCAGTCAACTTACTGACATCACCCAGTCAACTTACTGACATCACCCAGTCAACTTACTGACATCACCCAGTCAACTTACTGACATCAGTCAACTTACTGACATCAGTCAACTTACTGACATCACCCAGTCAACTTACTGACATCACCCAGTCAACTTACTGACATCACCCAGTCAACTTACTGACATCACCCAGTCAACTTACTGACATCACCCAGTCAACTTACTGACATCAGTCAACTTACTGACATCACCCAGTCAACTTACTGACATCACCCAGTCAACTTACTGACATCAGTCAACTTACTGACATCAGTCAACTTACTGACATAATCCTGGGACAGTTTGACTTCTGCCTAGCAACAAAAGGTTGTTGTACAAGGTCGTGATGCAGGAGTTGACCTTCTGAAGGTCACACCTCTTCTGTGGGAGCTCCAGGTCTCCACAACCGCTGCCCACGAGCATCAATGCTGCCTTCAGACCAAACTGGAGTTGGGTGAGGAACCCAGAGGAACAGTGAGCCATGACACTTGATTCTAGCCTTGCCTTTAGATCATTGTACTGCCTGTGAAATTGAAACATTTCTCTCTTTACTATGACAAAAGTTCCTCTAAAAATGAGGAAACCATTGAGTCAAATGTGTTACCTGCAGACAGACTGGTCAAATGTATTACCTGCAGACAGACTGGTCAAATGTGTTACCTGCAGACAGACTGGTCAAATGTATTACCTGCAGACAGACTGGTCAAATGTGTTACCTGCAGACAGACTGGTCAAATGTGTTACCTGCAGACAGACTGGTCAAATGTGTTACCTGCAGACAGACTGGTCAAATGTGTTACCTGCAGACAGACTGGTCAAATGTGTTACCTGCAGACAGACTGGTCAAATGTGTTACCTGCAGACAGACTGGTCAAATGTGTTACCTGCAGACAGACTGGTCAAATGTGTTACCTGCAGACAGACTGGTCAAATGTGTTACCTGCAGACAGACTGGTCAAATGTGTTACCTGCAGACAGACTGGTCAAATGTGTTACCTGCAGACAGACTGGTCAAATGTGTTACCTGCAGACAGACTGGTCAAATGTGTTACCTGCAGACAGACTGGTCAAATGTGTTACCTGCAGACAGACTGGTCAGGTTTGGGAACAGAGAAACTGGAGATGGCGCTGGACAACAGCAGGTTTAGTGTGACCTTGACCTCCAGAGCTGGACAGCCATCATCCTCTGGAGATGTCATTCAAACAATCAAAACATTGACACATGTCACATGTCCACATACTTTAACCAAAAAACACTGTCACCGTTTAAAACAGTTCCATAATGACATAGCGTAATTTATCTGGGAGGGGGGGGAATAATGACATGGGGTAATTGACAAGTGAGTCCTAGATTTGGTGGGTCCATATCAAGCTCAATGTTGTTACAAGGTAATCAGAACAAAACAATAAAGTACCAAGACAATCATACAAAACAATAAAGTACCAAGACAATCATACAAAACAATAAAGTACCAAGACAATCATACAGAACAAAACAATAAAGTACCTAGACAATCATACAAAACAATAAAGTACCAAGACAATCATACAAAACAATAAAGTACCAAGACAATCATACAAAACAATAAAGTACCAAGACAATCATACAAAACAATAAAGTACCAAGACAATCATACAAAACAATAAAGTACCAAGACAATCATACAGAACAAAACAATAAAGTACCAAGACAATCATACAAAACAATAAAGTACCAAGACAATCATATAAAACAATAAAGTACCAACACAATCATACAAAACAATAAAGTACCAAGACAATCATATAAAACAATAAAGTACCAACACAATCATACAAAACAAAAAAGTACCTAGCCCATTGGCTGGAAGTTGTAGTTCTTGTGACACTTGCCCTTAAAAAAAAATGACATTTGATGTTAAAGCATTACAATGACATTTACTTGTTACAATTACAATGATATTTATATACATCTTTATATGTGCAAGAATGACATTTACCTAGATTGTCACAAAGTGCAAGAATGTCATTTACCTAGATTGTCACAAAGTGCAAGAATGTCATTTACCTAGATTATCACAAAGTGCAAGAATGTCATTTACCTAGATTATCACAAAGTGCAAGAATGTCATTTACCTAGATTATCACAAAGTGCAAGAATGTCATTTACCTAGATTGTCACAAAGTGCAAGAATGACATTTACCTAGATTGTCACAAAGTGCAAGAATGACATTTACCTAGATTGTCACAAAGTGCAAGAATGTCATTTACCTAGATTGTCACAAAGTGCAAGAATGACATTTACCTAGATTGTCACAAAGTGCAAGAATGTCATTTACCTAGATTGTCACAAAGTGCAAGAATGTCATTTACCTAGATTGTCACAAAGTGCAAGAATGACATTTACCTAGATTGTCACAAAGTGCAAGAATGACATTTACCTAGATTGTCACAAAGTGCAAGAATGACATTTACCTAGATTGTCACAAAGTGCAAGAATGACATTTACCTAGATTATCACAAAGTGCAAGAATGTCATTTACCTAGATTGTCAAAAAGTGCAAGAATGACATTTACCTAGATTGTCACAAAGTGCAAGAATGACATTTTGAAGGCTCTCAAACGACCGGGCTGTAGCAGGGTAGAAATTGACTTGATATTTTTCTTGCAGCTGATTTAAGAAGGTTTGGACGTTGTCCAGTCTCATGCAAGTGTCCCACAGGTACAGAGAGACAGAGAGATCCTACAGAAACCAGCAAGACACTCATTAGCAATTTGTAATTAGAGCAATCACTCATTAGCTACTTGTAATCAGAGACACTCACGCCATATGCTTAACCATAACCCCAGAAAAAATATACTAATTGAATGTCCTTATGAGCTGGTGTAATTCCCCCCCCCCCCTTATAAGCTGCTGTTCTTATCTCCCCTTATGAGCTGTTGTAATTATCTCTCTCCTTATGAGCTGTTGTAATTATCTCCCCTTATGAGCTGTTGTAATTAGCTCCCCTTATGAGCTGTTGTAATTATCTCCCCTTATGAGCTGTTGTAATTATCTCCCCTTATGAGCTGTTGTAATTATCTCCCCTTATGAGCTGTTGTAATTAGCTCCCCTTATGAGCTGTTGTAATTATCTCCCCTTATGAGCTGTTGTGATTAGCTCCTCTTATGAGCTGTTGTGATTAGCTCCCCTGAGAGAGAGAGAGAGAGAGAGAGAGAGAGAGAGAGAGAGAGAGAGAGAGAGAGAGAGAGAACCTGCTGTAAGAGGAAGATGATGTTGCTGGGTAGAGTCATGATGTGTATCAGCCTCTGACTCTCTAGCTGTGTCCAGCCTGGAGTGATGGTCAGTATGTGTGTGGTTAGCTGGGCTAGCAGACTCATGTTGTTGTACACCAGGCTCAGCACTGGCTCAAAGCAGTAGTAGTTCTCTTCTAGACATCGCTGCGCTGATTTTCTGAAAACCAAAGTTCATACCCCATGATATTTCTTAATATATCCGACATTTTATAGCTATATAAATATATGTACACCAGGTTTCCTTAACATGTAAGAAAGCTAACAAATATAAGCACATTTTGTGTCTACTGTCACATGCAACAAGTGACTAAGGAATGTTTGAACAAAGAAAGATTGTAAAAATGATTTACAAGTTTGTGTCCAGTAGCTGTCCACCTGATGACCTGTTAGCCAGGAGGTCAAGCAAACACTGCCTGGCCTTGACATGGTTGCAGGTGTAGGGCGTCTCCCCGCAGGAGCTGCTCAGGCTGACTGGCCTGTCCCCACCGTAGCGACATCTGGAGATCTCAAACGTCTCATTTGATAAGTTGATCTGGGTAACGCTGCTTAAACATGAACCTCCGTGTTCTACTATACAGGCAGCACGCTCTTCAGATTGACTGAAATTAAAATGGCTGCCTTTATTTCATCATCAATCTAATGGCTATAACAGGTGACCTCTATGACCTACAAAATAAGTGACCTCCATGACCTACAAAACAAGTGACCTCTACAACCTACAAAATAAATGACCCTCTTTGACATAATTGAGTGCCCCACTCTGACCCAAACAAAAGTTAAAAAGGCCACCATTACTGACCTACAGCTTGCTGGTAAGGTCAAGCAGCGACCCAATTGGTCAACACTGCAGCCTGGTTGGACATCTATGCGGCCCAATAGTGAGCAGCGTACGCGAGTGACCAGCTGTACATCATCAGCACAGGCCTGCGATATGATGTCTACTGCATCCAGGGAGGCTCGGCGAAATGAGATGACATCATCATATGGGCAGGACTGGGTGTACGTAACAGCACACTCTACAAAGGTACGAGCTTCCCTGTCATCAAGATATGAAACATTAAATATGTGATATGCCATTGTCAGGTAAAGTGAAATGTATGCAATATATGCCATACAGCAGAGCAGGGTACTCACAGACACAGTCCAGAGCCAGAGCCAGGGCCAAAGAATGAAGAGAATCTGGAGAGACAGTCCACAGCTTGGCTGATCAGACATCTGGGGATTGGCTGGATCTCTGGACAATAACCAATCAGGAACTTGTCTCTGAGGGTGTCCAGCATTTCCAGGTGTCCAGCAATCAGATGGAGGTCACACTTCTCATTGAGTGCACTCAGTGCTGCAGCCTCGTCTATGGCACTGAGGTATACATCAAGCACTAAGTCTACTTATCTCTGCTTATAATTATCTCCACTTATATTTATCTCTGCTTATATTTATTTCTGCTTATATTTATTTTGATTCATCTAAGTCAAGCAAATTTTTATTCATTTTGTTATATTTTATCTCTGACTACAATATGCAAATCAGAAGTAATGATTAGTAAGATTAGTAAGATTAGTAAGATTAGTAAGATTAGTAAGATTAGTAAGATTAGTAAGATTAGTAAGTTTAAGTAAGAGTTCCTTACCTGCAGGCTAGGTGGCGCTGTGTCAGAGATAAAAATGGCAGGGTGAATCCCTGAACTCCATGCTGGACTATAACAGTGGCAAGGCTAGAGGCACAGCTGGTGGTCACTGGAGACAAATATGGACAGTTTTAGTGGGGGGGTGGGGGGAGGGGGAGGAGGAAAGTCTAGAGGCACAGCTGGTGGTCACTGGAGACAAATATGGACAGTTTTAGTGGGGGGGTGGGGGGAGGGGGAGGAGGAAAGTCTAGAGGCACAGCTGGTGGTCACTGGAGACAAATATGGACAGTTTTAGTGGGGGTGGAGGGAGGGGGGGGGGGGGGGTGGAGGGAGGGGGTGGGGGGGGTGGAGGGAGGGGGTGGAGAGAGGGGGTGGAGGGAGGGAGGTGGAGGGAGGGGGAGGAGGAAAGTCTAGAGGCACAGCTGGTGGTCACTGGAGACAAACATGGACAGTTTTAGTGGGGGGTGGAGGGAGGGGGAGGAGGAAAGTCTAGAGGCACAGCTGGTGGTCACTGGAGACAAATATGGACAGTTTTAGTGGGGGGTGGAGGGAGGGGGAGGAGGAAAGTCTAGAGGCACAGCTGGTGGTCACTGGAGACAAATATGGACAGTTTTAGTGGGGGTGGAGGGAGGGGGGGGGGGGGGTGGAGGGAGGGGGTGGGGGGGGTGGAGGGAGGGGGTGGAGAGAGGGGGTGGAGGGAGGGAGGTGGAGGGAGGGGGAGGAGGAAAGTCTAGAGGCACAGCTGGTGGTCACTGGAGACAAACATGGACAGTTTTAGTGGGGGGTGGAGGGGGGGGGGGGGGTGGAGGGAGGGGGGTGGAGGGAGGGAAGGGGGTGGAGGGAGGGAAGGGGGTGGAGGGAGGGGGTGGAGGGAGGGGGGCGGAGGGAGGGTGTGGAGGAAAGGGGGTGGAGGGAACAGCTGGTGGAAAAGGCATCAAATATATAATGATATACTTACCCTCAATGCTGATGTTTACTGCAAGAAAATAAAGAAGAAAGATGTAAAAAATTTAACTTTCCTAAGTGAACTATCTCTAAACAATCTTTAACCAAACTTTATCGCCAATTGTTGAAAACAACTGTACAGTTTAATGTACACTAACATCTCACAGTTTAATGTACACAAAGATTGTACCCTCTAAACAACTTTGTACAGAAAAAAATGAATGATTGTGTTAATGATGAAAAGAAAAATCTTACTTTGGATTGTTATGATTGTGTTAATGATGAAAAGAAAAGTCTTACTTTGGATTGTTATGATTGTGTTAATGATGAAAAGAAAAGTCTTACTTTGGATTGTTATGATTGTGTTAATGATGAAAAGAAAAGTCTTACTTTGGATTGTTATGATTGTGTTAATGATGAAAAGAAAAGTCTTACTTTGGATTGTTATGATTGTGTTAATGATGAAAAGAAAAGTCTTACTTTGGATTGTTATGATTGTGTTAATGATGAAAAGTCTTACTTTGGATTGTTATGATTGTGTTAATGATGAAAAGTCTTACTTTGGATTGTTATGATTGTGTTAATGATGAAAAGAAAAGTCTTACTTTGGATTGTTATGATTGTGTTAATGATGAAAAGAAAAGTCTTACTTTGGATTGTTATGATTGTGTTAATGATGAAAAGAAAAGTCTTACTTTGGATTGTTATGATTGTGTTAATGATGAAAAGTCTTACTTTGGATTGTTATGATTGTCTGTATGATCTCAGTGATGACAGCGATGACATTGTTGCCTGCTGCCGTCCCGTTTAACAGGACGTCTGTGTCATACTGCAGGAAACACAGCTGCAGCTCCTCACTGGCATTCTTCAGGTCTGGCAGGAGGTTTTGCTGGAGGTTTTGCTGGAGGTTTTCTGTAAACCTAAGGTTAGTATACAACACATGAGACAGTGATTTACTAAACTATTAGAATTTTATTTTCTGGTTTGGTCGGGAGGTTTGGTGGAGAGGTTTGTTGGGGAGGTTTGTTGGTGAGGTTTTGTGGGGAGCTTTGGTGGGGAGGTTCAGTGGGGAGGTTCAGTGGGGAGGTTCGGTGGGGAGGTTTGGTTGATAGCTAAATGCTCTACAGCCAAATGAAGCAGCACCGTTTTTGTTGATAGCTAAATAAATGACAAACAAAAGCAGACTTACCTTCTCAAGCAGCTGGCAATTTCTTGTTGAGGGAGGGTTTGATTGACAAGACTGACATTAGGCTGACAAACATCAGGGAGGAGATCCTGCAGCCATTTTAGCTGACTTTCTACCCTGACCAGTTGACACGCTGATGTGCAGCCTTTGACCGCTTGTCTCATGCATGACACCGTCTCATTAAACTCACTGAAAAAATTGTCAGCCAGTTTAAAAAACATCAAATAATTTCTTCTGTATGTGGTAATTATTGCGTTCATTTAAATAGATCACAATCATACATACAGACAGGTAGCTCTGCTTTTAACTACTTACAGACAGGTAGCTCTGCTTACAACTACTTACAGACAGGTAGCTCTGCTTAAACTATTTACAGACAGGTAGCTCTGCTTACAACTACTTACAGACAGGTAGCTCTGCTTACAACTACTTACAGACAGGTAGCTCTGCTAATAACTACTTATAGACAGGTAGCTCTGCTTACAACTACTTACAGACAGATAGCTCAGCTTATAACTACTTACAGACAGGTAGCTCTGCTTATAACTGTGATGTTGTCTGTACCAAATACAGTGTGCACACATGTCAATGCATCAAGTGGCCGACAGCTGTCTTCCACAACAAAATCAAATTGGTCTGAACAGTTGAGGCTCCCAACCAGAGACTCCAGACTCCTGGCTGTGTTGTCTATCAAGCTGTAAGTCTCTAGGGGGCAGGACTTTTTGGCTTGGCTGGCTTGTTGGCGGCTCTCATTTATAGCTCTGTAACATTGGGAAACTTATACAATCATTTCTTTAAAGTATTTTAACTTAATACTCTAAAGAGAAAAAAAATCTAATATTGTATATATTACATTAGATTACATTAGATTACATTAGATTACAATAGATTAGATTAGATTACATTATATATATAAATAAATATAAATAAATAAATAAATATATATATATATATATATATATATATATATATATATATATATATATATATATATATATATATATATATATATATATATATATACACACACACATATATAATTTTTTCCTTTATTGAATGATCATACTTACTTGCAAAGGGCCTCTGTTGTCATTTCTAAGCCATTAGTATTGATGTAAAGTGCAGTGGTTGTGATTGGGCCAAGATCACATGTCTGATTAGCCTCCTGGATGTAGCAGACTTTGATCTCTGCGTCCAAGTTCAGCGAGGACATGGCGCTGACCAGAGATCTCATTCCTCCAAGTTCACATTCTACACGCGCCTTCTTGATGCATTCCAGAGCAGCATCAGCTGATCTATACAAACACATGGTGAGTTAAAAAAACATAAAATAAAGACTCTGTACAAAGAGACAACTGTGTAACAAAAATGATAATGTGAACTACAATTATATAATAATGTGAACTACATCTATATGATAATGTAAACTACATCTATATGATAATGTAAACTACAACTATATGATAATGTGAGCTACAACTATATGATAATTTGAACTACAACTATATAATGTGAACTACAACTATATGATAATGTGAGCTACAACTATATGATAATGTGAGCTACAACTATATGATAATGTGAACTACAACTATATAATGTGAACTACAACTATATAATGTGAACTACAACTATATAATGTGAACTACAACTATATGATAATGTGAACTACAACTATATAATGTGAGCTACAACTATATAATGTGAACTACAGTTATATAATATGAACTACAACTATCTTAAAGAAGGTTTTATGAACGGTACCTGCACTGAATGTGGTCACCTTGTACAAACTGGGTGCTCAAGTCAAGAACACAGGCAGCCATCCCAGTCATGTTACATGAACCTGATACAAGAAAGTTATGTTACAGGAACCTATCAAACCTTACCATCTAGTGATCCATTATCAAAAACTTACCATCTAGTGATCCATTATCAAAAACTTACCATCTAGTGGTCCATTATCAAAACCTTACCATCTAGTGATCCATTATCAAAACCTTACCATCTAGTGATCCATTATCAAAAACTTACCATCTAGTGGTCCATTATCAAAAACTTACCATCTAGTGGTCCAATATTAAAACTTACCATCTAGTGATACATTATCAAAAACTTACCATCTAGTGGTCCATTATCAAAAACTTACCATCTAGTGGTCCATTATCAAAAACTTACCATCTAGTGGTCCATTATCAAAAACTTACCATCTAGTGGTCCATTATCAAAAACTTACCATCTAGTGGTCCATTATCAAAAACTTACCATCTAGTGGTCCATTATCAATGTCATTACACAAATTGTCTGAACAGCAGTAGTTGCATTTTTTATTAAAGCATCCTTGCTTGCAAGCTTGTCTTGGCTTACAACCTTTTGATGTAGCTTTACCATCAGTGGCTACAGTCTCACACACCTGCATTAATGACAGATTAATGACTGGTAGACTAGTCCCACATCCATTTTGAAAAAAAAAAGCTAATCAAATAACAGAAAGTTCAGTCAACCATATGTTGACATAATTTTGTTGTTAAACATGAGATCAAATGAGTGACATTTTAACCAACAGACAAACAAAGAGACAGACAAACAAAGAAACAGACAAAGAGACAGACAAACAAAGAAACAGACAAAGAAACATACAAAAAACAGAGCAACAGACAAACAGAGCAACAGACAAACAGAGCTACAGACAAAAAGAGCAACAGACAAACAGAGCAACAGACAAACAGAGCAACAGACAAACAGAGCAACAGACAAACAGAGCAACAGACAAACAGAGCAACAGACAAACAGAGCAACAGACAAACAGAGCAACAAACAGAGCAACAGACAAACAGAGCAACAGACAAACAGAGCAACAGACAAACAGAGCAACAGACAAACAGAGCAACAGACAAACAGAGCAACAGACAAACAGAGCAACAGACAAACAGAGCAACAGACAAACAGAGCTACAGACAAACAGAGCAACAGACAAACAGAGCAACAGACAAACAGAGCAACAAACAGAGCAACAGACAAACAGAGCAACAGACAAACAGAGCAACAGACAAACAGAGCAACAGACAAACAGAGCAACAGACAAACAGAGCAACAGACAAACAGAGCAACAGACAAACAGAGCAACAGACAAACAGAGCAACAGACAAACAGAGCAACAGACAAACAAAGCAACAGACAAAGAAGAAAGAGTGAGAGATGAGGAAGTACCTCATTGTGTCTGCAGGTCTCTGTCCCAGCTCCGGCATCACATGACCTCTGGCCATTGCCTTGACAGGTGTAGCACTGTAGAGACTCCTGTCTGGCTGTAAAACACACACAGTCATCTACTCACTCTCTCGGCTCTAAAGCTTTGTTACGGCTCATTTGTTACGGCTCATTTGTTACGGCTCATTATCAAATGCTTTTTTACTGCTAATTATGAAACTGAACCCCTTAACAAAATAATTTTGATTTGAGAACAATTCTATCTTGCTGCATAAAAAAAAGAATTTAAAAAAGTACTAACGCTGGCATATCCTGGTCATAGAAGAGTAGAGAGCTTCCATCATTCTCCTGACAATCTTGGCCTGAACATTTTCTTTCTGCAGGTTTAATGTGGCATTCACACATGGCCAAGCTATCTCAATCTCTCGACACAAGTCATTAGCACGAGTCAACCTGTAAGATGTAAAATAGTTTAAATCATCAATACAAGTCAAAACATTCTAGAAATCTAATCATCAATAGAAGCCAAAACATTCTAGAAATCTAATCATCAATACAAGTCAAAACATTCTAGAAATCTAATCATCAATACAAGTCAAAACATTCTAGAAATCTAATCATCAATACAAGTCAAAACATTCTAGAAATCTAATCATCAATACAAGTCAAAACATTCTAGAAATCAAGCTAACAAGTTAACTCTTGTCCTAAAGCTGCTGGCTTGTCGAAGCAAGATAAAAGAGTTCAGGCCACCTACACTGAGGCTGCTAAAGAAAGAGTTCAGGCCACCTACACTTTGGCTGCTAAAGAAAGAGTTCGGACCACTTACACTGAGGCTGAAGGCATGCTAAAGAAAGAGTTCAGGCCACCTACACTGAGGCTGCTGGTATGCTAAAGAAAGAGTTCAGGCCACCTACACTGAGGCTGCTAAAGAAAGAGTTCAGGCCACCTACACTTTGGCTGCTAAAGAAAGAGTTCGGACCACTTACACTGAGGCTGAAGGCATGCTAAAGAAAGAGTTCAGGCCACCTACACTGAGGCTGCTGGTATGCTAAAGAAAGAGTTCAGGCCACCTACACTGAGGCTGCTAAAGAAAGAGTTCGGACCACCTACACTTACACTGAGGCTGCTAAAGAAAGAGTTCAGGCCACCTACACTTAGGCTGCTGGTATGCTAAAGAAAGAGTTCAGGCCACCTACACTGAGGCTGTTGGTATGCTAAAGAAAGAGTTCAGGCCACCTACACTGAGGTGTTGTCTGCCTCCACCTGGTCCCACAAGTCCACTATGCTGAACCCCAGCAGGGAGTAGATTTTATTTTCCAACACATCCACACAGGTGGCCAGCTGGTCTTTGGGCTCTTCACATTCCAGTGTCCTCCACTTTTTGATGGTTTGCTCCAAGCTTTCAGTCACAGACAAGATGGTCAGGCCATCACAGTTCTCTGTCAACTGGGACACACAGTCACGGGCCATGGTGATTTTTCTAGGGGGATAAACAGGTGTAAACATCAACAGGTGTAAAACATCAACAGGTGTAAACATCAACAGGTATAAAACATCAACAGGTGTAAACATCAACAGCTGTAAACATCAACAGGTGTAAACATCAACAGGTATAAAACATCAACAGGTGTAAACATCAACAGGTGTAAACATCAACAGGTGTAAACATCAACAGGTGTAAACATCAACAGGTGTAAACATCAACAGGTGTAAACATCAACAGGTGTAAACATCAAAAGGTGTAAACATTAACAGGTGTAAACATTAACAGGTGTAAACATTAACAGGTGTAAACATCAACAGGTGTAAACATCAACAGGTGTAAAACATCAACAGGTGTAAACATCAACAGGTGTAAACATCAACAGGTGTAAACATCAACAGGTGTAAACATCAAAAGGTGTAAACATTAACAGGTTTAAACATTAACAGGTGTAAACATTAACAGGTGTAGACATTAACAGGTGTAAACATTAACAGGTGTAGACATCAACAGGTGTAAACATCAAAAGATGTAAACATCAAAAGATGTAAACATCAAAAGGTGTAAACATTAACAGGTGTAAACATTAACAGGTGTAAACATTAACAGGTGTAGACATCAATAAGTGTAAACCTTGTCACTGACCCCCCTGATACTTACATGCAGATGACCTTGTCACTGACCCCCCCTGATACTTACATGCAGATGACCTTGTCACTGACCCCCCTGATACTTACATGCAGATGACCTTGTCACTGACCCCCCCTGATACTTACATGCAGATGACCTTGTCACTGACCCCCCTGATACTTACATGCAGATGACCTTGTCACTGACCCCCCTGATACTTACATGCAGATGACCTTGTCACTGACCCCCCCCCCCTGATACTTACATGCAGATGACCTTGTCACTGACCCCCCTGATACTTACATGCAGATGACCTTGTCAATGACCCCCTGATACTTACATGCAGATGACCTTGTCACTGACCCCCCTGATACTTACATGCAGATGACCTTGTCACTGACCCCCCTGATACTTACATGCAGATGACCTTGTCACTGACCCCCCTGATACTTACATGCAGATGGCCTTGTCACTGAGCCCCTGAGAGTTGACCTGGAGTTGGGAGAGATCTGTCACACACTTCATGGCCCTGGCTGCAGGACACTGGGTGACCGGGGGCTGGACGCAGGACTCCTCCAGCTGGGAGTTGAGCTTGCTGACAATCTCCAGCACTGTCAACCTCTTGCACTCCTCACAGCCTGCCACGTGACTGCGTGCACACAGCTCGCTCTCCTCAACTTGTCTGCAGAAAAACTCAGTCACATACACACAAGTTGGTTGGCACAGGTAAGGCATGATATCATGGCACAGGTAAGGAAGTCATGATATCATGGCACAGGTAAGGAAGTCATGACATCATGGCACAAGTAAGGAAGGCATGACATCATGGCACAGGTAAGGAAGTCATGATATCATGGCACAGGTAAGGAAGTCATGACATCATGGCACAAGTAAGGAAGGCATGACATCATGGCACAGGTAAGAAAGTCATGACATCATGGCACAAGTAAGGAAGGCATGACATCATGGCACAAGTAAGGAAGGCATGACATCATGGCACAGGTAAGAAAGTCATGACATCATGGCACAGGTAAGAAAGTCATGACATCATGGCACAAGTAAGGAAGGCATGACATCATGGCACAGGTAAGAAAGTCATGACATCATGGCATAGGCAAGGAAGGCATGACATTATTTTTCTAAGACACTCTATCACAACTTGAGTAAAGTTGTGTCAATAGTATCAGTAGCGTAGCGAGGGGTGGGGCGGGGGGACATATGTCCCCGGGCGCCGACCTTAGGGGGGCGCCAAATTGAAAGTTTGAGGGGGGGGGGGGGGCAAATGAAAAGTTCGAGGGGGGGGGTGCAAATCGAAAATTTGCTCCCAAGGGGGCGCCAAATTGAATGTATGTCCCCGGGCGCCGGGAAGGGTCGCTACGCCTCTGAATAGTATCAAGCATTTTTAAGGTATTATTGTGACATAAAGGCTGAAGAAATCAAGCGATGAGAGATGGTGAAAAATGTGAAACTTACGGGCACAGAGCCTCCCAGTCTGGGAAAGGCTGTTTGGCCATGTGATGTACGTCCATGATGCAGTTGACAGCTGCAGCAGGATCACATTCACACGGAACTGTCATGCTGGAGTTACTGCTGGAGTTGATGCCGTGAGCTCTGGACAGCTTCTCTACCAGCTTGATGAACTCTAGCAGTACTGGCCCTTTACAGCTGCTGGCTGCTTCTTTAATACATCTTTCTAGAGTTTGGCTGGAGTAAGATTTAAAAACTACTTGAGACAAAATGAAACTAGTTTCTGTTAATCAAATGTAGATTATAAAACCATCTGAAACAATGATGTTTTACAAATGAGGTCAAAAGTTTGTTCTTACAAAAACTGGCTGTTACTGTAGGTCTGCTGGGTGAAGCATGACCTGATGGCGCTATAGTTGCAGGCTGGCATCAGGTTGTCTTGTTGACAGACCAGGCTGAAGGTGGCTGTCATGTTTTCTACAGACACATTGCCACACTTGCTGTACCAGCTGCTCATTAGGGGGAGGACATTCCTGGGGAAATACATTTTTGTCAAATAGCCTGAACTATTATACAATTTGTTTCTTCATTTAGACTAAACTAGCATACAGTTCAATGAAACAAAAGATAGAGATGTGACTGGAATTGGAATCAGTTGCTACCTGTGTGTGACTTACCTGCAAAGACTTGTGTCATAGGTTCCAGTGAGTACTGACATTGAGGCTTTAAATATTGATGACAGGAGGTCAGTATCTACTTTACACCCTGCGCTACCTACAGATTTAAAATAATATCTGCTTTACACCCTGTGCTACCTACAGATTTAAAATAATATCTACTTAACACCCTGTGCTACCTACAGATTTAAAATAATATCTGCTTAACACCCTGTGCTACCTACAGATTTAAAATAATATCTGCTTTACACCCTGTGCTACCTACAGATTTAAAATATCTACTTAACACCCTGTGCTACCTACAGATTTAAAATAATATCTGCTTTACACCCTGCGCTACCTACAGATTTAAAATAATATCTGCTTTACACCCTGTGCTACCTACAGATTTAAAATAATATTGTCTAGGCTAACTGAAGAGCTAAATTATGTCTGTTTAGTCATTTAGACACTACTCATGTCTTTTATAACAAACTAAAAAGGTTTGATCAATTGAATACATTATATAACAGACTAGAAATGTGTTTTTTAAGGACTTACTGGCACTCAAGTACATGTCAAAGTCAGCTAAGAGTGATTCCACTTTTGCCAGTCTAAAATCGTGGAGTAAAACATCTTGGAAACAAGTAAGAACACTTTTCACATCATAGCCTTGCTTCATGTACGTCAAACACTCATATGTCATGAGGTGTACGTGTGTGATGTTGTAGACCTTAGGGCTGGCAGCTGAGAGATAAGAGTTGGCTGTAGCCTTGCTGCAGTTCTCTGAGCTGTAGACCAAATCTATCACGCCATACAGCAGGGACGACTGCTCTACTGGACTACAGCCTACAACAGCCCTGTTCATACAGTCAACAGCACTCTGCCTAGAGAATAATAAAAGTCATAGTCAACAGCACTCTGCCTAGAGAATAACAAAAGTCATACAGTCAACAGCACTCTGCCTAGAGAATAATAAAAGTCATACAGTCAACAGCACTCTGCCTAGAGAATAATAAAAGTCATACAGTCAACAGCACTCTGCCTAGAGAATAATAAAAGTCATACAGTCAACAGCACTCTGCCTAGAGAATAACAAAAGTCATACAGTCAACAGCACTCTGCCTAGAGAATGAACAAAAGTCATACAGTCAACAGCACTCTGCCTAGAGAATAACAAAAGTCATGATCAAACTTTGTTTTTGCATTAAATTAGTTAGGTACTTTTAATTTTTTTTTTCTTACTGACAGCAGCTGACATTAGATGACTTACTGACAGTAGCTGTCATTAGATTAGACTTACTGACAGTAGCTGTCACTAGATTAGACTAACTGACAGTAGCTGTCATTAGATTAGACTTACTGACAGCAGCTGTCATTAGACTTACTGACAGTAGCTGTCATTAGACTTACTGACAGTAGTTGCCTGTAGCCTGCAGGCACTGAGCTTTGAGCTGCTGTAGGGTGGGGCAGACATTGCCGCAGGTGGGGGAGTTGAGGACAACATCTTCCAGGGGTGTGTTGATGTAGGTCAAGTTCAACACTCCTTGTCTGTCCCCTAGGGAACATCCCCTCAGGTAGCTGGCTAAAGCTGTCAGATTGCTAGGTGGGAGATTAACAGTTGTCTCATATATAGAGTCAAAGTAAGAAACCTTTTGTACACAAAAGCATGTTGAAATAATTGTACACAAGCATGTTAAAATATTTGTACACACAATCATGTTGAAACATTTGTACACACAATCATGTTGAAATATTTGTACACACAATCATGTTGAAATATTTGTACACACAATCATGTTGAAATATTTGTACACACAATCATGTTAAAATATTTGTACACAAAATCATGTTGAAATACTTGTACACACAATCATGTTGAAACATTTGTACACACAATCATGTTGAAACATTTGTTCACACAATCATGTTGAAATACTTGTACACACAATCATGTTGAAATTTTTGTACACAAAATCATGTTGAAATACTTGTATACACAATCATGTTGAAGTACTTGTACACAAGCATGTTGAAATATTTGTACACAATTATGTTGAAATATTTGTAAAGTTGAATGCCAACCTTGCTCTGCCCCGAGCTAGTATTTCATTGGCTGCTGCTTGTGTGTCACATGTGCATGTCAACTCCGTCCCAGCCTCAGTTAGCTGGTTGCACAAGTTGAACTCACAGTAAACCTGACGACCTTCCTCTGATAGTTCTCCATGGCAGGACTCTCGCAGGGCACAACTTTGTTTGTTTACAGCTGGGGGCTGGCCTTGTGAGCTCACATTCACTGTCATAGAGCAGACCTGAGGGGAAACAAATTGACTCATTGGGCAACATAGGGCAACATGGGGCGACATGGGGCAAAACATGGGGCGACATGAGGCAAAACATGGGGCGACATGGGGCAACATTGGGCAAAACATGGGGCGACATGAGGCAAAACATGGGGCGACATGGGGCAAAACATGGGGCAACATAGGGCAACATGGGGCAACATTGGGCAAACATGGGGCGACATAGGGCGACATGGGGCAAAACAGGGCAAAACATGGGGCAACATGGGGCAAAACATGGGGCGACAGGGCAAAACATGGGCAACATAGGGCAAAACATGGGGCAACATGGGGCAAAACATGGGGCGACATAGGGCAACATGGGGCGACATGGGGCAAAACATGGGGCGACATGAGGCAAAACATGGGGCGACATGGGGCAACATTGGGCAAAACATGGGGCGACATGAGGCAAAACATGGGGCGACATGGGGCAAAACATGGGGCAACATAGGGCAACATGGGGCAACATTGGGCAAAACATGGGGCGACATAGGGCGACATGGGGCAAAACAGGGCAAAACATGGGGCAACATGGGGCAAAACATGGGGCGACAGGGCAAAACATGGGCAACATAGGGCAAAACATGGGGCAACATGGGGCAAAACATGGGGCGACATAGGGCAACATAGGGCAACATGGGGCGGCATGGGGCAAAACATGGGGCGACAGGGCAACATAGGGCAACATGGGGCAAAACATGGGGCGACATAGGACAACATGGGGCAAAACATGGGGCGGCATGGGGCAAAACATGGGGCGACATAGGGCAACATGAGGCAAAACATGGGGAGACATAGGGCAAAACATGGGGCGACATTGGGCAACATGGGGCAAAACATGGGGTGGCAAAGGGCAAAACATGGGGAGACATAGGGCAAAACATGGGGCGACATAGTGTGACATGGGGCAAAACAGGGCAAAACATGGGGCGACATAGGGCAACATGGGGCAAAACATGGGGCGACTTGGGGCAAAACATGGGGTGACATAGGGCAACATAGGGGCAAAACATAGGGCGACATAGGGCAAAACATGGGGCGACATAGGGCAACATGGGGCAAAACATGGGGAGACAGGGCAAAACATGGGGCAAAATATGGGGCAACATAGGGCAACATAGGGGCAAAACATAGGGCAACATAGGGCAAAACATGGGGCGACATAGCGCAAAACATGGGGTGACATAGGGCAATATGGGGCAAAACATGGGGCAAAACATGGGGCAATATGGGGGGGGGGGGCTGGCCTTGTGCGCTCACATTCACTGGTTCTGTGTCAGTCAAGTGTTACCTGGTGTCAGTCAAGTGTTACCTGGTGTCAGTCAAGTGTTACCTGGTGTCAGTCAAGTGTTACCTGGTGTCAGTCAAGTGTTACCTGGTGTCAGTCAAGTGTTACCTGGTGTCAGTCAAGTGTTACCTGGTGTCAGTCAAGTGTTACCTGGTGTCAGTCAAGTGTTACCTGGTGTCAGTCAAGTGTTACCTGGTGTCAGTCAAGTGTTACCTGGTGTCAGTCAAGTGTTACCTGGTGTCAGTCAAGTGTTACCTGGTGTCAGTCAAATGTTACCTGGTGTCAGTCAAGTGTTACCTGGTGTCAGTCAAGTGTTACCTGGTGTCAGTCAAGTGTTACCTGGTGTCAGTCAAGTGTTACCTGGTGTCAGTCAAGTGTTACCTGGTGTCAGTCAAGTGTTACCTGGTGTCAGTCAAGTGTTACCTGGTGTCAGTCAAGTGTTACCTGGTGTCAGTCAAGTGTTACCTGGTGTCAGTCAAGTGTTACCTGGTGTCAGTCAAGTGTTACCTGGTGTCAGTCAAATGTTACCTGGTGTCAGTCAAGTGTTACCTGGTGTCAGTCAAGTGTTCCCTGGTGTCAGTCAAGTGTTACCTGGTGTCAGTCAAGTGTTACCTGGTGTCAGTCAAGTGTTACCTGGTGTCAGTCAAGTGTTACCTGGTGTCAGTCAAGTGTTACCTGGTGTCAGTCAAGTGTTACCTGGTGTCAGTCAAGTGTTACCTGGTGTCAGTCAAGTGTTACCTGGTGTCAGTCAAATGTTACCTGGTGTCAGTCAAGTGTTACCTGGTGTCAGTCAAGTGTTACCTGGTGTCAGTCAAGTGTTACCTGGTGTCAGTCAAGTGTTACCTGGTGTCAGTCAAGTGTTACCTGGTGTCAGTCAAGTGTTACCTGGTGTCAGTCAAGTGTTACCTGGTGTCAGTCAAGTGTTACCTGGTGTCAGTCAAGTGTTACCTGGTGTCAGTCAAGTGTTACCTGGTGTCAGTCAAGTGTTACCTGGTGTCAGTCAAATGTTACCTGGTGTCAGTCAAGTGTTACCTGGTGTCAGTCAAGTGTTCCCTGGTGTCAGTCAAGTGTTACCTGGTGTCAGTCAAGTGTTACCTGGTGTCAGTCAAGTGTTACCTGGTGTCAGTCAAGTGTTACCTGGTGTCAGTCAAGTGTTACCTGGTGTCAGTCAAGTGTTACCTGGTGTCAGTCAAGTGTTACCTGGTGTCAGTCAAGTGTTACCTGGTGTCAGTCAAATGTTACCTGGTGTCAGTCAAGTGTTACCTGGTGTCAGTCAAGTGTTACCTGGTGTCAGTCAAGTGTTACCTGGTGTCAGTCAAGTGTTACCTGGTGTCAGTCAAGTGTTACCTGGTGTCAGTCAAGTGTTACCTGGTGTCAGTCAAGTGTTACCTGGTGTCAGTCAAGTGTTACCTGGTGTCAGTCAAGTGTTACCTGGTGTCAGTCAAGTGTTACCTGGATCTGTGTCAGTCAAGTGTTACCTGGTGTAAGTCAAGTGTTACCTGATGTCAGTCAAGTGTTACCTGGTGTCAGTCAAGTGTTACCTGGATCTGTGACAGTCAAGTGTTACCTGGTGTCAGTCAAGTGTTACCTGATGTCAGTCAAGTGTTACCTGGTGTCAGTCAAGTGTTACCTGGTGTCAGTCAAGTGTTACCTGGATCTGTGTCAGTCAAGTGTTACCTGATGTCAGTCAAGTGTTATCTGATGTCAGTCAAGTTACCTGGATCTCTGTCAGTTAAGTGTTACCTGGTTTCAGTTAAGTGTTACCTGGTGTCAGTAAAGTGTTACCTGGATCTGTGTCAGTCAAGTGTTACCTGGATCTGTGTCAGTCAAGTGTTACCTGGTGTCATGTCAAGTGTTACCTGGATCTGTGTTAGTCAAGTGTTACCTGGATCTGTGTCAGTCAAGTGTTACCTAGTGTCAGTCAAGTGTTACCTGATGTCAGTCAAGTGTTACCTGATGTCAGTCAAGTGTTACCTGGTGTCAGTCAAGTGTTACCTGATGTCAGTCAAGTGTTACCTGATGTCAGTCAAGTGTTACCTGATGTCAGTCAAGTGTTACCTGGTGTCAGTCAAGTGTTACCTGATGTCAGTCAAGTGTTACCTGGATCTGTGTCAGTCAAGTGTTATCTGTTGTCAGTCAAGTGTTACCTGGATCTGTGTCAGTCAAGTGTTACCTGGTGTCAGTCAAGTGTTATCTGATGTCAGTCAAGTGTTACCTGATGTCAGTCAAGTGTTACCTGGACTTGTGTCAGTCAAGTGTTACCTGGATCTGTGTCAGTCAAGTGTTATCTGTTGTCAGTCAAGTGTTACCTGGATCTGTGTCAGTCAAGTGTTACCTGGTGTCAGTCAAGTGTTACCTGGTGTCAGTCAAGTGTTACCTGATGTCAGTCAAGTGTTATCTGGTGTCAGTCTAGTGTTATCTGGTGTTAGTCTAGTGTTACCTGGTGTCAGTCAAGTGTTACCTGGATCTGTGTCAGTCAAGTGTTACCTGTTTGTCCTGAGCGCATGTTTCAACAGTTTGAGTGCAGGTCTGACCACTGCAGGCAGTTGACCAGCAATGTAATCTGGGAGCTGGAATAGAGAACAAGGTTTAAAATGTCTGGGGTAGAGGACAAGGTTTAAAATGTCTGGGGTAGAGGACATGGTTTAAAATGGGTAGAGGACAAGGTTTAAAATGTGTGGGGTAGAGGACATGGTTTAAAATGGGTAGAGGACAAGGTTTAAAATGTGTGGGGTAGAGGACAAGGTTTAAAATGTCTGGGGTAGAGGACAAGGTTTAAAATGTCTGGGGTAGAGGACAAGGTTTAAAATGTCTGGGGTAGAGAACTAGGTTTAAAATGGGTAGAGGACAAGGTTTAAAATGTCTGGGGTAGAGGACAAGGTTTAAAATGTCTGGGGTAGAGAACAAGGTTTAAAATGTCTGGGGTAGAGGACAAGGTTTAAAATGTCTGGAGTAGAGGACAAGGTTTAAAATGTCTGGGGTAGAGGACAAGGTTTAAAATGGGTAGAGGACAAGGTTTAAAATGTCTGGGGTAGAGGACAAGGTTTAAAATGTCTGGGGTAGAGAACAAGGTTTAAAATGTCTGGGGTAGAGGACAAGGTTTAAAATGTCTGGGGTAAAGGACAAGGTTTAAAATGTCTGGGGTAGAGGACAAGGTTTAAAATGTCTGGGGTAGAGGACAAGGTTTAAAATGTCTGGGGTAGAGGACAAGGTTTAAAATGTGTGGGGTAGAGGACAAGGTTTAAAATGTCTGGGGTAGAGGACAAGGTTTAAAATGTCTGGGGTAGAGGACAAGGTTTAAAATGTCTGGGGTAGAGAACAAGGTTTAAAATGTCTGGGGTAGAGGACAAGGTTTAAAATGTCTGGGGTAGAGGACATGGTTTAAAATGTCTGGGGTAGAGGACAAGGTTTAAAATGTCTGGGGTAGAGGACAAGGTTTAAAATGTCTGGGGTAGAGGACAAGGTTTAAAATGGGTAGAGGACAAGGTTTAAAATGTCTGGGGTAGAGGACAAGGTTTAAAATGTCTGGGGTAGAGGACAAGGTTTAAAATGTCTGGGGTAGAGGACAAGGTTTAAAATGTCTGGGGTAGAGGACAAGGTTTAAAATGGGTAGAGGACAAGGTTTAAAATGTCTGGGGTAGAGGACAAGGTTTAAAATGTCTGGGGTAGAGAACAAGGTTTAAAATGTCTGGGGTAGAGAACAAGGTTTAAAATGTCTGGGGTAGAGGACAAGGTTTAAAATGTCTGGGGTAGAGAACAAGGTTTAAAATGTCTGGGGTAGAGGACAAGGTTTAAAATGTCTGGGGTAGAGGACAAGGTTTAAAATGGGTAGAGGACAAGGTTTAAAATGTCTGGGGTAGAGGACAAGGTTTAAATTGTCTGGGGTAGAGGACAAGGTTTAAAATGTCTGGGGTAGAGGACAAGGTTTAAAATGTCTGGGGTAGAGGACAAGGTTTAAAATGTCTGGGGTAGAGAACAAGGTTTAAAATGTCTGGGGTAGAGGACAAGGTTTAAAATGTCTGGGGTAGAGGACAAGGTTTAAAATGTCTGGGGTAGAGGACAAGGTTTAAAATGTCTGGGGTAGAGGACAAGGTTTAAAATGTCTGGGGTAGAGGACAAGGTTTAAAATGTCTGGGGTAGAGGACAAGGTTTAAAATGTCTGGGGTAGAGGACAAGGTTTAAAATGTCTGGGGTAGAGGACAAGGTTTAAAATGTCTGGGGTAGAGGACAAGGTTTAAAATGTCTGGGGTAGAGGACAAGGTTTAAAATGTCTGGGGTAGAGGACAAGGTTTAAAAAGGGTAGAGGACAAGGTTTAAAATGTCTGGGGTAGAGGACAAGGTTTAAAATGTCTGGGGTAGAGAACAAGGTTTAAAATGTCTGGGGTAGAGGACAAGGTTTAAAATGTCTGGGGTAGAGGACAAGGTTTAAAATGTCTGGGGTAGAGGACAAGGTTTAAAATGTCTGGGGTAGAGAACAAGGTTTAAAATGTCTGGGGTAGAGGACAAGGTTTAAAATGTCTGGGGTAGAGAACAAGGTTTAAAATGTCTGGGGTAGAGGACAAGGTTTAAAATGTCTGGGGTAGAGGACAAGGTTTAAAATGTCTGGGGTAGAGGACAAGGTTTAAAATGTCTGGGGTAGAGGACAAGGTTTAAAAAGGGTAGAGGACAAGGTTTAAAATGTCTGGGGTAGAGGACAAGGTTTAAAATGTCTGGGGTAGAGAACAAGGTTTAAAATGTCTGGGGTAGAGGACAAGGTTTAAAATGTCTGGGGTAGAGGACAAGGTTTAAAATGTCTGGGGTAGAGGACAAGGTTTAAAATGTCTGGGGTAGAGGACAAGGTTTAAAATGTCTGGGGTAGAGGACAAGGTTTAAAATGTCTGGGGTAGAGGACAAGGTTAAAAATGTCTGGGGTAGAGGACAAGGTTTAAAATGTCTGGGGTAGAGGACAAGGTTTAAAATGTCTGGGGTAGAGGACAAGGTTTAAAATGTCTGGGGTAGAGGACAAGGTTTAAAATGTCTGGGGTAGAGGACAAGGTTTAAAATGTCTGGGGTAGAGGACAAGGTTTAAAATGTCTGGGGTAGAGGACAAGGTTAAAAATGTCTGGGGTAGAGGACAAGGTTTAAAATGTCTGGGGTAGAGGACAAGGTTTAAAATGTCTGGGGTAGAGGACAAGGTTTAAAATGTCTGGGGTAGAGGACAAGGTTTAAAATGTCTGGGGTAGAGGACAAGGTTTAAAATGTCTGGGGTAGAGAACAAGGTTTAAAATGTCTGGGGTAGAGGACAAGGTTTAAAATGTCTGGGGTAGAGGACAAGGTTTAAAATGTCTGGGGTAGAGGACAAGGTTTAAAATGTCTGGGGTAGAGGACAAGGTTTAAAATGTCTGGGGTAGAGGACAAGGTTTAAAATGTCTGGGGTAGAGGACAAGGTTTAAAATGTCTGGGGTAGAGGACAAGGTTTAAAATGGGTAGAGGACAAGGTTTAAAATGTCTGGGGTAGAGGACAAGGTTTAAAATGTCTGGGGTAGAGAACAAGGTTTAAAATGTCTGGGGTAGAGAACTAGGTTTAAAATGTGTGGGGTAGAGGACAAGGTTTAAAATGGGTAGAGGACAAGGTTTAAAATGTCTGGGGTAGAGAACAAGGTTTAAAATGTCTGGGGTAGAGGACAAGGTTTAAAATGTCTGGGGTAGAGAACTAGGTTTAAAATGTGTGGGGTAGAGGACAAGGTTTAAAATGTCTGGGGTAGAGGACAAGGTTTAAAATGTCTGGGGTAGAGGACAAGGTTTAAAATGTCTGGGGTAGAGGACAAGGTTTAAAATGTCTGGGGTAGAGGACAAGGTTTAAAATGTCTGGGGTAGAGAACTAGGTTTAAAATGGGTAGAGGACAAGGTTTAAAATGTCTGGGGTAGAGGACAAGGTTTAAAATGTCTGGGGTAGAGGACAAGGTTTAAAATGGGTAGAGGACAAGGTTTAAAATGTCTGGGGTAGAGGACAAGGTTTAAAATGTCTGGGGTAGAGGACAAGGTTTAAAATGGGTAGAGAACAAGGTTTAAAATGTCTGGGGTAGAGGACAAGGTTTAAAATGTCTGGGGTAGAGGACAAGGTTTAAAATGTCTGGGGTAGAGGACAAGGTTTAAAATGTCTGGGGGAGAGGACAAGGTTTAAAATGTCTGGGGTAGAGGACAAGGTTTAAAATGTCTGGGGTAGAGAACAAGGTTTAAAATGTCTGGGGTAGAGGACAAGGTTTAAAATGTCTGGGGTAGAGAACAAGGTTTAAAATGTCTGGAGTAGAGGACAAGGTTTAAAATGTCTGGGGTAGAGGACAAGGTTTAAAATGTCTGGGGTAGAGAACAAGGTTTAAAATGTCTGGGGTAGAGGACAAGGTTAAAAATGTCTGGGATAGAGAACAAGGTTTAAAATGTGTGGGGTAGAGGACAAGGTTTAAAATGTCTGGGGTAGAGGACAAGGTTTAAAAAGTCTGGGGTAGAGAACAAGGTTTAAAATGTCTGGGGTAGAGGACAAGGTTTAAAATGTCTGGGGTAGAGGACAAGGTTTAAAATGTCTGGGGTAGAGGACAAGGTTTAAAATGTCTGGGGTAGAGGACAAGGTTTAAAATGTCTGGGGTAGAGGACAAGGTTTAAAATGTCTGGGGTAGAGGACAAGGTTTAAAATGTCTGGGGTAGAGGACAAGGTTTAAAATGTCTGGGGTAGAGGACAAGGTTTAAAATGTCTGGGGTAGAGAACAAGGTTTAAAATGTCTGGGGTAGAGAACAAGGTTTAAAATGTCTGGGGTAGAGGACAAGGTTTAAAATGTCTGGGGTAGAGGACAAGGTTTAAAATGTCTGGGGTAGAGGACAAGGTTTAAAATGGGTAGAGGACAAGGTTTAAAATGTCTGGGGTAGAGGACAAGGTTTAAAATGTCTGGGGTAGAGAACAAGGTTTAAAATGTCTGGGGTAGAGAACAAGGTTTAAAATGTCTGGGGTAGAGGACAAGGTTTAAAATGTCTGGGGTAGAGAACAAGGTTTAAAATGTCTGGGGTAGAGGACAAGGTTTAAAATGTCTGGGGTAGAGGACAAGGTTTAAAATGTCTGGGGTAGAGGACATGGTTTAAAATGGGTAGAGGACAAGGTTTAAAATGTCTGGGGTAGAGAACAAGGTTTAAAATGTCTGGGGTAGAGGACAAGGTTTAAAATGTCTGGGGTAGAGGACAAGGTTTAAAATGTCTGGGGTAGAGGACAAGGTTTAAAATGTCTGGGGTAGAGGACAAGGTTTAAAATGTCTGGGGTAGAGGACAAGGTTTAAAATGTCTGGGGTAGAGAACAAGGTTTAAAATGTCTGGGGTAGAGGACAAGGTTTAAAATGTCTGGGGTAGAGGACAAGGTTTAAAATGTCTGGGGTAGAGGACAAGGTTTAAAATGTCTGGGGTAGAGGACAAGGTTTAAAATGTCTGGGGTAGAGGACAAGGTTTAAAATGTCTGGGGTAGAGGACAAGGTTTAAAATGTCTGGGGTAGAGGACAAGGTTTAAAATGTCTGGGGTAGAGGACAAGGTTTAAAATGTCTGGGGTAGAGG